GTATTTTTTTTCTGCATTTTTCTTTTTAGCCCTTAAGGACACATGACATGTGTGACATGTCATGATTCCTTTTTATTCCAGAAGTTTGGTCCTTAAGGGGTTAAGAGAACATGAAAAAACAGCTAGCTCTGTGGAGCGGTAGAAAACAATCCCTGGCTGTCTGATTGATAGCCAGGGAGCTGTTTCTGCCCGTAATTATAAAAGTCCAGAATTCAGTTAAAATTGGCACTTCTATAAACTATCACAAGTATGGCAGACTCCAACCTCATAAAGTGCTTCAGCAAGCTGGAGTGTTCCTTTAACCATGTAGTATGTAGCAAAGGGACCACGCAATTCTTTCACTTTAAACATGTAGTGCATGACCGGTTAGCTTCAACCAATTAGTATGTAGGATCTAGCACAAAGTTCACCTCTCCCATTAACCGTCTGCTTAATTTACCCCAGCCGTTTCAGAGACCAGTAGTTAGTCTGTCTTAAGTACACTATATGGACAAAAATATTGGGACCTCTTAATTAAAGAACAGGTGTATAAAATCAAGCACTCAGCCATGCAGTCTGCATTTACAAATATTTGTGAAACAAATTTTGTTTTTTAAGAGCTCAGTGAGTTCAAGTGTGGTGCAGTGATAGGATGCCACCTTTGCAATAAGTCAGTTGGTGAAATTTCATCCCTGCTAGAAATTTCACTGTGGTACTATTGGAAGGTTTAAACGTTTAGGAACAGCAGCAACTTAGCCACAAAGCGGAAGAACACAAAGTGACAGAGCGGAATCACCGAGTGCTGAGGCGCATGGTGTGTTAAAATCGCCAACGTTCTGCTGATTCCATAGCTGAAGAGTTTCAAACTTCCACTGGCATTAATATTAGCACAAAAACTGTGCAGCAGGAGCTTTATTCTATAGGTTTCCATGGCTGAGCAGCTGCATGCAAGCCTCACACCACCAAGTACAATGCCAAGCATCGGATCGAGCGATGTAAAGCTTGCCGACACTGGGCGCTGGAGTAGAGGAATAGTGTTCTGTGGAGTGACAAGTTACGCTTCTCTGTTTAGAGGTCTAATGGGCATATCTGGGTTTGGTGGATGCTAGAAGAATGTCACCCGATTGACTGCATTGTGCCAATTATAAAGTTTGGTGGGGGAGGGATGATAGTATGGGGCTGTTTTTCTGGGTTTTACTTTCAATAAAGGCGAATCTTAATGCTTCCGCACACCAAGACATTTTGGACAATGAAATGCTTCCAACTTTGTAGGAACAGAAGGCCCTTGACTGGAAGAACTTGACTGGCCCACACAGAACTCTGACCTCAACCCCATAGAACACCTTTGGGATGAACTAGATTGGAGATTGAGAGCCAAGTCTTCACGTCCAACATGAGAGGCTGACCTCACAAATGCTCTACTGGATGAATGGTCAAAATTTCCCACAGAAGCACTCCAAAGTCTTGAGGAAAGCCTGACCAAAAGAGTGGAAGCTATTATAGCTGCAAAGAGGGTACCTACTTTATATTAATGTCTAGGTTTTTAGAATGCAATGTCATAAAAGTCCCTGTTAGTGTAATCGTCAGGTGTCCCAATACTTTTGTCCATATAGTGTACCTTTATTCCCCAGTTTTGTAGGTTTCTGAAAAGACTGCGTGTCCTTCAGAGGACTAATAATGTGTAGAAGAGAGTCCTGCGTAGGAAACAAATGCCTTTCAACTCCATATTGTAAAATTAATTATGTAGTTTGTAGACCATGAGTGAAGATTTAGGATATCTTTAAATTCCATTGACTGCTCCAGTTTAAAGAATGACCAAATAGAAAAATAATGTTTTGGTTAATGATAAGAATAACATTTTGTAAAAATGAAAAAAAAAATCCTTGATACCTATATGTATATAAAAATCTTACAACTACCACGATTAGATTTATAAACACACGTCACATACCGGGGGGAAAAAAAAATGGTTCCAAACAGGTTTTTTGTTGTTGTTGTTGTCTAGGCTTGCAACATTGGGGAAGAAGTACTCTTCTCTAGGTATCAGTTTAAGAAAAGTTAGTGAAAGTGATGCTTTGGAGTGACAATCCCTGACCTCTTGAATCCAATTACAATTCTATACTCATGCAAGGTTGCATCTTTAAACTAGGGTGAGGCGCAGATTACATTTTCAGAACCAGTCAGTAGCAAGTGCCTCCAGGTGAGGTGATAACCGTTTTTTAAAGGCTGCGCCTCACTAGTATTGGGCTCTTACAGTGTGTTTGGTTTTGCCTTCAGACCAGGAGGCTTTGGGTTTTATAATAAAACATTTTACAAAAGAAAACATGACTTGTGGATTTCCTTACATCGTCTGGCTGGTGAAAGAAATGAATTTCTGAAGACTGGGGAGTGTATAGCTTGTCATAGTAAAGTATTATGGGGTTTATTCACTAAAACATAACTTGTGAAGAACTGATTTATTAAACTATAAATTTAGGCCAAATTAGACAAGCTGGGAGAGAGCTCCTAGTTGGGTATTTGGGCTAAAATGACACAACTTTCCACGGTTCCTATTTTAGTAAATACACCCCATATTTAAAATGCCAGTGTCTGTCTTGGTAAGCAGATGTTTGTTATACCTTCATGGAATAAAATAAAAGATAAATTACCTGCAATTTCCTTTTAACCCCTTAAGGACCAAACTTCTGGAATAAAAGAGAATCATGACATGTCACACGTCCTGTATCCTTAAGGGGATAAGGTGCTTGCCAACATGCTGCTCCTGGCTATATTTGCTATGACCAATCTGAGGGGTGTCTTTTTGATGAATGTGTGTCTGAATAAGTGGTTAGTGCAGAGATACCATGACACTATCTCCAGTTTTCTAAGAGATGTACAATATATCAATAATGCATTTGCCCTGCCTCTCCATAGAGGAGGATGAATGGCAAATCCTGCTCCATATGATACAAGACCGGTGTGTAGACACCTAGCAATAGTTTTCTCTCGGCCCATAAGGAATAAATAGCACTGGTATTTCATATATCTAAAGGGGGAACTACTCTGGAACTCTCACCATCGCAAAAACAAAAAACATTAGAAATCATTCTTTATTTTGTCTTTTTTTTCATGTGATGCTTCTTTTTCTTTTAAAAGATTTAGTAAATGACATCATAATCCAGTTCCTACAATGCAAAGCGAAGACAAATATTGTGGTTGAAGAAGGAAAAGAGAACGATTGTTTCATTCCTCCTCTCGCTGTTTTCTCTATGCTGACTGCCAGAACAGAGCTTATAACAATGATTGCCAGGGAGCTAAGATGGAGGAGCCTGGTTGCAGAATAAATAAGTATGAATTTTTACATTTGATAGCATTTTCCATCCTCAAAACACATTAGTTAAAGGAACACATCACACACCATAACCACTACAGCACATTGAAGTAGTTACGGTGCCAAGAGTTCCCCCTCAATGTTAGTAGTAAAACCGTGTCAGATGATGCTTTCAGCCAATGAACTGGCTCTGCACTACAGGGATTAGCTCAGGGAAGCTAAGTGCTCCCGATCAGGAGCTTCCACCTCCCATATATGCTGTGAGGAGGCAAAGAGTCACACGTAATAAACCATTTCTTACCTGTCAGTCCGGAAACCTTGACATAGGATCTCCATGTCAAGGTTAAAGGGACTCTCCAGTGCCAGGAAAACAAACTGTTTTCCTGGCACTGCAGGTCCCCTCTCCCTCCCACCCCCCATCCCAGGTTAAAACCCTTTCAGTGACTTACCTGTATCCAGCGCCGATGTCCCTCGGCGCTGGGTCAGGGTCCGCCCACGCTCCTCCCCCGCCAATGTCATCCAACGGGGGAGACCTATTGCACATGCGTGGCCGCCAGCGAGGGAGACCTAATGCGCATGCTTTCCTATAGGGATTTAAGCGACGCTGGAGGTCCTCACATAGCGTGAGGACATCTAGCAACGCTATAGCACACTTTTCGTTTGCTATAATTACGGAAATGCCCTCTACTAGCTGTCTAGTAGACAGCCAATAGAGGAGGAGTTAACCCTGCAAGGTAAATATTGCAGTTTATGAAAACTGCAATAACAACACTTGCAGGGTTAAGGGTAGTGGGAGTTGGCACCCAGACCACTCCAATGGGCAGAAGTGATCTGGGTGCCTGGAGTGTCCCTTTAAACCATTTCTGAGCAATTTGACTATTTACATGAAGTGGAACGGTGCTTAAAGGACCACTATAGTGGCAGGAAAACATACTCATTTTCCTGGCACTATAGTGCCCTGATTGTGCCCCCACCCTCAGGGACCCCCTCCCGCCGGGCTCTGGGGGGAGGAAGGGGTTAAACTTACCTCCTCCTCTCTGGCTGCATGCGCGGCAGGTGCTGCGTGCGCATTCAGCCCGTCCATAGGAAAGCATTGTGAATGCTTTCCTATGGACGCTGGCGTCTTCTCACTGTGAAAATCACAGTGAGAAGCGCGGAAGCACTCTAGCGGCTGTCAGTGAGACAGCCACTAGAGGCTGGATTAACCCATTTATAAACATAGCAGTTTCTTTGAAACTGCTATGTTTATAAAAAATAAAAAAAAGGCATTAACCCTAAAAGGACCTGGCACCTGGCTGAAGTGGTCTGGGTGCTTATAGTGGTCCTTTAACTACAGGGGATGTGTAAACATAACATTAAAAAGATGAAATCCTAGGTTAGTGACAGATTATCTTTATATATGTATTGTATAACTATATGTAATTTCATCAGTGTTACAGATGTCTCCTATATGGAAAGTCTTTTCAAATATTAATAAATTGCAAGCAGATTGCATTTAAGATTCATTCTCAATCTATATATAATACTTTTATACCTGAAAGTCAAAATGTTACTCTCTGGGTTTTAACTAAACTGCAATGTATCATGGAGTCAAAGTGAAAAATTGTAAGTCAAACTAAAAACACATAGTTAACTGGGAAAATAATTATCTAATTACTATCTAGATCTATTTATTTTGGTTTCTTTTAAATAACTGAGAAGACATGTAGACGTGTATCTAAAGTAATATAATTTTACATAATTTATTTCTGTATCTTAACTGGAAAACAAATAATTATTTTCACCAAAATATAATTTTTGCATCTGCACAATATTTCAGAAGGGAACATTTTAGCAGATCCTGGGTTCCTCCAAAGACAATATAAGATTGTGTAGATCACAGGTTCATATAAGGACTATCTATGTTCATTTGTTTATTGGCTTGTCTGGAATATTTCTGTTGGTATCTTCATCATCACTGTCAGATTCTTCTTGGACGCTATCTTCCCCCTCGTCATCTGTATCAAGGCCCGAGGTCTCTCCATTGTCTTCTTCTCTGGCCTCAGCTTCTTCTCGTGCTACTATCTTCTGGAATGTGTGGAACTCTTCAGGAGAAGAGCATGCAACACTGGATAAGAAATTATTTTCAGACAGGTTGACAATATCTTTGATCTTGGGATTTGAAGTTGGGCATTCCCCTCTCTTGTTTGGGGGCAGGAATCTACCAAGACGTTCCAGAAACTGATGCCGAACTTTGATCTCATCCAGTGAAGTTAGGAAAAGTCCAGAAGTTAAAATATCTTTGTGTGTTCCACCCATTCGGAAATAGACATACTGTCAAAATCAAAAGATGATATTATACATTTAATTTAAAAGATACTGCAATATGCACACTCAAGTGACAGTGCTGTGGATAGAGATTACTAGACAAAAATGAATCTGCCTGGTTAAACAAAGTAACACATAGAATATTCTGTGACCACATATTTACTATAGACATAAAAAATTTACAAAAAATGTCCAGTTGTTGTAAGTTGAGTAATGACTACAGGTTATTGCAGCATTATGATGCTCTGGATCTATGGGCACCAGTCCCATTTTCTTTTTTGTCGAATTGGTCAGAAGCAGTTTGAACAAAACTGGAAAATTCTCTGGCAAGCGCAGCCTGCCCCTCTACATGTGCATAGGTACTGATTAAATGACAATTCTGAATATCAGTACAAATCTGTCCTTGGGTGCTAATGTAAGTAGGTTAACCCAGCATACAAAGCCCATTATTATCATCCAAAGTTGGACAGATTTACACCAATTATACTACTGTATAATTTTAGCAGAGCATTCAGGGGTTATGTTTTGCCAGGGATGGACACGTGTTTTTTTTTTTTTTCTTCAAACGGCTCCTAAACAGTTTTACAGATATCTGAAAGATGGTACTCAAGGGTTCCAAGCACCATAATCATTGCTGAAACCAATATAAGCCAATTGATATGGGTTCAATCCTATTCCTAAACAGGATCTTTGCAGCTACCAGAAAAAAAAAACTATTTCAAGCCAGCTCATAAACCTTTGCATATTTCATCAAAACAGTATCACACAAAAATAGATTGTGGTTGTTAATTACCGTAGAAGCCGGTGAATGCTGAGACCAGAGGTTGTTCTATAAATGGCTAATGACGGCACAGATGCAATGCTATTACAAAACATGACGTGTCCAATATCTACTTAAACTGTTCAGCCCTACAATCATGGGTCTTCATCAGAACAAGTATGTAACAGGAACAAATAGATTTTATTTGTCAGATGATCGTAAGGTCAAAGGGCTGACACCGATAAAAGATATGCAATCTATTGTGAAATATATCTTTTTTTTATATATATATATAATTCTAATGTGGTTAAACTTTTATTGGTTTAAGAAAATGACAAGTTTTGTGGTTTTACAGCTTTCACAAATACTGTTTTGGTGTCTAAGCAACAGTGATCGGACCCAGGTTAAAATGATTTGACAATGCCATCAACAAGTCTACTTCTTACCAGCAAAGACATAGGAGTCTATATGTGGATATAACATTACCTTCTCAGTCACAATCTTCAGATTAATTACTCTTACATTATACCATGTAGCTTCATTCTTGGTTTCAATACTTAGGTGCCTGGTCGAAGTGTTGTATTCTATACCAGGTTTATTCACATAATTCAGAATACAAAACATGCAATATTGTCATTTAATGTTGATATATTGTGATGACAAATCTATGTTATTACAGCTGTTGTGAATTACATTCTAATGGTATTCCACATATAGTAGAGCAGTTATGGCACCAAAGGTCAAACAATGCTTGCCTATATGTAACATTTATTAACACACCTGAAAAACCTCCTCAATGTAGTCTGGATCCTGTGTCAAGGTTTCCGGACTGATGTGTAAGATTTTCAACACCTGTTGAGTTGAGAACTGGCAGCGCTGTTTGAGGCACTGAGCTGCTGCTAGGATTCGTGTACTTGGCATGGTTAGAATAGATGGGCATCTGGACAAGGAGACCTGAAGAGTGCCTGCAGTTGGAAAAAAAAGCCAGAAAAAACAAAATGATAAAGAGAATATTTTGATATTTACTGAGCAGGATCCAAATACCATGCGGCTCATAATTTCTGTTCAGCACAAAATGTATTTATTGTCCTAGTCATCCATCTTTGGGACAAAAACTCCAACAGTTATACTTTCTTTAGGATTATTCGCTATATATATATAGAATATAGGGAATTGCAAATTTATGGCTACAGAAGCTAAGAATATTTCTCTAACGTGGACATTTTCCACCTGGCCATGTTGGCCTCAAGCATGAATTTCCAGCTCCAGTTGTCTACTTACATAATAATTCTGATTACATGCGTCAGTGCTTAAAAGAACAATACCATCCCATAACAACGTTAGCATAATTAAGTTGTTACGGGAGTAGGAATGCCATACCTTCAGGAGTAAACCATTTGGTAATGGTTTAACCCCAAAGCTGGGGCCCTGGCACCTGGTGCTCTATGTTATGCAGTACGAGCAAAGGATAGCCTGGCGGGCGCTGATCAATGGGAGCCCAATGAAAGAAATTGTATAGAGGCATTTAGCCAGATTCTGAATTCATGTTCCTTCAACAAAACAACAATAAATAAATAAAAAGTATTAATTATATAAAAGATAGTTGGGTTTTTTTGGTTCCAAATTATGATATATTTCTGTATGTCTTCAGTTTATCTTTAATAGCAGAGGTCTAGGTCTTCACATACTACACAGAAATATCATTAAAGAACTGGCATTAGTGTCTTGATATTTATTTAATCTAAAGATTATTGGCCCATATTCAGAATTGGGAAGAAACTAAATGGTTTGCTGTATTTATTTATACGTTTGTTGACCAGTTTGTCAACAGGTGGTATTGATGTTTCAGGTATATGTAAAAAGCCTGCAAGCTTCCCTGTAGGTAAACCTACCACATGATTTAATTGTCTTACCTTCTCCCAGTCCAAGTTTTCGAAGATTGTCTACTCTGTCTCTGATTTGTTTGCTTGACACCTTGAAGATCTCAGGACTGGCCTCCAGCATCCTTAGAGTCTTTTCATTGTCCATTCCTAGTAGCAGAAGTTCTCTTACACATGACAGTTTCTGCTGGACATCTCCTTTCCTGGGATTTAAGGAGTGGATCTTTGTAGTTTGTTCCTCTGAAAACCCTAAATCCAAAAGCTGCTGTGTGGCACAGGGAATAGTGGACATATGCTTCAGCCATAAGTGAAAACGTGGTACACTTTGGCGGAAAAACACAGAAACCTAGAAAAATCAAAATGATGGGTAACATTAATGGTACACAGACACTGCACTTGGACAGGGGTCTAAAAATGATCTCTATAAAATGACATTAACAGTGTGAATTGACTGACTGATTTTGGCAAAGGACAGTCCAGGGGCCAACCTGTTTTATTTTGCTGTTTGGAGCTTAGTAAGTAAACCTGTTAAATCTAAAATAGGTAAACACTGGTTCAACAAACAGTTTGTAAATATGTCAAAGTGGAAAAACTGTTCAGTAAACTAAAGAGTTATCGTGAAAAGATGTGTTGCTTATTGAAAAGTTGGATGTACTAGTGGTTATACCACATACAGGGGATAATATATATATATATATATATCTCAGACATTGGTCCCTATTTCCATGAGTTTAGTGCACAGTGTGAGAAAGCTGTTCACCTATAATGTAGGTGAGGATCCACCTTGAGGGCAACTATCGAGTACAGAATGGCCCATTTATCCCAAGTGGGATGGGAGTCCTATGCAGTCTGTTATTTGAATGATCTGTAGACCTGGAAAGTCACAGCCTCAGATTCCTGGTTATATCATCCAGGCCACACCATGAACAGGTCTCTATAGCATATTCTCTTAAACAATCTGGACTTTAGAAAGCTCAAGGCCTTTCCCTTGCACATTGGTGATAGGCTAAGAAAGTCAGTTGATGCTTTTAGACTGTAACTAACCACCCACTGAGAGATATGCTTTAGAAAGGTATGGGCACTGTCACGAGGACTTTTGTTTGAAAACGGTTTAAATTGAAAAAGTAAGAAGGCACTCAGGACCTCCAGACATCATAATGACTTAATTGAGACGTTAAATATGGGTTTCTTTGCAGTATAAAATGGGGACATCCTAACTATCAGGGGTGCCAAAAAGATAGATTCCTAAATGTTGTAGAACTACAACTCACATGATGCTTTGTATGCCTGTAGAATGACAAAGCATCTTGAAAGCTGTAGTTTTAAACCATCTGGGGATCTACATTTCTGGCACCCCTGCTACATAATCTTCCCTTGATTCCTGGATAATTATGGAAGTCTTGGGTAATGGCTTAGAACTCCCACTACTTCATAAGCTAATGTCCTCCTTGAAGACTGTAAAGGCTTTCAGGCTCACTGGTTCAACATTAGCTAGATACAGTATTAACTTAGCCTCATGTGGGTCACTCTTTACACAACCAGCTTGCCTTCCTATCTAATGCAACCCTACAATGTTTTATTTCCAGAAAATTCTGATATTTCTCTTTCACTCCCTAAACATTGTATATAGACCTTTTTTTTTCTCTCAGTATTTCAGTCAGCATCAGAACTGACTGTAAACTGATATGTTAGTGATGTGAACCTTCGCGGTTAGTGGGTCTCACATACACAACACATCCTATTAACTATCCCATGTCCACACAGGAAGACATACTCAAACTGTACAGATAATGCAGTCCCATGCACTTATACAACAACTTTAAAACAGAACACAGATTTAATATTACAATCATAACCGCAACCAACTGAATGTTTAAGTACTTATATGCCCCTTTTCATTCCTGGCAAACAGCGGTTAAATTGGACAAGAGTGTACTGTTTTAGAGACCAATTGACGACAGTTCAAGCGGAGACAGCAACACGAGATAACCATTCTATGGAACACTGATATTAACCTGTATTCATCTGTAATCTATGACCAGTGATATACAAGGATAGTCACAATAGGTTTGCCAAATCCTGGTCCTGAAAGGGTTAAGCACCACTTCGTCATACAATAGGAGTATCCACAAAAGTATAAAGTGATCAGCTTGAATTGAAACACTTCTCCCACAACGTCTCTATAAGGCTTTATTTTAAACATTTGGAAGACATTGGTGGAACAACAATAACAGATATTCAAAAATGCATGAACTGTAAAAGAAAATAGCCATTAAAGAAAAAGGACACTATTTATTGTGTAAAATGCTCATTTAATACAATTAAAAACATTTCATAAAATGACTAATACCTCAGAACAAAAAAAAAAATAAATAAAAAGGGGGTTGTGGAACGGTTGGGAGAATAAAACATTTACGTCTAAAAACCGAGGTGATCAATTTGGTGCTCCCCCGAAATTGGCTAGAATTCTCCACGTCCTTCTGCTGAATGTAAGTGAGGAGAGTAACAATCCATCAATACATACTGTTCACTCTTACTCTAAAACTACAGGCTAAGACCATGCAATCTACACAAATAGCACTGGACATCTCGGCAGAGATTCATTGACTGGTATTGCTATGAGTACTGTGGTTAAACACCTGCAAGAACACAAAGAAGAAAGACAATAATAAGCAGAGGTATATAAAATATGATAAAATAATTAATTATATAGAACTGCAAACTGATGGTTCATTAGCCTAGTTAATAAAATAATAATATAACAGATGTAGGACACAAATTCCAGTTGGATTCACTTCTGCATTAAGCGAGCAATAGCAGGCTGTAGGCACAGAGAAAGACCAATGTTTTGTGGGGTTTTCCCCTCTTCAAACATGTTTTGACACAACTGGGAAGTATTGCATACACTATTTGCACCATAACAACAATTAACTGTAGAGGTTATGATGCTTAGAATGTCCCTTTAATATTATACTCAATAGATCACTACACATTTATAAAATGAGAAGTGTGACAAAATACTAGATTTGTTTTATACAGGGGAAAAACAAAAATAACAATACCTGAAAACACATCTGTTATAAGTTGTTCCCTCTGCATTTTCCCTTCTGTTGTGTTACTATCTACTTGTTCATCGTGATTTTCTCCCACAGGTCTCAGATCGGGAGCAATTTCTATGTGGTTATTTTTCATGATTGCAATATTGTGAAGTATGCAGCAAACAACTATAATTTTGCAGACTTTTTCTGGGCTGTATAGAAAGGCTCCGCCAGAGTGATCCAAACAGCGGAAACGGCTTTTTAAAACGCCAAAAGTACGTTCCACCACGCAGAGAGTTGAGCGGTGCGCTATATTGTATTTTACTTCCGGCTTTATGGTTGGGCTGCGAACAGGAGTCAACAGCCAAGATTTTACACCGTAGCTAGGTTCGCCTGCAAAACATAAAATTATTCACATTTTCAAAATAAATAATTCCATAAGTAGGCTTAGTATAAACTGTATATATAGAGTTAAAATATAACTTTAGTGACTAGTTTGATACATTTTATATTATATAGCCTGACCTCAGAATGGAATCATTCTTGTGAATATGAAGACTAATGACAACAAGCCAAACAAATCATCTGAAGACACCTACTGAGCTGACATATTGTTTAATAAAACAAATTAAAAAAAACGGATTGTGTTCTAATCTTTTTTAATTAAGGACACATGACGGAAATTTCCCATCATGATTCCCTTTTATTTCTGGAGCTGTGTCCTTAAGAGGTTAAAGGGTTTTACATTCCATTCGGGTAGTCCCATGCAGATGTAACGCCTGCAATATTTTAAGATGCCATGCTTACTTAGCTCAGAGAATTGACCATGACTTTTGCCCATTAGAAAATCTTTGTTAAAACTAAAATTAAAACCAGGATGCCTTCATGTGAGTGATGGTTTGACACTTACCAAGGTAGCCTTGACCAGTTTCGATTTGTGATATATCACTATGTGAAAAAGATATATCAAATTCCTTCATATTTAGATGATACCCCACATCTGAGATCATCCAAACATGGGAGGAAATAATATAGCTAATATAAAATCACGAAAACAAAAGGTCTGTTGAAGGCACCGGGAGACTCGGGTAAGTGTTAAACCATTAGAGAACTCTGCATCTTAATCACAACAGACGTACGTGGTATCCTAAAATAGGGGTAGTACTTTCCTATGATAAAGGGTGAAAAACCTACAGCCGCTGGGACATCCAACTATGCAGATGTTTTGGATTGGCATGTATTACAGTCTTCGTGTGTTAAACCATCATTACTAGAAGTCCTATGCAAACTTATCTTAATACAAAATATTCACGATATTGAACATGTACATATAAAGAAGGCAAGAAGCACATATGTATGAAAATACTATACCAACCTAATAACCAGCCTCCATTAAATTCACCATTTTCAAATCTTTCACGTATCCCGGATTGCCTCAAAATATATGAATTGCGGGTCGATCCAGGAAAACGGGCCACGACGTCTAAAATTTTCATATCTGATGCGCATACCACTTGCACATTGATGGAGTGGTAATGCATCTTGTTGCGATAAATTTGTTCAATTTCAGCCGGAGGTGATAAGGCAACATGCGTGCAGCCGACTACACCAACTACATTTGGAAATCCGGCAATTCTAAAAAAGCCTTCTTTAATACCCTGTAAAGACGCGTCATCGTCCGGATAGTTAATAAATTTATCAGTGAGTTTGAGAATGGCAGATATGACTTCGGAAAGAGCACGACTGAAAGTGCTTTGTGTTATGCCTCCAACCTCCGCCACAGTGCTCTGTAACGAGCCACTAGCAAAATAATGCAGGGCACAAAGTAGTTTCACAATGCCTGGAACGGCGTTACTTCTTTTGGTCGTGGAGATTAAATCGTCCTTTATTAGTTCGTATAAGGACATGATGGCATCGGAACTAAGATGGTATCGAGTTTTAATTTCATGTTCATTAATTTCAGATAGATTTACTCTCACAGGGAATATTCGCCTCCTCCTTCTTCTTAAAGCCTCTCTCCTGTTATTCTCCCTATGGCGGTGGTGGTGGTCATATTGTACATCTTCATCACTGTCCTCCACCCGGGATCGAAGTCTTCGCAGAATCAAATATGGGATTTCCCAGAACATGGTGTTGCCCTAAAAAAAAAACAAAAGCAAAATTAAAAAAAATATATCAGCAATAAGGCATCATGATATTAAGGATGAGTATAATCCAGTATTTTAACAAATATCCCTTTAAGTGTTTACTTTCAAACTATTCTCCTGCTCCCTTAATGGGGTATTAACGTCACTCATGCATGGTAGGTGCAATATGTAGATTAGGTTACAGCTCGTTATGCAGAGAGGTTTTGTGTTTTATTTTTATTTTAAAAGCCTTTTGTTCTATAAAGCCACCTTGCTACCCCTCCTTCTTAACCTACAGAGTCCTTTTTGTCCCAAACTAATGCTGTATAGGTTGTCATGATGGTGTCGGAGGGATCTGGGAGTTGCAACTCAGCTGTTAGCTTACAAAAAACAAAAAACTGACAAACCAACCCCAACAACACCATGTTCATACAACAGAACTATCCTCAAAACATGGGAAACTAAGTTTTTGTTTTTTTAAAACACTGAGCACTTTGCATTTTAGTGGGGTTGTTGATTTCCTCCTGCTGGGTATGCAGGTTGCTCTGTGTTTTTCGCAGCTCCCATTCGCTAAACAGAGCCAAATGAAGCGGCAGGTGTGCTGTGCTACTACACGCCTGCCTTCCCTCCTTCTCAAAGGGCTGTGTTACAACACACAAATGTTTGCTCGCAGCTCCAGCACCGTGAGAACCCTCTGATTGGAGTATTCGAAGGTACACGTCTGTGTTGGGGAAAAGGGGGTGCTTGCTAAGACTGCAGACAGCCTTTATCATATATTATACATATCTACATCTACAGAACAATTCATTCTGAGGATTGCTTTATGTTTTGTTGTTTAACCCCTTAAGGACACATGACATGTATGACATGTCATGATTCCCTTTTATTCCAGAAGTTTGGTCCTTAAAGGGTTAAGTGGTGGTCAAACAAAATATAGTTAGTGTTTAGCCCGTTAAACTTTTTACTATCATTAGATACAGTCTTTAAGTACACTTTGTTGTTTGTATTCATTCCTTGTGCATATAAAGAACTCCTTATGGGATAATCTCAGTAGGGCAATAGAAAGTAATGTGAGCAGAATGACTGGCTCGTGTTAATAGCAGAAACTTATATATGTCTGTATGGCTATTGTAATGCATTATCTATATACTGCAGTAAATAAAACATGGGCCAACTCCAGGCTGAAATTCAGTAAAAGATCTTGGTTTAAATCAAATAGTGGTCCAAGTGTATTAATTGATCTGACTATGAAAAATGCACACAGGTCCCAATACAGGTTTAATTATGGTAAATCTTCAGACTGGAGTTGCATTATTATGGCCCCTAACATATGATATTTAACCAAATACATTTAAATTAATCTTGGCATAACCATATCCACCACTCGACTGACATCAGATTGAGCTGAAATTGTTATGTCGAGCTGGACTTTTGCAATGAGAAGTCTAATTTCAAATCAAAGCTCACACTGCTCCAGATGAACTGGCTAATGCTATTTCATGAGACATTCCCAGTAATTCAATAAAATAAGTAGATGGAAATTTTGAGCAATCCACTGGCACGATCTAAACAGCTTTCTGCTTGTGTAAGTAGCAACCGTATTTGTTGTTTGGTGATATTCTTTAACCCATTAAAGACTAATGAGATTTGTCAATTAAGACACAAATATAGAATGTCCTGTTTATTTAGAACAGGTTTTGGTATAGAATTCATCAATGGTCCTTAAGGGGTTAACATAATGTTAAGAAGACCTGGAGATCGGGGAATGAGGTCTCATGTACTACTAATTGTGTCTGTTTCAATGCAGTTTAAATCAGTGAAAACGTACTGCTTTTCTACCTTACCAAATGCTTGCCACCTGTTTTAGTCTTTTTATTTAGCTTTTTCCATGTTTTAATGCCAGATTATCAAAGACATACTCTAAAATATTAACAAATGACTTACCAGTAATGCTAAGAGGAGTCTTCACAATACAACAAAGGACTGCATTGCACGGGGATCACATTGGTGACCTTTTTCTTTGCGAGACTTCTCCTTCTCCAGAAAGGAGGATTCACGGTTTGTTTAGCTTTAGAAAAGCATGATGGCGACGATAGCCAAATTTCTAGAGAAAGAGAAATAAGGCGAGGAATACCACCCTGATACATAGAAAACACATGCATGGGTATTTGTTTTTTTTGTACGCTGGACACATGGCAGCAACGATATGAGAACAGAAATATACTCACACAAATAAGTAAGAATAATGTGTACGTGATGCGGATTATAAATACAGGTAGGTATGCCACTGTGTACTTTTCGACCATGAGCTGTGCAGCACCTGGTTATGTAAAGTGGCACACTTCGGGCTTATTTAAAGTGGTCCTAAGAGCACTCTGGGATCTATCACCAGGATACAGCTAGACAGTGCGCACATATTATTTGACACATTCATTTTAAGACAATAGCATTCTTGGAATCAAGTCCATATCCAGCTGGAATACCAATAATGTGTTAGAAGAACTGAGGCGCTCCACAAATACACACTTTGCATACTCAAATCAGAGCAAGAATACATTTTAAAACTTCTAATATAAATGTGCTGTATGATATATCCTGATACATAGAGCGCAGAAAACCGCAATATGGGCTTAGATTAAAAGTTTCACTTTTATTTATACCATTTATTAAATAAATACCATGTTCCACTCCGTGTATCAATGAAAATTAACCACAATATTCCTAGTTAATATTCTGGTTTTATGCTTGTTTATACTAAACATCAAGAATATTGTTGGTGTAAAATTTTGAATTATATATTGAGAAAACTACCCAAAAGTTGCAAGGAGTAAAAGGGAAGGAAATTTGCAGTGATTTCAAGGGCCTAATATTTAAAGGAACACTCCAAACAACTAGAGAGGATTGTGCCCTCTTTTTTCCCCATTTAACAAGAGAGTTCCATGAGAGTTCCATGATGCAATTTTTAACTCTGACTTCTAGTCAGAGGTGTCAGGAACAAACATGGCAAACACCTCATTGTCATATATAGCAAGCTTTGTTCTCCATACACTGCATAAATAAGGATAGCTCCACCTCATACATGTCATCACTTGGGGCCAGGCATCTCTGCTAAGCAGTGGGTAAACCATTTAGCAGTGGTGCAGTAGTAGGCACTTCAATCAGTTGGAGTGTTTATGATGCCGACAGTGTAAAAGTGTGGTGCTGTAACAGCTACTCCTGCAGTTCTTATGTTAAAGTGGCCATAATCAGATTAGGAGGATATTAAATATATCTAAGATCCATGAGAATAAAACCCATTTCTTAGCGATGGCCTTAGACGGAGAAAAGGCATTCGATAGGGTCGGCTGGAATTTTATGTATTCAACGTTAAAAGCTTTTGGACTTTCTGGCCAGATTTTTTCGGCGATAATGGCCTGCTACTCTTCACCATCTAGCAGGATAGTAGGAGGGGGGATTAAGTCAGAGTGGTTTATGCTATCAAATGGTACCCGTCAAGGATGCCCTCTCTCCCCACTATTGTATATCCTAACGGCTGAACCCTTAGCACACGAAATACGTAATAATATGGATATAACTGGGTTTTAAAAAAGGGATAAAGATTTCAAGATAAGTCAATATGCCGATGATACTTTGATAACGCTAACCAACCCAAGTAAGTCAGTTCCAGTTGCCATGCAAGTAATTAAAAGATATAGTTACTTGTCAAATTATAAACTTAATGTTTAAAAAACACTGGCATTACCTTTTTATGTGGAAGGAAAAGAATTGCAACAGCTAAAAGAACATTTTGCCTTTAAATGGGAAAAAAAGGGATTTGTATATCTTGGAATCAATATAGTGAAAGACCCAGAGAATACAATGAAGGCCAATGTAATTCCTCTTATTAGAGAATGTACTCACTCTCTGAAACAATGGAACGCCTTGCAGTTATCATGGTGGGGAAGGATTAATTTTATTAAGTCATATGTTTTCCCTAAGTTTATTTACTTATTGAGGATGATTCCTCTACAGATCCACCCCCAACGGCTTAGACTTGTGAATAAGTTATTCAGGGATTATATCTGGTCTGATAAGAAACCTAGAATAGGCCAGGATCTCTTATACTTGAAGCATAAGGAAGGAGGGATCGGTTTTCCAAATATTTTTTTATATCATCAAGCGGCACAGTTGATGCATACTCTTCCTTTAATTAAGCAGTATTCGTGTTCACAAGATTGGTTTAAAATAGAAGGTGCAGATATTACAGATCCATACAATAATGTTAGATTAATGTGGGCCATAAGAAATAATAGTAGAACTAAAAATATAAGATGCACGACGGATAATTTGATAACTAGACCGCTCTTAAAGTTCTGGCTACATCTTAAAAATCTTTTAGACTTGAAAAATAAAGTTTTACCTGCTCTGACCTTCAAAAATCTAGATACATGGATGGAAAATATGGATACGTCCGAATGGACTAGACTTGGTGTTAAAAAATTAGCTGACCTATTAGTAGATGGGAAGATTATGCCCTTCGCTGAGATACGCAGAATCTATGGTATTTCGTATTTACAAACGTTTAATTATATCAGAATTAAAAGCTTTCTGCAAAGCGCTCTTGGAAGCAACATGAGTTCTTTCTCATTATCTAAACTAAATGTTTTGATAGACTCAGAGAAAAATACTAAAATACTAACTAGATGCGTTGAGATTATAAAAGCTATAAAAAGACCTGTTTATCCTATAGCTAAAAGTAAATGGGAAAGAGATTTGATAATAAAATTTGATATAAAGGAATGGTATAAGGCTTTACAATCAGTCTATTCCACGATACACTGTCTAAATATTAGGGAAGCACTTTTTAAAATACTTAATAGATGGTACATGACTCCCAATAAGATCCAGAAATTTGCAAAGGCAGGGATATCTAGATGCTGGAGATGCGGAAATGAGGGAGCAAATGAATTACATATATGGTGGGATTGTGCACCAATTAAGGAAGCATGGGTTCAATTTATGGACCAAGTAAATAAATTGCTGGATATAACCCATTCTTGGACCCCAGACAACTTGCTTTTACATCTAAATTTACCGCAATTAACTAAAGATAAGAGAGATCTGTTGATTCAGGCTTTGATGGCCTTTAAAATGGCTATTGCAAAAAATTGGAAGAGGACAACAATTGATTCATGGCCACAAATGAAGGCATCTATTATTCAATGCAAAATGGAAAGGGGAATAGCCTCTAATTTAAGTATTAATATTAGACAATATGAGATCTGGGATGATTGGATAAAGGTCCTTGAGAATTAAATATTAGAATGTATATATTGTGCAGTAATTCATTGGTAATCTCTGAAGGAGCGGAAATTTAATTTAACTTTATGTAATCTAAGGGTAGAGCTGAATGAATAGGACAGGATGGTCAACTTTGTTATATGTTTGTTAGTCTATATGTATTTCTTTATTTATTGTATTTACTTTATATGCATTGTATGATATGCACGCAATGTATGATATGTATATATATGTATGTTTGATATAAAAGGAAAATAATAATTAAATAAACTATAAAAAAAAAAAAAAGTGGCCATGGAATGGAGACAAATATCTGGGTCATCATGGCGACCTGCCACTTGGGATTTGTCAAAGTCCTGAGTTAGAGGACCACTGGTTGCCTATCCTTGAATTAGTGTTATAATGCCAAACCTTTGCACTGGTGTTATCCAAGATTGGTTGGCTGAGTATCAAGGGGGAAAAAAATCTGCAACAGGTGGGGTGTCAAAAATTTGGTCATAAATGTTCAAGACCAGGGATGGGCAACCTTATAGTAGCACTGTACAAAATTAAAGCTTTGAAGTCTCTTGGCATGAGGGTCCTATTTTTTTAACTCAATACATTTGTATGTTGCTGCAGTTGCTTTGTAGGGTTGCATTTGTAAGTGGGCAGTGTTATATAGTGTTTGTACGAGCAGTTTGTGGTATTGTGTGTGATATGTATGTGTGTGCGCTGTATATCAGTTTATGTGTATGAATGTGTGCTGTGTATGGGGGATGCTTGTGTGTTTGATAGATGTCGTGTGGTATGTGCGATATTTGTATGTGTGGGGTGTTACATGTGGGATGCTACTTGTGTGCGCGTATGTGGTGGTATTGTGTGTGTTTGCATGTGGCAAGGATTTTTTTCTGCAGCAGTGTGTTTATGTCTGGCTGTGTGAATGGCTTCCTTGTGATCCAGTGGGAACCAGGCTGGCCAGGGTACAGGTCAAGGGTGTGGGCTGTGTAGGCTGCTGCATGCTGCTCTCCTCCAGTTGGGATTTCCCTTCAAAGGCACTAGGAGGAAGTTAATCGGAGTTCACTTAATCTGAAAGTTGCAGTGAGTAAATAGAGGGCTGTCCCTCGCTAGCTGTTGCAATCACCGTTAGTGCCGAACATTCACTTGGCACTAGCAGATATCTAAAGAAGGCCCACTGGGACGACTAGCTCCAGGGATGATCCTTGTATTTCCAGAGCCTGTTTGCGTCTGGCAGCCTTCAATGCTATGCATTGCACACTGCTGTCCACTGCTCTAGACAATTGGTCTTTAAAACAGTCCTCAAAGTAAGTACACCATCAGTCCAGGTTGTGTCAGTTTAACCCCTTAAAGACACATGACATGTGTGACATGTCATGATTCCCTTTTATTCCAGACATTTGGTCCTTAAGGGGTTAAAGGGTTTCTCCAAGCCCCGTAACCACTTTATTGATTACTTAAGTAATCATGGTGCATGGAGACTGAATGTGCAGAATTCCAGTTTAAAATACTATACAAACAGAGATATAACCCAGTGCTACTGGACATGTAAATCTAACTTTGGCATGGTAATTAGCTGTGAGTTCAGGTCTGGTCAATGTTAAATCTGTATGTATTGGGAGTCTGTCATCTACACACATAGCATGCTGATGACAGACTATCAATGGCGGCATGCCGTCCCAGTCAAGTTTCCCACTCAGCCCGTCCCTCTCCCAGCAGCGTCAATGCAGGACGACTGTTCAACAAGAAAAAATGGTCCTCAGCGTGGGATCACGCATATATTTTTCTATTTGTTTGGTGAGGGGGGGGTTTATTCAAACACTTATGTTGCTTTTGTTTGTTTTTTAGCTCTAATAACAGTTTCACCATAGGAACAGATTTCAGAAATGCCTAAATCCAGGACTTTTGTTGTGCCTTGAAGCCTGTGTTGGGAATTAATGCTATTCACAATATTTCTGATTGATAGACATCACTATCAACAATACAAGAGGTGAGAAGTGGTTTTGAAACACACGAATACACACCATGGTACAAGTAAAACATTTGTAAACCATATACATTTTATTCATAAGAATATCTGAAAACAAATTATAAAAAAAAAAGTGGCTGATAAGGTCAAATATCCGCTGGTAACACATACTTCACTAAATCAGGCAGTAGGAACCAATCAAACCATAACTATATTCACTTCCAAAACTATTAGCAGGTTCCCTCACTAAAAACTGAGGTTGTGTGTGTATACGCACCAGCTAAACGTTTCTGCTAAACAGTTGATGGAGACCCTACAGAAATTAAGGACTCTGACAGGATAGCAACACCTCTATGTTAAAGGGACTCTATAGTCACCAAAATAGCTTTAGCTTAATGAAGCAGTTTTGGTTTATAGATCATGAACTACAGTCTCAATGCTCAATACACAACCATTTATGAGTTAAAGTGAAACCATAGTGCCAAGAAAACAAACTAATTTGATGGCACAAACCCCTTCTGTCACTTACCTGGCTCCAGCGCTGATGTGCCTCGGCGCTGGCTCGGGTCCGCCTTCTCTCCTCCCCCGAGGTCAGCCGTACGGCAATGGCTGTGCTAGCATTATGATTTACCCTTAGGAAAGCATTACTCCATGTTTTCCTATGGAGTTTTGGGTGATGCTGGATGTCCCTATGCTTTGTCGCCTACCAGCCTGGAAGTCCCTGTAGCAGCTTTCTGGTAGACAGCCACTAGAGGTGAAGTTAACCCTAGGAGGTAATCATTGCAGTTTCTTAAAAACTGCAATAATTACCTGCTCATGGTTAAGGTACCTGGGACAGTGCAGTGAGCTGAAGTGGTCTGGGTGCCTATAGTGTCCCTTTAAATCACTGTCAAGTAAAATGTTTATGAAAAAAGGGTTCATTTTTGCATGAGACAGAAGTTTGATAATAGGCTAAAAATCTTGAAGCAGCAGGTTAAAAAGGCACAAATAAAACGTTAATATAAATAATTTGTATTCTAAGCAGAAAACATGAATACTGCTGCGCTCTATACTACAGAAAAATAATATTTAACCCCTTAAGGACAAACTTTTGGAATAAAGGGGAATCATGACATGTCACATGTCCTTAAGGGGTTAAAAAGGACACTCGGGTCCCCCAAAACTGAAGTACTTTATAGTAAAATGGATCTCAGTATAACGTAGACAATAAGGGTACCGGTCATGTCCAGGTATATGTATTGTCGGAGTTGGATGGCTGTATTGTTTACTAGAAATCTAGCTAATGATGTTACCAAGGTAACTGTTATTTAATTGCATTCTTTATTGTCAAAGGCACTAAGGACACCTGGATACACCTCCTATAACAGCAGCATGGACCAGGAATCTAGGATCTTTGTACATATACATATATATATATATATATATATATATATATATATATATATATATATACACACACATACATACATACATACATACATACATACACACACACACACACACACACACACACACACACACACACACACAAAAAAAAGATCCTCTTGGTACATGCTACATGTCTATGTTAATTCGTGCTATATATGTATGTGTCAGATGGTTACTTGCTCACTGCTGGCATGTAGAATGAGTAATGTACACAGATATCCCAATTTATCGCCAGATGTATTAACCCCTATGAGAAAGGGCCCAGTGCTTGAGATGGTGACATCTCACATTTAACAACAATACGAACAACTGGACAAAAGAGAAATCTTACAAACGTTATGATGAGACCACGACTGCACTGTAAACGAATAACTCACCATGGTAACCATCAATCAGTCCAAGGATAGATCATAAATCCCTTACTGTATCCTGCACAGCTTGACCCACATGTTCTGTGCAGCGCTCTCACTGGCCCGCCTGCTTCCTGGGAAACAAACGAACGCACACATTAGTTCCCTCTGTACTGACTGACAGCTTGCTTATTCAATAAAAGGTGACCTCTGAGTTCAGAGTGCCTGTCATATGGAATGCAATCAATGTTCTTCACTAAACTGCAATTTGTTAGGGATTCAGAGAGTGAATTTCTTATTGTAAGCCACAATCATAATTATTCACTGAAGTGTGAAGTGTCAGACATTGAAAATGAATTTCAAAGTGTATGCCTAATAGCCAAACTGCTGTAACCACTTTATTGAATATCCCCAGAGCAGCTAAGCCAGTTAAGATTTTAGTTGAGCTCTTCTCCCCTGCTTTGTCTCATACCACCTTTATGGGCTCTGACTGCCTCTAGGTGACCTTCACAGTCAGTGGGGGACAAGCTGGAACAATCACAAAAAAATGTCCCTAGAGGGCAAGTAACTTTACCAAAACATTATTTTCTGGACATGGGATAGCTCTCCCTGAGTAATGCTTGGAGGTGAAGCTAGTTTATCCCAATATCCCATGATGATAAGGGGACCCAAGTATCTGTCATTCACAGTAAATGCGAGTGATGGAGAGACTCTGGGTGTGCACTCTTAATCTTAAAAAATAAACACCCCCAACCCAAAAAAATACAAATTGTAAAAACGTTATTTTTTGTTAATTAATATTATTTTACAATACCTTGAAAGGAACACTATCATCAAATTTTAAAAATATTTTAATATAATCTATATGTTATAATATACAATTTTGTTAATTTTTTTTTTTTTAATTTATCTGTATTGAAACCTTTTTTTTGGCAAATAAATAAATAATAACTTGCCTACTTTTCTCATTCTGCCAAACGTAACTTCAGTCAGGTAGTCCTTTATCTTTAATTGGTCACAATTTTCTAACAGTCTGTTGCTTTTCTATTGCGTAACGGAAACATTTTGCAAGCTGAAAGAGAACACTATTTTGAAATGCAATAGTTGCAAAATAGGGAGCACTGGGTTAGATAACTGACAGACTAACTGAAGGTAGGCAAGAGACTTGTTGAAAATATAATGTACATGAATTCAAGATGAATTAGAGTGTATATTATAACAAAGAGTATATTAAAAGGACAGTTTATGGGGGACCGAGCCTTGACTGCCATAATGGTCAGTCGCACGAGGCACGAGTTCCAGACAAAGTTTGACTAATTAGCAATTAGGGGGGCCCACATACCCCACTACTCACTTTATTGGCTCAGGAACCAACATCTGGCACATTCTTAGCTAACTGGGCGCTGATTTAGAATCTTGCCATTCAAGACTTCTGTAGGGCTGCACTGTCCCTGTGGAACTAATTTCCCTCCTCCATTAGATGCTCACCCTGTCTCCACTCCTTTAAAAAAATCATTGAAAACTCACTTCTTCACAAAAGCGTATCAATTAAACTGTTAATAACTCCCAACTGATTCCTCTCCTGCAACTAAAACTACTGTAATTAAAAAACAAAACACACTAAGTCTTCAGTGAATACTATTCTACCAATCTACTTGTCTAATACAATCCTTACCCTTTGTGTCACTTTATCCCACTCCCTCTAGTCTAGTATGTAAGCTCATTAAAGGGACACTATAGTCACCTGAACAACTTTAGCTTAATGAGGTTGTTCAGGTGAGAACTATAGCTCCCTGCAGCCTTTCTCATGTAAACACTGTATTTTCTGAGAAAATACAGTGTTTACATTGAAAGCTAGGAACACCTCCAGTTGCAGTCACTCAGAGTGAACCTCCATCCACTCAGATCTGCTGTGCACTTCATTATCTCCTCCCACTGCATGCAGACACTGAACTTTCCTCGTAGAGATTCATTGATTCAATTCATCTCTATCCTCCGGCTACCCCCAGTGGGTGAGAGACTTAATCTTTGGAAGCACCCGAGTCTGTGTCCCAATGATGCAGGCCCTCATACATGCCTGCTGCTAGAAGGGTACCCTGTACCAGTACTGCTCTGCTGTAATGTGTATGGACTTTCCAAGACATATTTCAGCCATGCCCTTACCTGATCTCGACTCTGTTTTGATACTGGTAGACAATATTTTCTTTGCACTTCATGTTAAGCAACTCATTACGGTTTCTTATGTTGATCTTTTATTTGGTGCTGCAGTTTATTGAAAAGCCTAACTCCAGTGGTTATTTTGCTTACATATATATCTGGTCTGTTATACAATACATTACCATGATATTCCATACTCTCTACTCTCAATCACCATGTCTACTTGGTTTCCTATGTTGCTGGTTTACTTAGCAAATTAACCCCTTCAGGACGGAGTCAATAGTGCACGTTCTGATCAAAACAAAACGTAAACAAAAACTGGAATTTGTGCTAAATGTCTGTTCAACCGTAATTCACCGCTGTCACATTAAGTGCACCCACACTTGTTATATATCATTTTGTTCAGGAGAAACAGGGCTTTAATTTATCATTAACTATTCATATATGGAACAATTTATTATAAATAAAATTTTACAAATGTGAGAAAATAAGATTTATTTTTTTTAAATTTGTATTTCCGTCTGACATTTTAGCTGTGAATATCATAATACTGTTAGATTGTACTGCAAACAAATGCACATATTTGTAATCCGCGATGTCTCACGAGTACAACAGTACCCCCCATTAACAGGTTTTATGGTGTTTTGGAAAGTTACAGGGTCAAATATAGAACGTTCCATTTTCAAATTGAAATTTGCCAGATTAGTAATGTTACCTTTGAGACGGTGTGGTAGCCCAGGAATGAGAATTACCCCCATAATGGCATACCATTTGAAGAAGTAGACAACCCAAGGTATAATTGCCGTGGGAGGGCTGCCTGGGCTGTGAGGCAGTCCTCCCGAAGCGGAGCGCCGGTAAGGAGAGTATCCCAGGCGCTCCAGGGGCTTCAGCCGTTACGGTGTTCTATGCCGTCGCAACGGCTTTAAAGCCCAATTAAAGCGGGACGGCATAGAACGCCATAACGGCGTTAAGGGGTTAAGTGGCAATTGTGCTAGACTATGTTTTCCATGTTCTGCTAGCCTTGCTTGTTTTTACACTTCGTCTTTAATAATTGTAGGCAGAGACTCATCATGCTTATTTTGCCTGTTAGACATAATGACCTAACCTGACTAATTATTTTTATTTCCATAAAATTGTGTTGTTACATTCTATGCAATGCCAATGTATCACTGTGTATATAAACAGAAAGGATTTCTAGCTCTTCTTACAATATTGAAAAGCAGCTAGGACGACCCGTACCAGAGTCTCTTCTTTCTGGTAGTGGATATAGTACAAGATGACAGCCGCCATCAGAAATTTTGGGGCCCCTAACACAGGTCAAGGTCTGGGCCCCCGGTTGCCCGCCTTCAAGCCCACAAGCATATATTACATACATATATGCATACACACGCACCTCAGTTTTCACCCACCCTCCTCTTCCTTACCTTTTCGTTGCAGGAGGGTGGCTGGGGATGATTGGAGTCGGCTGCCTTGCCTCTCCTCGCGGCCTTCAGGCTGTCTCTCCTCCTTCCCACGCGGAGTAAGCTGGAAGTGACCGGCCGTCACTTCCTCCCAGCAGCACTTGTGGTGCAGCTGCAATTTTTTTTAAAGTGGCCCGGTCGCGCTTTTACAGCGCTGACCGGGCCCCTGAAGATATAGGGCTCATCGGTTGGGCCACCTGATGGGCCCTGGTGCAGATGCACCGGCAGCAGTTCCGCCGCCGCGCCCATGACAACCGTAGTGATCAGTATATATGTAAAATAAGAGGACAGGAAACACAATATAGTGTAGTATGTTCTTATATTCACTGAATAAAATATACTTCTAGTTTATTGGAGCTTCTTATCAGCTCCAAGTAACAGTGCTTGGCTAGTATGATCCTTGCCTGTGGATATACTGGTGCAGGGAAGTCTTTGCAGGACCGGTCAGGATCCAGATACAATGTATAGGAATCCTGATGTAAATAGCAGCAAATCATAGAAACATAAAATGTGACGGCAGATAAGAATCGTTTGGCCCATCCAGTCTGCTCACTTTTCTATATACTTTCATTAGTCCCTGGCCTTATCTTATAGTTAGGATAGCCTTATGTCTATCCCACGCATGCTTAAACTCCTTCAATGTGTTAACCTCTACCACGTCAGTTGGAAAGCTATTCCATGCATCCACTACCCTCTCTGTCAAGCAATACTTCCAGATATTATTTTTAAACCTTTGCCCCTCTAATTTAAGACTATGTCCTCTTGTTGTGGGGGTTTTTCTTCTTTTAAATATAGTCTCCTCCTTTACTGTGTTGATTCCCTTTATGTATTTAAATGTTTCTATCATATCCCACCTGTCTCATCTTTCCTCCAAGCTATACATGTTTAGATCCTTTAACCTTTCCTGGTAAGTTTTATCCTGCAATCCATGAACCAGTTTAGTAGCCCTTCTCTAAATTCTCTCTAAAGTATCAATATCCTTCAGGTAATACGGTCTCCATGACTGCGTACAATACTCCAAGTGAGGTCTCACCAGTGTTCTGTTCAATGGCATGAGCACTTCCCTCTTTCTACTGCTAATACAGTGAGGGAAAAAAGTATTTGATCCCCTGCTGATTTTCAACATTTGCCCACAAAACAAGAAATTTTCAGTCTATAATTTTAATGTCAGGTGTATTTTAACAGTGAGAGACAGAACAACAAAAAAAAAAAGCAGCTGGGACCATAGTCACCAAGAAAACAATAGATAACACACTACGCCGTGAAGGACTGAAATCCTGCAGCGTCCGCAAGGTCTCCCTGCTCAAGAAAGCACATGTATAGGCTTGTCGGAAGTTTGCCAATGAACATCTGAATGATTCAGAGGAGAACTGGGTGAAAGTGTTGTGGTCAGATGAGACCAAAATCGAGCTCTTAGGCAGCATTCCTCCTCCTCCAAACACAGCAAGCTGAGTTGATGCCAATGACCCCAAAAACACCATCCCCACTGTTAAACATGGAGGTGGAAACATTATGCTTTGGGGGTGTTTTTCTGCTAAGGGGACAGGACAACTGCACCGCATCAAAGAGACGATGGATGGGGCCATGTACAGTCAAATCTTGGGTGAGAACCTCCTTCCCTCAGCCAGGGCATTGAAAATGGGTCATGGATAGGTATTCCAGCATGACAATAACCCAAAACACACACAGCCAAGGCAACAAAGGAGTGACTCAGGAAGAAGCACATTAAGGTCCTGGAGTGGCCTAGCCAGTCTCCAGACCTTAATCCCATAGAAAATCTGTGGAGGGAGCTGAAGGTTCGAGTTGCCAAATGCTAGCCTCGAAACCTTAATGACTTGGAGAGGATCTGCAAAGAGGAGTGGAACAAAATCCCTCCTGAGATGTGTGCAAACCTGGTAGCCAACTACAAGAAACGTCTGACCTCTGATTGCCAACAAGGGTTTTTCCACCAAGCACTAAGTCGAAGGGGTCAAATACTTATTTCACTTATTGACATGCAAATCAATTTATAAAACTTTTTTGACATGCGTTTTTATGGATCATTATTTTTTATTTTGCTATTCTGTCTCTCACTCTCAAAATCCACCTACTATTAAAATTATAGACTGATCATTTCTTTGTCAGTGGGCAAACGTTCAAAATCAGCATGGGATCAAATACTTTTTGCCTCACTGTACCCCTCCCTAATCAACCAAGCATTCTGCTAGTATTTCCTGCTGCTCTCTTACATTGTCTGACCTTGGCTATTCCTGACTGTCTTTATCTGTACTAAAGTTAAGTGTGGCCATTCTAAGGCCCGGTTATACATCTACCTAGTACCTCTGTTTATGGGATTCGCCATTCCTGTACGTTGGAGTATGACCCCTGTGACAGGCTGAGGTTTTCCACTTTTAGTCAGTGACCTAGACTGAAAACTCGATAGAGTATTCTTGCCAGATAGGCTTTGTGGCTCAAGTCATAGTGGGCGGATTTCTTGGCATTGCTAGGTCAGGACAAGGTAATTTCTGGAGCTGCAAGCATGATCTAATCTGTAATCTGTGTGTTCATTCTGTCCTCAAATGGAATATTACAAAATGTTACAGAGATGTGCTGAATGAGTTAACAGACAACATAAACATGACACAACTACCAATAAATGTGTTAAAGTTTATTTTATGTAGTACATTTACAAATGTCCTTAGGTTTATACATTTAAAAACAGGATAGAAAACAACACAAATACAGTACAACGTACAAATAAACAGATTATCAATTACTACCGTTTATATTAAAACGTTCCTACCAAGCAAGCTGGAGGTCAAAAGAGTCTGCATTCACAGACCTTGGTGATCATTTTGAGAAATATTAAATATCAGACTATTGCCCAACATATGTTATTTCACAAGGTTTTGAAAAAGAAAAACTAGAAATACTGTCTCTTAATACAATCAAGTGAGGGCAATATGAATCTGCAAAGTTTGAGAGCATAATATCAAAAGATATGTAGATTAGATTTTGTATGAAAGAAGTGTTGGGTATACATAATACATATCAACTGGTGCTTAAAAACCCCAAAAACAAAATAAATCTTGACATAAAGTAATTTGCCTATACAGAAACATGACAGTCAGCCATATGCACGAAGCTCTCGTTTACCCTGTCACTTGTTTATCAATGTTAAAAAAGTTGCACAAGGATCACTTTCTTGCCAATCGAATTATAGTGATCTGAAAACTACAAGGAGAGCCAATATAGAAACAATCTTCAACTAAGCTATAGTGATACTTTTAGCAAATTTTGCTTGAGTTTGGCAATTAGTAAGTGCAAGTGAATGACCCCCAGAATATTCAACAATATATATAATACAGCATACATTATTATGACGGAGCATACACAAGCTATATTAACAGATGGCTTTCCACACCTTGAGGAAGGGTTCTGTTGCTGAAACATTGCTTTTTGAATGGTCACTTGTCATGTAAACACTTTTATATAAAATACACTTCATAGTAAGTAGTGAGGTTTGGTTATTGGTATTTTTGTTGAGAAACAAGCTGTGGATCCAAGATTGCTACCCTCTAGGAGTGCTTCCATTGTATGTAAATTCAAAGACAAGAAGACAGTTAACCGTTAATGATACATAGATAAGACATATAATCACCATAAAATATATTGTTTATAAGGTTTACATACACTTGATCTGGGAAGCAAGATGCTCACAACTGTCTACATAGAAAGAGAAAAACAAACTGGGATTTCAGTGCATAAAATTGTAACACTGCTAAATTTAAAACAAACATTGCAGACAAAGCATGTTGGTCTTTCAGTCCATGTTTCTCGATAAAAGTATTAGAGGCTGAAATGTCAATATGCCATGCCGAGAATGTGTATTGATTGCTTTGAAATTTCTGGTTTATCTTTCTTTTTGGATTTACATTACATAAGACTGTCATTTATAACACTTCCCATAAGTAATGTTTTATCCTAGATAGTTGGTGCCCATTTTTATTGTGCTGTTTTAAGTAGCACAGGTTAGGGACCAGATCTTATTCAACAAACTGCGTAATATAAAAATTAGCCTTTTTCCCCTTTCCAGGCAGATTGAATTTCATTAAAAATTATAAATGAGATGATTGGCATATACTGTGATTGTCAAAAAGCTTATCATATATAGTATTAAACACACTGAGAATGGCTTATCAGAACTTTTTAAAGCACTGGCTTATCCATCACACACCTGCTGAGAAGTTTATCTAGAAGGGAGGTTCAAAAACTACCTGAGGTTGAACAGCTTTAAAACTGGTATTTTGGGGGTTTAATAACCAATTGAAATTTTATTAAAATTCTGCTATAAAAAAAAAGCATACTTATCTGGGTGAAGTCATTTTCTTGCATGTGGTCACAGTCCATAAGCCATAACTTCAGAATAGGTCTATGCCTTTGGCAGAAATCTCTCAGAGTTTTGCCAAATTACTTGTTTGGACTTTGTCGGAGAATACTCAATGAGTGCACGCATACAGTAAAAAGATGCCTATCACTGGCAATATAGTTCAAATATATATATATAGATAGATAATATATTAAGTTGAAAATTAATTAATTTTCTTCCTTCATATAATAATAATATATGTATTAAAAAAAAAAAACCACAATCTGCAGGCAACAAACTGTAGTTTTTGTTTCAGAGAACCACTTAGATTTTCAAGTAAGCAAACCTGCTTTAAAATCTATTGATTCTCAGAGGCCCTCCTTTAAAATGGCAAAAATTACAGCAGAGCCGGTGTAAATAGCCTTAAAACATACGTATTGTAAATCAGTGAACAGCACAAATTATCTGAACAACTCATTGTCTAAAAAAGAAATCACTAGCATTAAATGACAGCGGTATTTTCTTTACAGTGCAGTATACATTTTGCATACCACAAAGTGTCTTCAATGTAATTTACAATAACACTGCACTTCACACATTTTACAGATATGTTGAAATATCAGGACAGATTGGCATTAGCTTGCCGTTAAAACAAAGACAGATCACATGTTCATACACATATTGAAACCCTGAGTTATGAATGATATATAAATGTGAATAGCATCAACAAACCTTGCAACAAAGTTACTAATCTATAAATGTAACATAGGAAGTGTATTTAAACCCACATTGGTCCTAAACAATCAATGCTGAACATTTCAAACTACTTTACTGAGAACACAAACACAACAAGTGCATCAGTATTGGAGACTGACAAATGGAAATTTAATATTTATTAAGTAGTGTAGTGACCCGAGTAGAAAAACTAGATAGGTTAGCATGTAGGGATTACCGTTTCTGGATGTGGAGAATTCTGGTCTACCTGGTGCTGGCATGAGAAATAAGCAGTATAGTCACCAACCTGTAGAAACATCTGGTTTTTAAAGTACGAATAGTATAGTAGCTAAGTAGGTTAAGGGGCCTTTGTTGCATGAATGTGGGAATGCCTAGCAAGCACCCAACTGAGGAAAGGTCCCGGGCAGTGATATGTGCTGCTAGGTTAAACTGATGCACCTTGCTTCCTAAGCTAGCATCATGATAACAGAAGCATGGAATGAAGTAACCAGAACCAAACAGTACGGCATGATATCAGAACTTTATCATGCAGAATTGATATCCAATGCCTTTCCCCAAACAGGGAGCAAGTTCTGATTTAGAAGTCACCAAAACTACTACAGAAAGCTGGTTACATTCATCGCTGGTTGTGTGCACTTATTATGCAGTATGTAATGTGGGCGTCTCATGCAGGTGGCTCTGCTGGTACTATGTACCATAAGGGTGCCCTGTGGTTCCTGCTTGTTGTGTATTCAGTATGACATGAGGTTGCTGTGTATCATGTAAGTGCTGTATATTGTGTGGGTGTCCCAGGTCTTTTGTGTCCTTTGGATGACATGAGTGTTGCATGTAATATGAGTGTGTATGTACGAAGTGTCAAGCATGTACAGCATGTAGTGTGGGTGAGTTCCACTGGTTGGGCATCCTAACACAATTTTTTAAATTTATTTTTAAATATACCATTAATAAAGACATTTTAATACAGGTATTTTTAGGGAGAAAAGAGCCTATAGATGCGCAAGGTTTAAATCCAGATATGGTTCTCTGCCAGTATTACTGGGAAAATAAAATAAGTGTGCATCTTCAGTGCTTTAGAGTTCACTCTGTCCGGGTGTCAAGTTCCTCATTCCATTCACTGATATAATTTATTGGGCATTGCCCAGTTGTTTCATCATCTGTCAAGATTAAAAGAAAGACAAAATATTATTGCTTATTTGTTATAAGGTAGTCCCATTTTCTTTCCAAAAGCGCTCTGCACAGATAGAATATCCCAACTTTGAGATTGGCCATTGAGCAAATGCCATGTGAGACACGATGGCCACGGGCCAAGGTCAACAGGGGAGATGTCCCCTGCTGGCCCATGCAGGAATTGCGTTATTCAAGCACTCTTCTTTGTGGTCTGCCTTCACAGGCCAGTGGGGAGATCAAAGATCTCCCTCACTGGTCCAGTGCACCTTTCAGGAGGACGACACAGGAGGCTCTAGACCTGCACCTCAACAGGGTGCAGAATATTAATCTCGCAGTTCAGAGCATTGTTGAGTTTTACACCGGCAACGCATCAATATTGCACAATACCCGGATTTGTGAGAGGATTTGCCTATAGACACATACTGCACCACCTACACACTACATTCCTGACACACACACACACACACTACATCCCCTATACACAGAATAAATTCAATAACCACACTACATCCCCTTCACACACACACACACACACTACTGCCCCCATGCACAAATGCTACATTAGCCCCCTATACACACACACACTCACTGTCTACACACCCAATAGATTTTAGCCAGTCATATTATGCCACAAACACAACACAAATTAAACCAATGAATTTACACAAAACAAACGACACAAACAGCTCACTGTACACACACGCAATCTCACAAGTAGCCTCTAAACACATGCACAATACTCTTTCCTTGCCCTTTTGTTCTCTTGTATCCTTATGGAAGCACCAGAGACAAATTAAAATGGCTTGCGATGTGCAGAACAAATACAGTATTTTTCTCATTTCGAGAGCTCTTCAGCATAGCTCTGTGCGCGGGCTGCCCTGGAAGAGTACTGAACCAGCATTCTCAATTTGAGGGGGGTTTGCTTGTCATTGGCGATAACACAACTTTTCCTCGGCGATGACACAACCTTTCCTCTCCCACTGGGTCGCTGTGATTAAAAATGCCCTGGCCACATTTTTTCCTGGTCCAGCCCTGCTTGTGAGAATACACACTACACCATTACCTATGGTTATGTAAGTGTCTCACGGACATTGAGAATAATAGCTTTCACCAGAGTGGCATTTAAAATGGCTCTGTTACCAGAAAAATAACTATGAGCATTTCACAATGAATTGTGCAAGAGTACAGTAATTAATTACATGGGTTCCTGGCAAATTAAGTACCAGGGGCTGCACCCGTGGCTCAATACAACAGGCATTGAAGTCAAAATTGGCAAAGACTTAAGTTTCAGTCATCAACAGCAAAGATCAGACCATGCAATTCACAAAGTAAAGTATAGGTATTCACAGTTTCCTATCCTAACATTTGTTGAAAATGAATGACATTCGTCCATCATCTAAGACCATGATACTAGTTAATTCATACACTGCAAGAAGTTTACATGTATTGCATTAACTTCTCTCGTCCCATGTAACATTTAAGTCAAATCACACTCACTTCTTTGAGAGCTGGCAGGAGGGTAAACCTCTTCCCAGGTATACTCTGCCAGGTTTACTGGCTGGATTACCCATGGATCTCTAAGTAGTTCATCTAAAGTCATGCGTAACTCCGGATCTCGTTGGAGCAGAGCAGAGATCAGATACTGCAATTCTAAAATAGATGGAACAATACAAAATCAAACTCATGTGACATCAGTTATTCACATCTAGTGTTATTCTTTACAAACTATCTGAAAATGAGGTTAAAGGAAAAACAAGCACAGCCTTGTGAATTGTGGATAATCTGACACAGAGGAACGATAAGTTGATTTGTCTTTCAGCATAAAGGATAGTTTTGGCTGCCTGCGTTAAGCAATATACATTTAATTGGGTGGAACGTTCTAAGGGGACAGATGTCCAGATGTCTTAGAACTAAACACCTGGGAATCCATTACCTTAGGTCTTGTTGTGATTAATTGTGTGGTCAATATGCTCAACACGACCCCTTTTATAAAGCATCCAGTCATTTAGCCTTATACAGTAGTAGTGCAGACCCTGTGTTTCGGATACCTGCCTTTATTCGGTCTTAAATCAGGGGTGTCCAAAAGGTAGACCCCTAGATGTTATAGAACTTCAGCTCCCATGATGCTTTGCAGGTCTTTAAAATGACAAAGCATCTTGGAAGCCATAGATTAAAAACCATCTGTGGATCTTCCTTTTGGGCACCCCTGTCTTAAACCATAGCTTTACAATAAACAGATAGGTAAAGTAGTCATATAGGATAGCAGTCACTAGTCACATAGGACGGCAGCCACTAGTCACATAGGATAGCAGTCATATAGGATAGCAGCCAGCAGTCATATAGAATAGCAGCCAGCAGTCATATAGGATAGCAGCCATATAGGATAGCAGCCATATAGGATAGCAGCCAGCAGTCATATAGGATAGCAGCCAGCAGTCATATAGGATAGCAGCCAGCAGTCATATAGGATAGCAGCCAGCAGTCATATAGGATAGCAGCCATCAGTCATATAGGATAGTAGTCAGCAGTCATAAAGGATAGTAGTCAGTAGTCATAAAGGATAGCAGTCAGTATTCATATAGGACAGGAGTCAGGGAGGCTTACCAGGTGAAACAAGGAATGGAGGATTAAGCTCTGCTTCCAGGATCTCTTCTACCTCACAAAAGGGATTTTCCCCAAAAACTAAAGTGTACAGAGTCACACCAAGAGACCACATCTCCAACTCAGGGCCTGGATATCTGGAATAATGGTTTCACAAATTACTAGAAATTTGTATAAAGCATCAATACACATAAAGTGCAGCATACAATGGGTGCTCCGTTCAAATCAGTGGTAACTATAGTAAAAGAGGAAATGACTATTTAATCATAATGGCTGCGGCAGGGGAGGATGTTAAAGCCAGGATCCCTGCATGCCAAATGTATTAAAAATAAATGATATATAATCTATATATGATGCCACAGATACCTTGTGGGGTTTCAAGTAACCTTTATTCCATCATCCAAGGTGGCAAAACTTCAACCAACAACTTGATCTTTAGCAAGCCTCCTTTAAAAGACCAAAGAGTTGCCTGGAAGATTGCCTTCTTGGATAGTGTAATAAATGTCAGAGTATCAGAGGCATAGGATTTCTGTAAAACTTTCCATCAGTATTAAAGGATCACTCAAAGCTTGCTGTGTAGGTCTTCCATCTCCGCTCATCCTAGGTGGTAAGTGGAACTACTCCAGGAAGATACACTAATTATCCCCTACACCTCTGCAATACCTACCACATACTGGAAAGAGACCTTGCTGATTAGAGTGTCCCTTCTGGTCAGTAATTCAAAGTGAATTTCAAATGTAAGACCAAAGTAGCTCAAGTGGAATAAATCTCCAAGGCAGCTATACTTCTTGTACAACCACTTTGGCCTTATTCTTTGGACATTTCTGACTTTAGTAAATAATCATGTTAGCGTCTTTTGGATTTCACGGTTAACCCTCTATATACTTCATAACATGCCTTTACCACTAAGCGGCAACATAAACCCTTGTTGGTTCTGTTAAGCAGACAAATAAGTTTGGAGCTTTATAGGAACACTCCATGCACCAAAACCACTACAGCGCAGTTTGACTACTTACAATGGGGAGGGGGGGCAGGGCACCATAACAACAGTAGTTTACTGTAGTGGTTATGGTGCTTGGAGTATTCTTTTAATACAAGTAAGTCATGTGTAATAAGAAGTTAAAGGACTGTATTGTGTAGGTTGTTTTTTTTTTTAATTAGACTTGTAATATTCAACAACAAAAAAAGTAAAGTAAAAACATGCCTGTTAATTTTTATAATACACAACTTCTCTAAAATAAAAGTGTACTTAAAATAAACATAATTTACATATTACAAAACCCCAAAAGACAATCTTCGGATTACAGAATAAAAACGTACGCATTTCCAAGTAGAACCTCTGGTGCACAGTATTCAGTTGTCCCACAAAAAGTAGAAAATAGTTTTCCTGGCTCTACATGTGCTGCAGAACCAAAATCAACCACCTTAATTGTGAAGTCTGGAGAAATAATAATGTTTTCATCCTTAATGTCACGATGTAGAATGTTCTTACTGTGAAGATATCCCACTGCTGCCACCAGCTAAATGTAAATACAGGAAAATAGTCTGTATAATGCGCATAATACAGTTATAGAAAAATACAATATTATTTGATCAAATACGTAAGAACGGTTTGGCAACTCACCTGGGTCTTGCTGCCTCCCCTGCTGCTGGAAGCTTCTGCTATTGAGTTCTGCCATGCAAGGCTGTGCTCATTGGCAGACAGCACTCAGCAGACACTTTCAGACAATGAGCCATGGCCCAGCACGGCAAGGCTTAGATCAGTGGAGCAAACTGCAAGCCCCTTGCATTAGCTTCTGCCAGCATTGGAGACAGCAGCAGGTGTTAAGTTTGACAACTTACTCTGGTAGGCCACCAGAGTAATCCTGGCACTCTAACCACTACATATTGCTGTAGTGGTTATAGTGTTTTGACTGTTCCTTTAAAATGAAAGTCTTAATGAAAGGGGGGAAAAAAAGATGTAAATCTAATTTCTACCACCTAAAAAATGCACTAACTACTATGTATCAATGCCCATGAGGTGGTCTGTAGTAATGGGTCCTAGGGGAAATGTGATGGCAGTGATTTCAATAAGAGCAGAATACAATTAAAGAGCTCTACAAACCGTACATGAGATACTGAACAGTTAGTTATTGTATAGGACATAGTCACTCCTGGAAATAGGGACCCTGAACATATGCATACCAGCTCAAATGGGAAAACATTGGTGCCATAAGTTGGAAGAAAGTGGTGTGATGTAATTGCTCGGCTCTTGATAACACAAGATTGTAAATGGAATACTTTTTTTTTTTTTTTTTTACCAAGAAGAGGAGTCATGAAGCTAGTATTTATATTGCTGCAGATTACACACATAAGATTTACCTGTCGAAAAATATAACTGGCAAGAGGTTCATCCAGATTGGGCTGATTATCAATAAAATCAAATAGGTCCAGAGCATCCCCGTGGAGTTCCATCACTAGCTGGAAGAATAGGGCATTCTCAAAGACATTGAGAACCTACACAGATGTGTGGAAGTCAAGACAGTTTAAGGCATTGCATCAGGACAGTTAAACTATATAGAAAAATAGATTACTGCAGAAGGAGATCCAACTGGCACATTGGTTACAAACATTAATACTCCTATGGCTTAAATGTCACAGTGCTATGCACATCCCAAGCAATACTAAATACAATTATTGTATTAAACATTGCGTCCATTAAAAGGCTATTTCAGGGCCATAATTATTTCCAAAATGTATTATTTCTTCATATTATTCTTTTCGTTATTTCCTTTTGTACTGGTAAAATACAAAATGTGTGCCTTACCTGACAAATTAATTTCTTTCTGGGTGGTGAAAGCCCACAATTTGTGACATATGGGATGAAGTCTCTCCCAATCAGATGGATCGGAAAATTAATTTAAAATTATTATTTTTATTTTTTTTAAAACATTCTTGCTTCATTCAGAACTTCAATGAATCCAAACAGAACTAAAGGTTCTGGATGAGGTCCTTGAGCGGAACAAAAAATGCCAAAGCACAGCATTATGGGTGTTTCTACCTTCTCAGTTGGGAGGGACTTTATCCATAGATCACTACTTGTGGGCTTTCACCTTCCCAGGAAGGAAAATATTAATTTAATGAAGGGGCACACTAGGGTTGTGCGGCACTGACCTACGGTAAGTAGTCAAACAGATTTTGAACAGTTTAATACTTACTTGGGTCCCTCAGTTATTTTCATCTTCTCTAATATGTCTAAAGGGAAAGTTCTATTTGCATAATAGATATTTCAGTTTTTTTCCTACTTAGATGGAATTCATTGGCTCCAAGTTGAAGTGTGTTTCCTGGTAAGTTTTGTAAGCAAGACTGTACCATTTTAATAGTTACAGACTTAAAGGACCACTATAGTGCCAGGAAAACATACTAGTTTTCGCCCTGAGGGTGCCCTCACCCGCAGGGTCCCCCTCCCGCCGGGCTCTAGGGGGTGGAAGGGGTTAAACTTACCTCTTTCTCCAGCGCCGGGCGGGGGACTCTCCTCCTCCTCTCCTCTGCTGAATGCGCATGCGCGGCAGGAGCTGCTCGCGCATTCAGCCAGTCCATAGGAAATCACAGTGAGAAGCGTGCAAGCGCCTGTAGCGGCTGTCAATGAGACAGCCACTAGAGGCTGGATTAACCCTAATGTAAACATTGCAGGTTCTCTGAAACTGGGGGCCTCATGGCCCCCGTCCTGCTGGGCTGAAGGGGTTAAAACCCCTTCAGCCACTTACCTTTATAAAGCGCCAGGCTCCCTCGGCGCTGGTGACCTCTCCTCCCTCTCAGACATCAGCTCCCAAGTGGAGACGAATGCGCATGCACGGCCAGAGCCGCATGTGTATTAAAAACGCCCATAGGAAAGCATTACTCAATGCTTTCCTAGAGACGTCAGCGTCTTCTCACTGTGATTTTCACAGTGAGAATCGCGGAAGCTGCCTCTAGTGGCGGTCAGCGAGACAGCCACAAGAGGCTGGATTAACCCTGCAGTGTAAACATAGCCGTTTCTCTGAAACTGCTGTTTTCAGCTGCAGGGTTAAAACTAGAGGGACCTGGCACCCAGACCACTTCATTGAGCTGAAGTGGTCTGGCTGCCTATAGTGGTCCTTTAATGATTGGTACATCAATATTCCTAGGTTCATGACATCTGTGAAAAATACAAGTTTAATTTACCACCATCACACATGAGATTTAAATAATAGATGTGAGTTATATATGTATACATCATACGTAGTAAAATCTGAAATCCTCAATCTTGGCATATTACTGTGCACTATAGTATTAAGACACATTAGTAGTAGTAGTAGTAGTATCAAGAAAACATTAAGGCCTCAATTCAAAGAAATAAAATTGCTTTTTTTTTTCTTCTAATAAAGCTAAAGGTGCATTTCTCAGCATAAGCTTTCTCATAAAAAGAAAGAGAATGCACACATTCTACCTCATGCATATGCAGTGTATACACACACTGTACAAGTGTTTGAACAAGCATAGCTTTTTCTTGTGACGTCAAAAAGTGGGATTGGACTGAATGTAATTTTTTAAGCAACAAAATAGAAGGAAACATGAAAAATTATAGTTCCTTGGGTGTTTGGTGTTGCTCAAGAGGCTGAACCTATGTGGACCTATTAGAAATACATACCTCTATAATATTAGGATGTTGTAACCTAGACAGGATAGCAATTTCCCGAGTGACCCTCCCGAGATCAGGATCCTGCACCCAACAGTCATCAAGCACTTTATCCTTGCGTATAAACTTCACTACAACCTAGAGAAAAAAAAGAAAGAAAGAAAGATATTTCTTAATGACGTAAAGATATCTGAATGTATATGTTGCATGTTCCTGTAAAGAGCTAAGTGGTTTCCATCCTTCTATAACCATTGACCATCACATATGGCTCAGCTAATGCATTATAAAATGGTTTGTGCTTGTTGTTCAGAAATCACTAGAATTTTGAGTCATAGTATCAGCTTGTTAAAGAAACAGTTTCACCTCGATCTCAATTAAGCAGTTACAGGGCAGGAGAATCTGGGTGCGGTCTCATTCTCAATGAGCAGCCAGAGATTGGCTGAAAGTGTCACCTTATACTCTCAGCTTATCATCAGTTGTCAAGGTCACCTTCCTGGAGTGCACGGCAGTCAAGAGAAAGGAAGAGACAAGAAAGAGCAGTGAGACACCAGGGGATCATCTTCGCGATTAAATAAGTGGAACACAGGTTTAGCGCTGAAGTTAAGATGGCACCCTGAAAATCCTACCCCCATAATAAATATATTGAAATTAAGTTGTTTCAAGGGGGGTGATACTAACATATGTAACAGGGTTGATGTTCCAGGAGGGATAAGCCAAATGGCAAATGATTTAGGTAAACTAGGAAAATGGTCAGAGTTGTGGCAACTGACATTTAATGTGGATAAGTGCAATATAATGCATCTTGGGCGTAAAAACCCAAGGGCAGAGTACAGAATATTTGATAGAGTCCTAACCTCAACACCTGAGGAAAGGGATTTAGGGGTAATTATTTCTGATGACTTCAAGGTAGGCAGACAATGTAATAGAGCAGCAGGAAATGCTAGCAGAATGCTTGGTTGTATAGGGAGAGGTATTAGCAGTAGAAAGAGGGAAGTGCTCATGCCATTGTACAGAAGCCTGGTGAGACCTCACTTGGCGTATTGTACGCAGTACTGGAGACCTTATCTCCAGAAGGATATTGATACTTTAGAGAGAGTTCAGAGAAGGGCTACAAAACCGGTTCATGGATTGCAGGATAAAACTTACCAGGAAAGGTTAAAGGATCTTAACATGTATAGCTTGGAGGAAAGATGAGACAGTGTGGTAGAAACATTTAAATACATAAAGAGAATCAACACAGTAAAGGAGGAGACTATATTTAAAAGAAGAAAAACCCCCACAAGATGATATAGTCCTAAATTAGAGGGGCAAAGGTTTAAAAATAACATTGGGAAGTATTACTTTACTGAGAGGGTAGTGGATGCATGCAATAGCCTTCCAGCTGAAGTGGTAAAGGTTAACACAGTAAAGGACTTTAAGCATGTGTGGGATAGGCATAAGGCTATCCTAACTATAAGATAAGGCCAGGGACTAATTAGAAAATTAGTATTTAGAAAATTGGGCAGACTAGATGGGCCGAATGGTTCTTCTCTGCCGCCACATTCTATGTTTGATCTAATTTTGTTATACCTGGAATCAGAAATGTTACATATAGTGCCAACATAAGCTTAGGTTTGACATGTTCAAAGTGGGAATGTGTTATAAGTGAATGCAAGTTTCAGAATACATTTCTTCTAGAAAGTCAAGGCATGGATTGCATTACTTTCATATTAATATGATGGAACTATAGTTGTAATACTTAAGGTGTTTGTGACAGTTTTAAACGGCAGCTATGGAATATTTTATTTCACTCTATTAGATGTCACGAAGGCAATTAATAGCCAGCTTGCATTGAAGTCACTGTAATAATTACCTATTTTGTGCAGTGTTTCCTTACAAATTGGTTCTCAAACGGTTTTGTATGTAATGCTCAATCTTTAAAGGGACACAGCAGGATGGATTTCACCCATTTGTCTTTAACGCATTCTGTTGATTATGAACTATATATATTAATTCTGGAAGCAGACACCCACCTCTGTACCATCATCATCCCTGCTTTTTGCTGACCATACAAATCCAAAGGCTCCTTTTCCAAGAGGAGAAAGAGTTTCATATTCCAGGCAATACTCTCCGTCACAAGCGCCCTGTGCCTGTAAATCCTGTATCTCTGTGCAGTATCCTTCTTCAGCACTGCTACGGATCAGCTATGGGAGAGAGCGAGTAAAAGAGGTATGCATCACACACGCAAAGCAGGATCCTCCATAGATCTCAGTGTTGTACTCTCGCATACGCAACATACACAAAGATTGTTCACTGGCCAGCAATTGCAGTAAATTGGCAAAGGAAATGCAAAATGTAAACCAAAATAGCAAATATATAGAAATCTCTCAATTTTGTACATTACCAGTATAGAGAATAATACCATGTATATTTTTAGATTCAATTTTCTTAAAGCGGTAAGAAAAGAAAGCACAAATCCTTAATGGATACAGTTACTAAATGGCAGCCTTAGAGTTTAAAGGGACAATATAGGCACCCAAACCACTTTATCTCAGTGATTTGGTGTGGGTGCCATGCTCCTGTTGTTTTAACCCTGCAACACATATTACTAACACTACAGTGTTTCTTTAATGTTTAATCAATCTGCACTTATAGAAGGTAAATATGCTACAAGACTGAAGGAGGGAATTCCACCAAACTATTATAAAGGTGCCAACTGGTTTTCCCAAACTCATGCATTTTCTGTGTCAAATCAGAATCCAAAGTATTAATAATCAGCTTGTCAGTACTAGAATAAATGTTTATTACTGTACCTTTATTGTGTGATAGTGAATCAAGCTAATTCTTTCTACATACACAAATTAGTTCCAACCATTGTAAGGGCATGGATGGGGACATCTGTTGAAATCCAGTCATATTGTTATGGGCAAATGCAAATATTACAAGTTTTAGAATTAAATATTGTATTTCTTAAACTTTGTACTTTGTCTTTAAGAGATATTGCAAACTGACAAGGTGTTATAAATGGAACATATTGTTTTTCATAGATGTTTCTTTAAGCAATAGCCTCAGTGCATAATGTTTGCGCCATTTTGTCCCAGACGAATTACAATAACAACAATGCATAAACAAGCTTCAAGGCTATACTACGACTCTTGCAGTACACAATATACTGTGGTAACCGCAAGTTAATGGAACTTCCCCAAATCCGGGAATCTCCCACGACTGTACACTTACAACTTCGTATAAACAACAGATAACCTATTCAGACTTTAAGATGCCATCTTGAACTAAATCAGGAAAATTTCCATGACGTTTGCACCCTTTAGTTATGGCCTTGTATGTTTGCCAAGTTAAGGGAGGTCCTAAATTGAATAAAGTAAAAGAAGTGTTACTTTTTCATATTTGAACTACGGTAACCCGAAAATGGAGACACCTAAGGTATAAAAAGGTGTACTACATTTTTTTTTTTTCCTCTTCTTTTTTTTTCTCAGGATGTAATATTGGAATATGTGTTGGAACAACCTATTTAATGTGATATGGTAATAATAACATCTTGAATATGATATAGGGTGAGGTGGAGAGGGTAATTCCAAATTTCCTATATAACATATAACAACGAGTTGTAAGTTTGTGGCCCATCCCTTATCGAGTCTCATATAAATGTGTTCTTTTTTTTTTTTTCTTTGTGTTATATGTCTGTTTTGTTGTTGTGAACTATATATAATGTTAATGCTATAATGCTATGGATGGTTAAATGAATATATATGATTGTAGTAATATTAAGGTTGCAATATTGATATTTGCAAAATTAGTAAAATAATTGTTTATTTGATATGTATAAAAAGAAAGAAAAATATTGGTAAATAAAATAAATATAAAAAAAAAGAAAAAAAAAAGGTGTACTTCTAAATGTTAAGACACAGAGGAGAGACTTGGAGACAGACGCTTCTCCATCTTAAAATGACAGAGAGGCTGACACGATGACATGATCAGAAGGATATGTTAACCTATTAATGATATTTGCAAGCATGTAATTTAATCTTATAAACTCTGCTATAATGGATTTTATATTTATATTTTTATATAATAAATATCCAAAAAGACAAAACTATTGCTTCCAAGACAATCCTTATTTTATATTGTATTCTCAATTATTTATATATGGTAAATAGAGGATCTCTTACTAACTATATAAAATTATGGCTAAGATATCTGTATGGTTAGCCCTACTAAGTTCTATGCTTTAAGACATTATAGTGGTAAATAAGGGAACCACCTACGGTTACAATATAGATATATAACCTACATACAGCAAGGTCATTTTAATGATTCTTTTATTGTGATTTATTTGAATCAGATAATAAACCAATTAATATAGTTGCACAGGGAATAAAGACATTTCGTATGCAAAAGTATTATTAATACATTTTGTGATGGTGTTACAGAATTGAAGGATCCAGAATCAATGAAACTATTTTAACTCCGCCTCATTGTATTTGGGGCATTATGAGGAATCTCTCCATTTGAGCTGCTGTGGGTTTAAATAATATACAAATGCTGGAAATGTTTTAAGTGCATCTCGAGATATATAAGAATCTGAAGTAGTTTGTACAACTTTACAAAGGTTTCCACTCCGACAGCCCTAAATTCAAGCAATTTTAATCCAGGAGCCTTCAAAGGTTTAAGATACTTGTTAGAGAGGATGGTAGGGGTAAGTATGACTTTAACTGGAAATGTTATCACAGAGAAAAAAAAAAATTTCTTTCAAGATACAACCTTTCATTGCTGCATTATTTTTTACAGTATTTTCTAGAATTCTTCATATAATATAGTGTGTAAAAGTATAACTATTGCATTTTTAGATAATGTTAAAAAAGATTGCAAATCCAAACTGTAAATATGTTTAAAAAATTCAATGTGTTAGATTAAATGTTCACAATATGTGCAGGAGTACAATCTGTACAAAACCCAAACACACCATAACAGAAGTTATTGATAAGTAGTGAAACTTCCTCGATATCAAATAAATAAAATAATAAATTCAAAAGAGAACAACACATCAAATGGCATGTCCATCAGCAGGGGAGGAAGTGGATTGTCTACAATAAGCTGTAGAAGATATTTATTTGAGTTTCTCTTTAATTCTAACATTCTTAGAATCTGCATTGAGGAGGACAGATATAGCTATGCATTTTATGAGAAATAAATTAATCATCACAATAAAAGCTTTTGTAAGAGCTATGTATATATATAGATTATTTTTCTACTATTTTTATGTAACGTGTGCTTTTTCTATATCCTTTCTAGGACCAGCTGACCTTGAAGTGGTGAAGGCTTTTTTAAAGGTTTATTTAATTAAGTCTATTTTAAGATGGAACAGAGGAAGTGTAAACTAAATATTACTGTGGTAATATTTACATCCTTTCTATTTTACGAGCTTGTACAGTAAGATGGATTTCTGTGTACACAAACCTCTCCCAAGCTGCGTTCAGACTGTTCCAGTAGAGATTGGGAAGAGCTTGCCAAGCTGGAGAGCAGGAGACGGGTTCTGGCAATCGCTTCACGTTGGCTCTGCAGCAAATCCTTAGACACCCAGATATTGAAAATGGGGGTGCTGCCAACAGTTACACTCTGTACCTGAAACTGGATGTCTGAACAAAGGTAAAAAATAAAAACAAAACCCACAAACGTTAGTAGCAAGTGGTATTTTGATAATAGAATGCAAAACAAAAAATAAAAAAAATGGTGCGAGACTTTAAATTTTTTTTTTTTTTTTTTTATATTTTCCTCCCTGTCCCCATGTTTCAGGGTCCATATCTAACAGTTTTTTGTTATCTCGAGTCGCCACAGACAAATTTCTGCTGTCTTAATTAATTTTACCCTACTGCTTCATTATGTAAACAGGAGTTAAATTCTGAAGGGGAAATAGAGGGAAAAAATTTGAAGGTAGAGAGAGAGGGAAATAAATGGGGGGGGGCGGGGAGGGCATGGCTTGGTGGGGGGGGGGCAGATGGAGTAGGAAGCATAGACAAAAAATTTGAGCTTGCACCACTCTCCAGTCACTTCCTTGTTCCAGGAATCTGGTGTATAACAACGCTTTTTGCTCTGACTCTCGAGGCTTTGTCTTTGGATGTGCCCAGGAGAGTTGAGATCCAATTTTCACGAGGGTTTGATCCTCCCACAGCGCTACAGCCGTGTGTCTTTACCTCTTGGATTTTGTGTTTGATTTTTCTCTGGTTTCCTTTACAAATAATTATACATTTGCACAATTTTGCACTGTGTGTTTAGATTTTATGTTTTTAGTAAGAAAATATATGAAAGTTGTCTACAAGAAATGTTAAATATTATTTAAAGGTTTTTTGTTGCGCACTATATTTGTCTTTTTTTTGTTACAGTTTTTGCCTGTCAAAGGTTCCTGGGCATATACGTATAAATTTTTAGCACTTTGTGACTGATTGAACTAGAACTAGAGGGTGATTCATATTTTGCTTTACTTATTCCACCATGGACATTTTAGTGAGATTTCTTGTGCAGGTTTTAGACATTTAATCCCCAACAAGAACATACGGTAACCTTTATTTAGGTGTCAGGATTACTGGTTGATCCAGCACGCAGAAATAGTATCACACCTAGGACTAAGAAAAATGTCTAATCGGACCTTAGAATTAGGGATAGACCGATTTTCAGCCGATATTCGGTATTTTCAACAATATTGGTATCGGCCTATAGAGATACCGATATTGCCGATAATACATACCAGGACCACCGGGCCCATGACTAGCCTGGCGGTCCTGGAGGGCCCGAAGCAAGCTCTTACTTACCTTCCAAGCAGCTCCCTTCAGCTCCTCAGTGTAAATCTCGCGAGTCCCGTGGCCCTCAGAGCGTTGCTACGGGTTACTATGGCAACGCTGGCTGCGAGATTTAGACAAGGGAGCTGCTGGGAAGGTAAGTAAGGGCTTGCTGGGCCACCACTGCACAGTCCATGCCACCAGACCTCCAGGGAATGCTATATTCCCCCCCCCTCCCCCCCTCCATGCCAGGTAACAAGCAGGGAGGGGGGACTAAAAAAAAATAAAAAAATAAAAAATGCCCCCCCCCCTATTTTACACAAATTACATACCTACAGAAACACACACTACACAAACACACTCTGCATTCATTATATACACAGACTACACAAATACACACTGCATCCACTACACAAACACACACAGCTCTCCTGTCTAAACACACTGCATCCACTACATGTGGCATTTATATTTTGTGCATTTACCTTTAGAAAAAGTTTATTTTTTCAAAATGGTAAACATACAGAATATCGGTAAATTATAGGCCTGAAAGTTCACAGATTATTGGTATCAGCTCTAAAAAAAACAATATATGTTGATCACTACTTAGAATGGCCGGACTTAACATACCAAAGAAGAGTCAAAATACTTGCAGAGGTCAGGATACAGAATGAGACAACGATGAGGGAAAGCCAAAAGTCAGAAATCAGCGAAGTCAAAATAAAGCCAAAAGTCAAAAAACAGAATAATACGATCAGGAACACACTCTCGGATAACCAGCAAAGGGAAACCATGCACGTTTTGGGGTCAGAGGCCACATACAGCCAATGTATGTGGCCTCTGACACCAAAACATGTGTGCACGTCTGACGTGAGGTCGCACGCACGTAAGCGTCATCTTTAATGTGGGCAAAAGCTAAAACCGGAACCACAGCGGCCGGCGTCTTTAGGAACGCGGCATGCGCTGGGGACCGGGATGGAAGGAGATCGGGTAGTGGTCTGCCGCGAGCAAGGTAAGTATTGTTTCTCTTGGCGTGACCGCTATGTTTCTGTGCGGCCACGCTGACAGAATCCCGTGGAACCGTGACAGTAGGGTCCAGATATTTCTGAAAGTAAATGGACACTTAATACTTCGAATAAGGCTTTGCTTTTAAAGATGACCTTCTGAATGATATTCTGGCCATCATATGCCAAAAGTTAGATAGCACTGCCCTAAAGCTACGACTGAAAACATTTTGTCTCCCGAATTCTTAATCTTCTGCCAAAAACAAGAACTGATCAGATTTTAAGTGCAGTCTGCATTTTTATTCACTCTTTCCTCATTGTCATGTCAGCGCTAGGAAATCAGATGATTATGGAATGATGCCTTTCGCATATTAGCAAGCAATATTTCCTTGAGCCTGGACGATTGAGATTACCAGTGATGACACATATGCCAAGTTTGTTATCACTGCCCTAAGGATCTGGGAACCTGCACATCTTGTATCTAAAATGACATCTGTCATCTGGTCACGTCTCCTTTTACATAAATAAGGCGAAAAAGACTCAAGCATTATCAATAGGAATTCCCCATACAACACTACATATCTTAAAAAAAACACATACCCACTTGACTGGAGAAAATCGGCTCTAAAATACTTGGGTATTAATCTAACTAACTCCCAACATAACTCATATACCACTTATGTACAAACTAAAAACACAACTGGAGAATTGGAAAGAGAAGGAAATTTCTTGGTTAGGATAAATCCACACTATAAAAATTATGTCTCTACCCCATGTCCTGTATCTCTCCCGCGCCCTCCCTATACTAGTACCAAACAATGTACAGTACTGCAAAACCTGCAATCCACATTCAATGCTCACATCTGGAAGTAAAAAACACCTAGAATACCAAGCCGTTTATCCTGGCTCCCTCCTCAGAAAGGGGGCCTTGGAATACCAAAACATTAAGATGTACTATAAAGCCTCAATCTTATCTTATGGTTTATCTGTATTGACACAATCCCATACACCGGTATGACTTCCTTTGGAAGATTCGTACATTCAACCTAACAAACCTAAACACCTACTATGGACAACCTCCATGCCCCATAGCTCCATCCTGTCAATACTACCAGGTTCAAAATTTCTACTGCACAACTGGAGACAATGGTCCCAAGGCTTGCTAGGCCCTATCAGCTTGGTGTCAAGGGCTCCTATACAATCCGTTACATCCTTATCCAGAGATATTTCACTTAACAACTGGATCAAAGGAGGAGCTACCACCCTAGGGTCACTCCATGACGAAAAGGGTATAAAACCTTTCCAGATTATGCAAGAAGAATTCTCCCTTCTCCAAGGGAAATATTCACTTACCTACGAGTGAAACATATTCTATCACAAATTCAGATAAAAATAGGTGAAGACTCTTATCTGACACCATTTGGCCAATGTTGCATACACAAGAAACAACCCACTAAACTGTTGTCCCTTTGCTACAACGCTTTAATGAACGTAGAAGCTACAGTTAAACTTCCATATATGACCCAATGGGAAGCAGACCTAGACAGCTCATTTCCCATTCCTATATGGTTACAGGTCATCCAGACCACCAAGGCCTCATCTATCAACTTATCCCACTGGGAATCCTATTGCAAGATTCTGATGAGGTGGTACAGGGTTCCCTTCAGGTTAGCCAAAAATCTATACGGGAACTTCCCCCGCATGCTGGAGGTGCAACTAGTCATCGGGCACGTTGAAACACATTTTCTGGGACTGCCCTACATTAAAAAATTTCTGGCTCAAGATACAAGAGGCCATACGCACAATCACACAAGTTCAACTATTCAAACCAGAATGCTTTCTACTACATATTGCACCAGAAATTTTATTATCATCGAATAAAGTTGTTGTAATTCACATACTCCAAGCCGCAAAAACTAGTATAGCAAGCCAGTGGAAAGGGGTGACCATCCCTTCAATACACAAGCTATGGAATAGGATGGAGTCAATTTACCAATATGAACAATTGGCCTATAGACTGAGAGGTAGAGAAACTGTTCACTCGAAATTATGGAAAAGCTGGATGGGATGCGCTGTCCTCTAAACAGGTCAATCCAAACGCTCTCTCAAAACAATACGACCCTATCCATTCCCTAGCCGATACCAGATATCCTCTGCTCCCTGATGGCTAATCTTGTGTAATGCAATAGGGATGACGTCATGGTGAAAAATGGTGTCTCACAACATTTACCACAATTCTCAAATTATTCCTTCCATAATGGACACAATTTCCCCCTCTCCCCCATCTGTCCCCCGCCCCCACCTCCATCCAGTCACGGATCTTCTCCCCCGTATCTCATTTCATTACTTACAGTGCATGTTTACTGAGGTATATGCAGCTGTACCTGCCAAGGCACATGACAAGAAACAGTGTGATAGATGAAAATGTACACGACATAATGATAGGACTTATTAAAACATGTGCCTGTGATGTTATTTCCGATGTGATATTCTTGTGTTATAGTGCCTAGACAATCAAAGTACTTTTACTAGGTTGTATAAAGCATACTGTAAGCCACTATCCTTATGTGCACTGATGTTACTGATACCTGTGTCATTGCAGCTGCATGGGCTGATGTTATGTGTACTGATGTTATATATACTGAAAATTCTCAATAAAAAGAGAGACATGTGAAAAAAAAAATATGTCTCTACAGAATAAAGCATGGCTAAAGAATGGCCATGCTTATTGGCCAAGAGTACTCAGTCTTGCATGACCCAGCTTTGCTGGAGAAGGCAGGATGCAGCAAATGTGGTCATGGGTCCCTGCAGGACCCAGGTATGCAGTCAAATCGTACTATGCCGGTTTCCATACTTGCTGTGGAATGGAGAAAGGGCACTCCTGGCACCATAAGCACTATGGTGAGCTGTAGTGGTTATGGTCTTTCTTTAATGACATAAAAAATAAATGTATTGCCTGGACAGAGTGCTCTGCTGTAGAAAAGGGGAACTAATTATTTTATTTTTATTTCAAAGTAAATAACTTTTCATTTCCAGTAGTATTCCTATTACCCAGTAGTTAACTTGGCCAAGACATTCACTTGCACACGTTCTCTGAGCTAAATCAAACTCTGGCTTCTGTACTGTTAATGCATTTGGCATGGCTCCACCAAACAGCTAAGGTTCCCATCTGTTCCATTTGCACAGGCACAGCCCCAGTTTTACAGCTATATATCCTAGCTCCATGCAGTAAAGCCCTGGGTCTAGGTTAAGTGTATCATTCATGGTTTGGAAATTGTACCTGGCCTAAAAAACATTCAATCTGCAAGATTATAAGGCGCTAAGCTCCATTCATTCAACATCAGAAACATAACGGGATTCAGCTTTTGCCAGGATTAAAACAAATATAAATTTTTCAAATTTCACCCTACACTATATATCTCTACAGAGTTACTCTGTTAATATGACATCCAAGTATATATTACATGGCAAAGCTTTGTTTAGTGAAATAGGTTAAGGAGTGCAACATGAATCTTAAAAAAAAAACAACAAAAAAAAAAAACTTTAAAATGCTACGTTTATGCATGAAGATAGACAAACAGAGAGACGTACAGAAAGACAGACAGGACGTGACTGATATGCGTTTCATAAAACACCTCCTGAGCAGATATAGAAATTACCATTTTAATATGCTACACAATGGTCCAAAGACCATTTCTCGTGACCAATCCACTTTAAATAACACACTATTTTTAGGAGCAGCAGTCACAAAGGACAACTACTATCAAGTTTTAAATGCTCATTTTTTTGAGTTTATTACATCTAATGAAACAATTATTTTTTAAAATGTACATGGATTGATTTTTAAAAATGTCACTTTTTTATCTGACTGAGCAGCCATGTTGGGTCAGTTTCTACCGTTATCTTACTAATGCTTGTCAACCTAACTTGATGCTGCTGTTTCACACAGCACACATGGCAATCACAGCAGCAGGCAACTTTGGTTGAGCAGCGGTTGTCAGATGACTGTACAGTCAGATAAAAAAGTTACATTTTCTAAAATAAATACATATACATCCAAAATATTTTATTCAAGTTTCATTAAATGTAATGAGCTTTTTAAAAACAAGAATTGGACATGTTCAAACTATAATTTATATAACTTTAATAGATAACTTTAACAGTGACACAGGGTGCACTAACCTTTTTCGAGCATTACCACCAGCTACAAGTGGCAATTAATTACAAAAAAAAAGGTATATAACAACTGCTGCCTATGTTGTTTGGTAGTTACAGCTCTCTACTGATAATGATACACCAGCAGATAAGCTGGAGAGACAGACTCTCCATGAAACTAGGGGCCCCTGTACAGCACGGAAAATTATATATAACCTAAGATGGGGTTTGAAAACATGTTGTAATAACAGGAATACTACAGAACATGTGTGTGTCTGTGGAACAAAAATACATGCACAAAAGCAAGTGAAAATAATATGCAGTGAGTCCTTACAGAGTCTGGAGCCATCCTTGTGGTAACAGCTGCCTGCATACATTCCTTCTCGGATTTCTTCCACCATAGTTGGAACTCGGAGCTCCGTAGTACTAGCACAGCTTAGAGTAGAAGACGCTAACTCTGAAATGCGCCCATCTTTAACCGGCGTGGAGGTCACTTTAGGAAAAGCTTCTTCTGGAAGATTTGCTTCATCATCCTGTAATCTGGATATGTCCAGAAAGCCACAGCCGTTCTCATGCAACTCCAATTCTGTGCCTATACTGGGGCCCATGGTTCTAATATTGCCAGAAGAAGGCACAGGCGCTATGTCAATGGCTTTGCTTTCTGGAGGAGAACACGAAGAGCACTTAATGGGGTTTAGAGGTAGTGTTAATGCAGATAGAGAACTAGGGCAAGATGCATTTTGTGAAGGAGATGTGGACAGTCTGTTTGCAGGTGAGCTACTAGCTGCATCTATAAATGGAGTTGTGTAGGGATGTGGACTATTACGGCACTGAAGAGGGGACTTACTTGACTGAACAACACAGGAACCATCTCCATTTATACAGGGATTGTCACTTTGAGAGGGGATAGGAGCGTCTGGACCCATACCGAGAGGGTTGTTCACAGTCATAAGTGCAGGATTGTTGGGTAAAGGTGCAACCTGCGTTGTGATTGGAGAAGAGTAATTTGAACAAAATGGAGGCTGGCTTCTGCCCTGGGCAGACGCACATGAAGACGTGGAAGGAGGAACAGAGTTTAGCAAGGAGTCACAATGCTCTACTGCAAGGGATGCAGAGGCAGAACTAGGAGGTTTGTTTAAATCACAAGCCTTTTCTTCACCAGTACCTCCAGTCATGCTCATGCTTTTCAGACAGTGGGTGAGCAGTGTTATATCTGATCCTGTATTCATCCCTGAGCCAAGGGTATGCAATGTGCATTTTCTTATTGCAAAGCCTCCATCGCAAGGTTCGTCCTGTGTGGGGGTCCCAGGAGAGAGACAACATGCATGCACTGCTGGGGAACAGTAGTCATTAGTCGTCTTCTGTTGGCTAATAGCTGTTCTAAAAAAAAAATATAAAAATATATAGATCAAGGAAAATATATTACTTTGCTGACATTTACCAAACACCCGTCATTCTTACAAAATATTAAATCATACGATAATTTTATTCAATGTCAAGCAATGTTTTACAAAACAAAACAGAAACCCTTCATTGTTACAATATATTGATCTCCAAGAGTACAAGATGACAATGTTAAAATACGATTTCAAATGAATAGTAAAAGTAATTCAAGTTGTGTGCTGTTAATAGGGACATGAGCTGATCAAGGAGTGCACTATGTAAAACTTACACGAGAGATATGGCAACTTTTGGCTTGGGACAAGTAGAAATAAATAGCATATTTTTCACCCTACACTCCCAGACCTCTTTGTGGATTTTTCTTCTCACAAAGCACATATAGCATATGGGTTTGACTGATGGAAGCTGATGAAGGTTTGAGGTGAGATATCTAGGCAGCCTCCATCAGTATGACATGTACAATTTATTGAAGTACTCCCAGAATTTGTGCATGTCTCAGTTATGGACTCTGTTCTCACATCAATGTCTCACCTCACCCAACAACCACTTGCAAAAAAACTCCACTTTATACATAGTCATCATAGTCTGGCAGCCGGGTTGGATACATCAATGTCCAAATGAAATATCATAGGGGGCCAGTCCAGACCTGAAATGCTGAGACAGCTGGCCAAGTACATGCTCACATAGAGCGGAGCTAGCAAAAGCCCTGCACAACCTACCTGCCTACCCACTTCTGTGACACAGCACACAACATGTGCTAGGGGTCTAGGGCAAAAGCCCCATTTGCCATAATGCATGTGCCTTATGCATTTTCTGTGGGCCTAGTTACCTGAGAATTGGCAATACTGGCATGGTGAATGTGTGGATAGATGCAGTGCTATAGGTAGGGAGTGGATGAGCAAATGGGGAAATAGAAGATGGACACAGTGACATGGGTTTGGATGTGGTGGATGCAGACAGTAGCATGTGGATGGTGCAGGTGACACTCAGGAGAGAGAGCTAATAATATTAAATATAAGTGGGCTAGCAATATAAGACGGGAGTGGGTTAATGATATTGGCAAAAAAAATTGAGATAGTGCCATAGGAAAAGATTAAGTAAATGTAAATATTTAGATACTTCTGTGTGAACTGCAGCAAAGAAGAAGTATTAGAGATACCTTTTGTTTTTTTTTATCTGTGTGTTTTCGCCTACTATTTGCATAAATATAATACAGTGGGATAGATGCTTTGTTTGCCAAGCCACCGCAATAGATGGACAGCGGGGCATGCGAGGTAATACAAAGCCTTAAGGTCAAACGGTGATGCAAGCTCCACCAAGGGCTTGTACCCTAATAAACTATAAAATAATAATGAATATGATCTCCACCTGGGGAGATCTTTAAATGCTGGCAAAAAATAATAAATGGACAAAATGTGAAGTAACCGTACATAAATTGAAATGGCCAGTATAGGGATCTAAATAGAGGGGAAAAGGGAACAAGGCAAGGAACCATTAAACTTATCAGTCCCCAAAAAAAGGCCTTAAATATCCTGGTTGAACTAGGTCCAAAAAGTAATTGAAATAAAAAATCTTTATTAAGTCTTGAAGTAAAAATAGCCAAATAGTAAGCCCCCCCCAAACAAAACAAGAAGGGGAAGGTACTATACTGAATCCCCTCTATGAAGACTGATATGTGGTAGAAATAATGTCTTAATATAGACGTCCAGAATAGATATTAAAAATAGGACTAGAAAATATTAAAGACAAAGTGGGAGAGCTAATACCTTATAATAGAGTAGTTTGTGAGCAATAATCCCTGTTATAAGTAGAGGTAGGGAGAAGAAAAAGGAAATTGTAAGGCACAGAGAGGAAACACACTTCCTTTATATACTTTGTATATAAGCCTCAAAAGAAGTCCCTAAGCTCTATAAAACACCTTCATGGGTGTTCTAATCTAATGCTCACTCTAAATAGGTCCACTGCCTTTTACTACCAAATCCCAACTGGCTAGAAGTAAATGAAAGAAAGTAAAGTTAATCTAAGTGTTCATTCCTTTTGGTGCATATCCCTTAGTGAAAAAGAAAAAAACTAGATAGGTGAAGTGAAAACATGCTGGTCGCCCGACGCGCATTTCGGTGTGCGGTGACACCTTCGTCAGGGGTTGAGGAATTTGCATAATATACTATTTGCATAATACATTACTAAATGAGAGAAAAGTCCAGGGTTGCTGTATCTCGTGCCAGCATTTCAGGTCTGGACTGCCCGTATGGATGGGATTAAGGGCCAGAATCTGAAAGTGTTTATGGGTCTAATTACATGAGTATATTAAAGGAACACTCCAAGCATCATAATAAAACAAAGCAATATAGTGGTTATGGTGCCAGGATTGCACTGACTTCCCCTAGTAGTCTAACAGTAGTTAGAACAGTTTATCTACTCCTGGCTCTATGGAGGTGGTTGCATTGACCAACAGAGCATTTTGACCTACATAAAACCACAAAATTTAGTAAGTGCATCTTTAAACTGTCAATAGTGCAAGTTCTGTGGGTCACACCGAGACTCACCTAGAGTCAGAACTGTGTTTGCTATTAGAATGCTTCTGTATAATATTCTAATCTAGCCTGTAAAAGGCACTTGTCGACTCTATATTGAAGTATGCATGCATATAATTTATTACAGTTAATCTGACATGGTTTGAGATTGAACCGAGAGCCTGAACCTTAATATAAATCATGATTTGTGCTGGAAACACAGGCAGCTATGAAAGACGTTTCACTTATTTCCAACATTTATAAAATAATGTCTGCCTTGATTTAAAAAATACTGTAATTGTAATTTAAAAAATACTCTTTGTGATTAATTACTTGAAACCATAGCTACACACTGTGAGCCATAGAAATGATTTTATGACTCATTTGGCAAAGAAAATACAATTTTGCGAAATAAGAAAGCAAACATGGTACGCTTTAAGTAATTATATTGCTGTTTTTACCTGAAAAATTGCACAGCATAGCTGCCAATTATATTCATGATTCACATACTCATGTTTTGTATGATATGACATGATTACTCATGTTTCTTTTCCCAATATGCTTTCTCTGGCCACTTTATATAAGACAAAAGAAGAGAGAGCCCTCATAGGTCTTGGAGTAGTCAAAAGCTGTTTTTTAATTGAAGATACAGTGAACCAACATCACGATTTAACATATTAGGACCATGTCATTGTCATTCGACTGAATCGGTCAAGTGCTGAATGACAATTTTTGTGTCTTAAAAGGACACGATAGGCATCAAAACAACTTCAGCTTAATGAAGGGGTTTTGGTGAATAGGTCTTGGCATTGCAGTCTCACTGCTCAATTCTCTGCCATTTAGAAGTTAAATCCTCTGTTTATACAGTCCTAGCCACACTTCCCTGGCTGTGACTCACACAGCCTGCATAAACAAAAATGGTTTTCATTTTCAATCAGATGTCAACTTGCTTTAGAAATGTCTGTCTTTCTCCTGCGCTGTAAATTGAACTTAAATCACACACACAGGAGGCTCCTGCAGGGCCTACATTGCTATAACATAGCATGAGATAAGAAGTTATCAATTAAACAGACTTTCCAATAAAGGAAGTTTAAACAATACATGTCTATTTACAGGAAGTGTTTAGGAAGGCTGTGCAAGTTATATGCAGAGAGGTAGGACTAGGGAAGTATAAACAAAATGATTTACCTCTTAAATGGCAGAGAATTGATCAGTGAGACTGCAGGAGCATGATCTAAACACCAAAACGGCTTCATAAAGCTAAAGTTGATTTGGTCATTAGACTAGTACATGACCATAGATAGATAGACAGACAGACACACACACACTGTATGATCTCACTCTGAACTAGAATGTTTCTTTTGTTCTTATTGTTGGATTGTCTTCTTTGAAAAAAAAAAAAAAAAAAAACCTTTCATAAAACTATTTAATAACACAAATATATCAATACCTTGCAGATGGGGTCGGAGGTGTTAAAACGACACAGCAATCACTGTGTGGATGATCCTCACCAGTATTCATTGAGTTATTCTGTAAATATTTTGCCATAACTGTCAGAAAAAAAAAAAAAAAAAGTCAGTGCATGACAACCACTAAAACAAAACAATTTGTGTATGAAGCCCTGACGTGCGTTAGTTCAGCAAGGCATTGAAGAGAAACCTGTTAAATATTATGGGATGCATGCAAGTCATTAGGAGTGAGTAGCCACATTCATTGTCATGGCCAGTTTAGAGGAGGTGGAAGGTACTCTTCAAGTAAGTATACCTTTTAATCTACACAATTCGGTCAGCATAATATTTACAATAAATCCATACAAAGTGTAAATTTAAAGTTGTCACATTAAATTTAAAGGGACACTACCGGGACAAAACTTTACTTTAGCTTAATAAAGCAGTTTTTTGTGCATATAGCATGTCCCTGCAGGAGTTAAATCATTATGGTTTCTGTTCATGCAGTCCTAGTCACACCTCCCCTATCTGTGACTCACACAGTCTGCATGAAAAATTGTTTCATTTTTAGTCACATGTTGCTTTAGAAGTTTTTATCTCCTGCTTTGTAAATTGAACTTTAACCACATACACGAATCCTGCAGGGTCTAGGAGGCTATTGAGCAGGAGATGGGAAATTCTACATTAAAGAGAATTTGTAACAAAGGAAGTTTAAGCACCGTTTACAGAAAGGATTTAGGAAGGCTGTGCAAGTCACATGCATGGAGGTAGGAGTAGGGCTGCATAAAGTGATTTAACTCTAAAATGCAAGAGAATTGAGCAGTGAGACTTCAGGGGCATGATCTAAACACCAGAACCACTCCATTAAGCTGATTTGGTGCCTATTTTGTCCCTTTAAAATAAAAAGTAACTTTATGCATTTGTATTTGTTTTTTTATTACACAGCAATGTTACAGTGATGCTGCCCACCACATGTATCCTACTAAGGGTTAATACTTGTGTAGGGATTCATAAAAATATATCTTTCTGTCTCATTCTCTCTCAACTTATAGCTAAAAGCATCAAGTTGAATTGTTAAGTGTAGGACTCACTGAAGAGCTTTGCTTCAACAAGGCATATGAGCTTACATTTTAATGGCCATTGCCGTGGTACTAAAAATAGCAAATTATTGCAGCCATGAAGATACAGCAACAATGTACTTTATCTAGTCCACAACCCCAGTCTGCTAGATTTGAAAAATGTTAACCTTGGATACTGAAATTTTAAAGGGGCCACCAACCACAAACATTAAACAGGATGTAGTGAGTATATTCACATTTTTTCCATCAGATATTAAACTGTATCCATTTTACAATTACCATCATTGCAGGAGAGGTCGTGTGATCTGGTTTTGTGCTGCAGATCTTTGAAAGGAGTCAAAAGTGGTGAATGCTCCATCTCTGCACTCCGCATATAGTGAAAGAACCCAGGAATAAGAAATGTGATGTTCTGTTGGAGAAATGTGATTAAATACAAAATATATGAAATAATAGATTCTGTTTAATATTTTTATTAGTGATATTGCAGAAGGTCTTGATGGTAAGATATGTCTTTTTGCTGATGATACAAAGATTTGCATCAGGGTTTATGTTCAAGGAGATAAAGCCATATGACAAATGATTTAGGTAAACTAGAAAAATGGTCAGAGTTGTGGCAACTGACATTTAATGTTGATAAGTGCAAGATAATGCATTTTGGGCGTAAACACCCAAGGGCAGAGTACAGAATATTTGATAGAGTCCTAACCTCAACAACTGAGGAAAGGGATTTAGGGGTAATTATTACTGATGACGTAATGCGGCACTGTCATGGCCGAATCCTGTTTTGTTTTTTTAACCCCCCTCCTGGCTCCACTATATCCAATTGTCCCCCTAGTCACCCCCAAATGCCCCTAAGCACCCCATATTACCTATTTTATCATCTTTATTTTCTGCCTGGACCTAGGTCCTGGGCGCTGCCATCTTTGTTGGGTAGATGAAGTCCCTGTGGGACACGTCATCTGCCCACACTAGATAGCTGTGAAATTCCCACACATGCCCAGTTAAACACTTGGGTATGCGAACAGGAATTTTATCTATTCATTCGTCAGAAAGACAAATGAATGAATAGAAATGTCAAACGAACAAACACTGAATATCAGTGTTCGTTTGTTCAATCAGTTTATTACAAGGAGGGAGCTACCGGCTCACAGTTCCCGATTGCCCCTACTCACTATACCGCATGTCTACTAAACAGTGAGCAGCCTGTGGCTGCTCACTGTTGTAAAAAACAAAAACAGAAAAACCCTATTGCCTATTGTTCTCTCCCCAGCCCCCCTGAGTGGCGTTGGGGGCCCTAAAGAATAATGAGGGGGGGGGACACACACCTATACTTCCCCTAGCCCACACCCCTGAGCAGTGGGTGGAGGCAATAAATAACAATAAGGGGGGGGGGCCTATTGCCCCCCCACCCCTGAGTCACCCCCCCCCCCAAGGTGACTAGGGGTCCCCAAGCCTTTATAAGCCTTTCCCTGCCCTGTGGAGCTCAGTCTGTGCCGTGCCCTCGTCGGGTGAAGATGGTTTAATTTTTTAGTGTCGGGTTTTTTCTTTTTCGTCGGATTTGTTTTCGCACTCTGTTTTTTTTATTTTATGTTTAGTTAGACAGGTATTATGGTTTTTATTTGGCCTTTTTTTTTATTTATTTTTTACAGGTACTTAGTTTGTTATTCCCCCCTCACTATTTTTAGGGTGAGGGGGTAGGTAGGGGAATATTATTTTTTTATTTGGGTGGGGGGGGATGACTAGGGGCTTGGGGACCCAAGGTGGGGGGAGGGACACAACAATAGGTTGTCGTCCCCCTTATTGTTATTTATAGTCCCCATCCACCGCTCAGGGGTGGGGGCCGGGGGGAGCTCAAGGGTGGGGGATATTAAGGTGTTTTTTGGAGGGTGGGGGGTGGGTTGTTTGTTTTTTTAACAGTGAGTAGCCCCAAACGGCTCATTGTTTAGTATACATGCCCCTACTCGCGATATAGCAAGTAGGGGCAGAATTTACTAATACCAAGTAATCTTTACTTAGTATTAGTAAATTTGGCTGGTAGACCAATTTAGGTCTTTCACCCTTTTGGTAGATAGCTCCCTGATACTGTGGGAATTAGGGAGTTATCTACTATCTACGAATAGGATCGGAATTTAATTCATTAGAATTAAGTCCCGAATTGTGTCCTAACATGAATAAACAATCTGTTCTCATTGTGTTAGGATGCAATTCGGCAGTTTCGCCGGCGTTCTGTCTAAATATTGACAAGAAGCATCGCGGGAACAGGGAGGAAGACTTAGACTTGTGGGGAAATTTCTTTGACCACTGGAAATGAAGCACACTTTGCTCCTCCTCTGGTCAGAGATGGTCAGGCGTAGGACACCTCCATAAGACAAATAGTCCCTACTTTGTCTTATGTTTTAAAGAGAACTAGAACAGACAGGAAGAAATGAAGAACAGATCCTGAGAGAGGGAGAGAAGAGGAATCGATTAAAGAAAGGTAAGTTCGGCATGACAGTGCCACTTTAAAGGTAGGCAGACAATGTAATAGAGCAGCAGGAAATGCTAGCAGAATGCTTAGTTGTATAGGGAGAGGTATTAGCAATAGAAAGAGGGAAGTGCTCATGCTATTGTACAGAACACTGGTGAGACCTCACTTGGAGTATTGTACACAGTACTGGAGACCTTATCTCCAGAAGGATATTGATACTTTAGAGAGAGTTCAGAGAAGGGTTACTAAACTGGTTCATGGATTGCAGGATCAAACGAACAAGGAAAGGTTAAAGGATCTTAACAGCTTGGAGGAAAGACGAACAAAGGGTGGGATTTCATAGAAACATTAAAATACATAAAGGGAATCAACACAGTAAAGGAGGAGACTATATTTAAAAGAAGAAAAACTACCACAACAAGAGGACATAGTTTTAAATTAGAGGGGCAAGGGTTTAAAAATAATATCAGGAAGTATTACTTTACTGAGAGGGTAGTGGATGCATAGAATGCCTTCCAGCTGAGGTGGTAGAGGTTAACACAGTGAGGAAGTTTAAGCATGCGTGGGATAGGCATAAGGCTATCCTAACTGTAAGATAAGGCCAGGGACTAATAAAAGTATTTAGAAAATTGGGCAGACTAGGTGGGTTGACTGGTTTTTATCTGCCATCACATTCTATGTTATGTTTCTAATATATTTTCTCACAGGTCAGTACTGCATTAACTAAAGCATCATGAGAATATTGCTTGAATTAACACCAGCCTAGTAAACCAATAAAGCACAAGTAAAAAAATGAATCAATGGCTGATCTAAACAGACTGCATATAAATACATAATAGAAAAAAAAAAAAGCAGAAAAACATGTAAAAACAATGTAAAACAAACCAGCTGCCTTGAGAACAGTTATTTCATGCAAGGACATTGCACAGCAATATAAATTGTATTAAACTGACAATCATGGGCTGATTACAAAGCCATTTCTTATCTTGTCTAGCACCTGGCTAAATTGGGAGTAGGACGATTCTGGCCTGTAAGCCTTTTGTTATGGACAAAATGAAATGAACAAATGAATTTCATAAACAAAGCATTGTGGTGAACTGAAAAACTATTTTAATAAATTTTGGAGATTGTTTTTTTCTATCTTTTTTTAGGTTGAATTTTGCAAATTTGGTTACCAATTATGAATTATTTTTTTTAATTTTTTTTTTATCTAGAGCAGTTGTTTTCAACCAGTTTCCTTCATGCTACCTCAAAGTGTTCCAAAACACATTGGCTTCAGGGCTATTATAGGACCAACGCTGTCCTTGTACTGTGTTTTGTTTTTTTGTTTTTTAAATGTGTATCTGAAAAATAAAAAAAAATAATTTTAAAAAAGGAGAAAAAAAAAAAGAAAGGAAATGGCATTGGTTAATACTCACCTTCCCTAAAAGTTGTGTTGAGTCGTAGCCAAACAGAGCAGCCGAAAAACTACCATTCAGTCCATGTATGGATCCATCTGGACGCAGGGTGATCAGGCCACTGATAGAGGACAGGACATGGAGTCTAGCGCAATATTCCTCCACTCCAGGGACGCCTTCCAACGGATTCTCTAGTAGATTTAAAGTGAGCGGGAAGGTTGCTCCATCACGTGTTATACCGACTATTCTCTGCTGTCTTATACTCTGAAACAGAATTACAGTATATTATTTGCGAGATACTTTAACAATGTATTTGCTATTAATAAAATGGGGTGTTTTGTCTTCTTAAACACCAATACAAGAATGATAATTCTATTCTCATTTATCAGTCCTAATCTCTTTAAACGTTCAATCTGTTGGGACCCTTTAAATGAGATGGCCATGTAGCTGTAAATTAAAGCAGAATGGTTACTTCGGAGATTTAGAAAGAACCAGATGGATAATTATGAGTTACATTTTATTTGTTTTGCTTTTTTTTAAAAGTTTTATTTTTCTTTAAAACTAAAAATACAGGATATATTAAGAATAGGAGACCAAAACCTATCAAATGCACTTAAATTGTGTTGCTGTCTGAAGTGTGCCCTTAAGATATCATTACAAGCTTTCCAGAAGACAACTACTGCAAACTATTAAATGCTTGTTGGGTTCTCCATATTATTTTACAAGTGCTTGCAGTGATGTATATCTTAAGCAGGCCTTTGAGATTTTACCCATTATGACTCATGCATAGTGCTTTTTAGATCAAAGTATGTTTATGCTGCAGGGTTGCATAATATGAATTTAAGTAGGTCAACATAATTTCTGTAAATCACAAGCATATTGGTACCTGTGGCATCTCTCTCCCAGGAAGTGGGTAATGAATGGAGGGCAATAAGTCAACCAGGCGCTGTCCTAATAGTTCCTCAGGGTCCATATAGCCATACAACCGTGCACATATGTTATCACAGGACACAATCCTTCCCTAGAAAAAAAAGAAGTATAAAGTTATTGCAGGACTGACCAGGAAATGAAAAAAAAAAAAAAGGGGTGGTAAAAATAGTAACCTCAAAAATTAAAGAAACATCCCAAACACATAAAGCATTTCAGTTTGGTAAAGTGGTTTGTGTGTGCCCCTCTGTTTTATTTTTAAAAAATTGCTAATTTCAACAGGAAGCTGCTCTTTTATAAATAAGCCTTGTTACACCTTCCCGGCTGTCAGTCATACAACTGTTCTTGTCATTACCTGGATTTTTAGCTCAGTGGAGCTAAACCTCAAAATGCGACAATGGCTCAGAGCACCTTGGCTTGCCAACACGTCTCACTGAGCTGCATTGGGAAGTCTGTGATTGAACAACCACAAAAAGTCTGGGCTGGGGAAAAAGGGGAGGGCTTATAGTAGCTGCAGATACTAGTTCAGCAATAATTGCAAGACACAAGCCAAGGTTTCACACTCCCCCCCTCTCCGTCCAAAAAAAAAAAAAAAGCTAAACAAATTACAAGAATAATTTCTTTTGGGCTCTATTTAAAAAAAAAAAGAAAGAAAAAAAATTTAAAAAAAAAATTTAAGTGTAGAAGTTGTACTTCTCCCTCTTGGACAACCCTAAGTAAGCTATATTGGCAGGATCGGCATCTAGCTTTTGCAGTTTTGTAGAAGTGGGATGTCCTAAACCCTGCTTTATAGGACCCTCTGAGCCTGGCATGACCAAGTAAGAGGACAAACAGTTTTAAAACGGTTTGCCCACTAACTAGATAACGTCACCTATATTAACTCTAGGAAGTAATTAGAATAATTAAAAGGACTAATACAGCCATGATGGGGAGAGACTAAATAATGCTTAGGGAAACATTAGCAACAGTGTCCCACAATAGAAGCACATTAAGTGACTAGGTGCAGGAACAACAAAGTTGCACCTCAATATAGAATGAACCCCCCCCCAAAAAAAAAAAAGTATAGCAGGAGGTAAAAAAAATGGTTAAGATGAGGGTTGGAGGGTCAAAAAGCCCCACTAGCATCAACCTAAACCTCAATAAATCTTCAGAGGGTCAGTTGTCTGATGGATTGGATGATAGCATCCCTCAAGAGACAAAGTGTAAAGTGTTTAAGTCGATAATACTCACATCCTGCTGAAATGACAGTGTAGCAGTGATTCTTTGTATATTCTCTAAAAACAGCAGACATTGGTTCTTAACTCTTCGTATCCACATGCGCAGTATAATCACCTCTCCCCCAGAGCGCACAGCTTCAACCTGATAAAAAGACATTCAATGATCATTGTACACAAACTCAACTGTAGGTCACAATTCTAAAAATGGCACATTCACCATAACGAGTATTATGCGGGATCTGCTTTTGATACTACTTTTCAAACTTTGCCCAGAATTGCACTTTTTTTCACCAAAATGTCAAGAGCTTGAGTATAAGAGCCAAGTGATGCTACACTTTACTTACCACTTCCCCTGGTACCCGTGAAAGTCCATCACCCTCCGTAAGCTCCTCTTGTAGCTCCTCAGAAATCCTGTGACTGGAAGCAGGGATTAGCACAGAGAGGCTCATCCCAATCAGCTCTAAACTACTGTATCCAAAGAGTCTGCAGGCTTTATCATTGGCCATCAAAATCTGCAAAAACAAAAATATGCATTTTCTATACAAGTTTAATAGTCCTAAAAATGATAAATCACATGTACCAGAGCCCTATCACCCCTGGCTCTGGGTTTGAAATGCTCCACTTGAGAGGGATAGTTCCCACAGCCTTAACTTGAACATTTTGTATATATACACACACACACACACACACAAAATTTGCTGGCATACCCACCACTACTACCAAAGTAAGAGTTTGTAACCTTTTATGTTAATAAATTGTTTGAGATACTATTCAATTGGGGGTTCCTGTCCCTCTATTTTCTCCTATACTGCATAGAAAATTTGTATACATCTGACTGAATACACAGTTTGGAGACATCCATCCATCCTGATATACTGCTGTGGGAATTAAAATTGGTTTTCTAAAAATGATAAATGTTGTAGGAGTAACTCTTTAGTAGGAGACAGGAAAGAAACCCAACATACACTTTGAACGTACATTATTGTAACGTACAGTATTGTAGTCATTTTTCATTTACACAAAACAATGTCTCTTTACTTTTTGTATATGAAATGCTAGCTAGCTGTACTGCAGTAAAAATCGAAATTTTATTAAAGACACGGAGGCTCCTATTATGCATTCTCTTTCTTTATTATACTCCCAGCAGCAAGAAAAGGAAGTATGAGAGAATCATCGAAAAAAAACATAACAGCCTGGTAACAGTGGCACCAATCAGCATCCAGTACTATCCATATGGGTGTGGTGCTCCTTGACTCCTCCTCTTTCTTGCTGCTCCCTCAGACAAGGTAAGTACCTCATCTCTTGCTACTCCTGTGATTTTCATACAGGTTTGTGTATTTTGTGACAGAATTTTTGGCTTAGTGTATGTTAATGCTCACTGTTATTGCTGGTTTATTTCCTGCTGGTATCTGGGAGTGCTGCCTATTGGGGTCTCTGGGACCCTGGTTTTCCCTCCTGTCCATACTTCTGAGTAGTGTTTTACTCTTTTCTTTCCCTGCTCATTCAGTTTTATTAGTGGTGCAGCAGGGCTGACCTTAGCCGCTCACCGTTTGTCCGCGGTTTCATACAGTCTGCGCATGCACGATCGCTCATTTTACCGTTTTCCCCTTTCAACATAGATCTCTTTGCGTCTCGACTGAACACCCAACTCCCTCAGTTCTTCAGTTGGAGACCAGACCCAGATGCTCTGGCGACAGACGCATTCTTACAAGACTGGACCAAGGGCAAGAATTAAGCTTTTCCACCTTTCAACCTAATCTCTCGGACCCTTGCATGCCATCGCTATTCCACAGGGACTCTAGTTCTGATAACCTCGATATGGAGGTCACAACCTTGGTTTCCACAGTTTCTAGAAATGTCGATAGATTTCCCACGGCTGTTGCCGGACATACCTTACCTCCTGACCAATCCAGAGGGAATGAGTCACGAGTTGATCGACCAGGCTCTACTTCATCTGATGGCATGGCTCCTTTCAGGAGAACATGGAATCTCTAGGAGGTTTCGCAGACGACACTCAGTCTCTTGGCAGAGTCTTGGGCACCAGACGTTCCTACGGGTTGGCTAGGAGGAAGTGGACTGATTGGTGCATGGGACAATCAGTGGATCCCATATCAGCTCCTGTTAAAATTCTTGACTCTACTCTTTGAAGAAGGAAAAGCCTTTCGGACTATAAATCTGTACAGATCAGCTATATCGGCGAGACATATGGGATTGGATGGTACTCCAATACGTAAACATGCCCTCATCTGTCGTTTGCTCAAAGGCATCCGGTTTGCTCGACCCCCTCAGGCTCTGTATTCTTCCTTCTGGGATGTTAATGTGATTTTTCGTTTTCTCGAGTCTTGGCCTTTGAATCACGAACTTTCTCTTAAACAATTATCAGCTAAGCTGTTGATGCGGTTTTGTTTACTTTCATGTAAACGGGTTGCTAATATCAGAGCATTGGATTGGCAAGCACGCGCTTTTGTTCCTAACGGAGTATCCTTTAATATTTCACGTAGGACGAAATCTGCGACTAAGGAGGTTTTCTACCTGTTTCCAGACAACCCAAATCTGTGCCCAGTGTTATGCCTTAAGGAATACGAGCGCCGCACGAGCTCGCTCCGTTCAGATCGAACCCATCCATTATTCATCTCGTTCAGAGTACCTCATCTACCAGTATCAACTCCTCTAATCTATTGATTAAGTTACAGGTCAGTCATGGGGCCTTTGGAATGACACGATACGGTAGGTACAATGTCATACACGACACGAAGGTGAGTAAGGTATGTGATGAATATACTTCTATGATACTTATGGTGATTGAATAACATAGTGGACGAGTTGGATAGTTGTGGAATAGCAGTCACAAGTTTCGATATTACCATATATTTCTTCTTTTTTAGCTTGAATACACCTGTGAGAGTTGGCGGTTGAAGCTGTTCCCTGTTGAATTTCCGGTTATGGTTTTGTTTCAGGAATTCGTGTTTGTTGGAATATTTTGGAACTTACAATATGGTCTTCGGGATCTATGCAGAAAGAGGAGGAGTCAAGGATCACCACACCCATATGGATAGTACTGGATGCTGATTGGTGCCACTGTTACCAGGCTGTTATGTTTTTTTCTATGATTCTCTCATACTTCCTTTTCTTGCTGCTGGGAGTATAATAAAGAAAGAGAATGCATAATACTCGCTTCTGTGTCATTAATAAAATCATGACTTTACGTCACGTTAATAGTAAAATCTGGGAATTTTAACCAGTACCTGAGAAGTCTTTGTGCAGATTGTCAGAACAGCTCTGCTTGCACTGCGCCCATAAATGGGCGAGAACGAAGTGCTATCATCTGGGGTGGGAATACCACTTGCAGTACCCAAAGGTGATCGGGACAGATTGTGACCATTTGCTGAAGACAGACTATAAGAGCTCCAATCTTCTCCTAAAAAAATAGAATAAAACATAAAATTTGTTTCGGTGTTCCTCAGAATAAAACGCAGTAAGAGCTTTAAGTGTGAATATATACAAAACCTCCAAACACCATAATCACTGCTACTGTAATGATTATATTGCTGGGACCTTATTTAGGAGTAGAGTGGTGACAAGAGGACCTCAGGTAAGAAGTCAAAACTCATAAACAGTGTGACTACTTACACTTGGGAGTGGGAGGCACAAGGGTACTGTGTAGTGGCACAGCAAGTTGCAGTGGTTATGGTGTTTAGACTGTTCTGATCTCCAGGTGATGTTTGTGCAGTTTACACATGAGGTTTACCTGTCAGACTGGCAGTATTCCAGTGGCCCCGGTCTCGACCACAATGATGCCTTCTTTTTGGACTTGGGATTTGAGGGAAAGATTTACTCAGTGGGGAAACAACATGCAATGGAGAACTGGGCGAATCTGGGTGTACTGAAGCCGCCATTTTGGAGCAATTATGGTTTGCCTTTGGCTATGGAGAAAAAAACGAAAAAAGAAAAAAAAAAAAAAAACAGATAAAACAAATATTATAAAGTCACACAGTTATTTATGGGAGACTCATTATTGCATTATTGAAAACAGTGAGCAGCATCTACTGAGGGCCATGCTAGTTAGACTGTAGTGGTTCAACACAAGAACATAGTGTCATTAAAGTAGAGTTTATAATGGTGCGGGTTAGTGCAATGCAAAAAAAAAAAAAAAAATCACTTTGACCAGTTCATCCAAATAAAACTCCTTTTAATCCACACCTTAACATCTGGAAAATAAGTTATTTCCTGGACATATGGATTAGTTTGGGTAAGATTTAACTATTTTGAATTCAACGAACCAACTGTAACAAATTTTTGCAAAAGTCTCAGTATACACCATATCCTTTGTGGACACTGGAGATTCTAGGAACTGTAATGAAGATTATTCTTTTTTTTTCCCAATTTAAAATTATTATTATCTTTGAAATAAAGGTATGGGGTACAGAAGAGAAGAGGGAATGCATACATAGCATGGGGGTGACACAATCACATTTCGTACATCATGGTAGCTTCATGTTAAAGTAAGGGCGTAGTTCGGAAGGTTGAGGAGGTATTGCCAATTGTTCAACCCCTACATTGTCGTCATGTGTCTGTTACGTTATTAACCCTGTGGTCTTTCGTAGGGTATACTATGTGGTAGGTGTCCTCTGTAATGAGAGTGTTGTTCGTGTGCGCGACAATGGGGATGTTCGTGTTTTACGCGTCCTTTCACGGCTTGGTCTAAGTTTGAGAGGACTTCGCCAGCGTGCAGAGTTGTGGGTTAGTTACTTAGATGTGTCTGACTGGGGTGGGTATTGGGGGGGGTGGGGGTCAAGAGATGTGGGGAGAAACTGGGTGTGTGGGTTGGGGTAGGGAATGATGGTAGGAATACCGAGCGGGGGACCTCCTGTGATGTATAGCATCTGTAACGTCAGTATGTCTGAAGCGCTGTGTGGTGCCTTGCTGAGTGTTTGGGATGAGGGTGTGGGGTGGTTGTGTTCTCGGGCAGAGAGTGTGCCTGGTTCGTGAGAATTTGTCACTTTTGGGTGTTGGGGCTCAGGTCAGTCCTGTGTTGGTTCGTTGTAGGTAGTCCCTCCACATTGTGGCGATGTGGGGGCTGAGTTTCCCAATTTTCGCTTGGTTCCACATTATTAGTTCATGTTCTACCGTTGAGGTCATTACATTTTCTATTTCTTGGAGCGAGGGCAGTGTAGTTGCTTTCCAGTTTCTGGTTATTAGTATGGACACAGTGCTTAGTATGAGGTATATAATTTTTTGAATCGGTTTCGGGGTGTTTCCTGGTATCGAGCGGAGTAGGATCGTTTTGGGGTCGTGAGGTAGTTGGAGGTTCGTGACTCGTTTGATTAGTTTAGCTGTTTCTTTCCACAGGCGGTTCACCTGCTTGCACGTCCACCACATGTGCAGCATGGTGCCTCTAGTAGCGTGGCAGCGCCAGCACTGATCTGATGAGGTTGGGAATACGGTGTGAAGTCGAGTTGGGACCATGTACCATCTGTATAGGAGTTTCCGGGATGTTTCAAGATGTGCTGCGCTTGATGTTAGCCCTACATGGGAGGTGAAAATCCTTTCCCATTCGGATGGAGTGATTGTCACGATTCGGGGAACCCAACACGCTGGCACACACACACACACACACACACACAAAAGGTGCCGTACCGGACCTTAGAGTGGCCGGGCTAAGCACACACAGAATAGTCAGGAGACAAGCCGAGTAAGGGGAACCAGAAGACAGAATAACGTGAAACGAGCCGAGGTCAAAGGGTAGGAGAAAGTCACAGAGTCAGATAAACAAGCCAGAGAGTACGTAACCAGAAGCACAAGGTAAGTAGCAATACTAGCAAGCAAAGACCACAACAGGGCAGGGAGGAACAGGAAAGGTAAGTATTTAAACCATCAGGTTAATTCTGATTGGATAATTTCCAATCAGAATTAACAATCACACGTGGGAGATATTTAGACCTCCCACTGTGATTGAGGCACTGTGCCTTTAACGCCGGGTCAGGTGACTGACCCCGGCGTGTATAAACCTGGGCGGTCTCCCAGCGTGCAGTGTCATGCATGCTGCCGCTGGGGGACGTGGAGGGAACGGCGGGCGGCATCCGAGGCTGGAAGGATGCCGCTCGCCGTACCCACGAGGCGGAGGGGACCGCGGACGGCTGGAGGGTGAGTACTGCGAGCGGAGTGCAGCCTCCCCTCGCAGCCGTCCGCGGGAGCCTGACATTACCCCCCCCTCGAAGACCACCCAGGGGGTGGGAAGCGGAAGGCTTCAAAGGAAAGCGGGCATGAAAGGAGCGGACCAAAGAGGGAGCGTGCACATCGGAGCTTGAAACCCAGGACTGCTCCTCAGGGCCGTACCCCTTCCAGTCCACCAAATATTGCAGCCGACCCCTAGAAACACGAGAGTCGAGAAGGGCAGCCACCTCGTACACATCGTCAGAGACAGCTCGAGGGGAAACGGGCCGCCCGAGGGGACGAGAGAATCGGTTACACAGCAAGGGCTTCAAAAGCGAGACGTGAAACGTGTTCGGGACACGCATGGAAGGAGGCAGATCAAGGGAGTAGGAAACGGGGTTAACCCTACGTAACACCTTGAAGGGACCAAGAAACCTGGGGCAAATTTCATCGAGGGAACCTTGAGACGGAGGTTCCGGGAGGACAACCATACCCTATCACCCGGAAGATAAGAAGGGGCCGCAACCCTACGGCGATCAGCAAACTTTTTCTGAGCAGCTGCTGAACGAGACAGCGCAACATGGACCTGATCCCACGTCTTCCGCAAAGAGGCGAGGTGCTGGTCCAAGGCGGGCATTCCCTTGTCGGAGAACGCACCGGGAAGGACAGAAGGACGAAACCCATAAGCAACCTCAAAAGGACTTAAGCCAGTAGACGAATGAGACACCGTATTCCTGGCAAATTCAGCCCACGGAAGAAGGCGAGACCAGTCATCCTGGTGCGCATTAGTGAAGCAGCGCAAATACAATTCCACAGACTGATTAGCACGTTCGGCCGCACCATTAGATTGCGGGTGATAGGAGGAAGAGAACGACAAGGAGACCCCCATCTCAGCACAAAAGCCCCTCCAGAACCGAGAGACAAATTGAGGGCCCCTGTCAGATACGATATCCTGGGGTACCCCATGCAATCGGAACACTTCTTTGGCAAACACCTGAGCTAACAACCGCAGAAGGCAGTTTCTTAAGCGGAACGAAGTGCGCCATTTTAGAGAACCTATCCGTCACAGTCAGTATCACCGTCTGACCATCAGAAAGAGGCAGGTCTACAATGAAATCCATGGATAAGTGGGTCCATGGTTTCTTGGGTATAGATAGAGGCATCATAAAACCCTGGGGTCTCACATTAAGGGACTTACATTGCGTGCAGACCTGACAAGCCTGAACAAAATCCACTACGTCTCGCTTGAGTGAAGGCCACCATAACTGTTGAAGGAGGCCCTTGTAGGTTTTGGTAACCCCCGGATGACCAGCAGTTTTGGCTGTGTGAAATAAAGTTAACAACTTTTTTCTGTCATTAGCTTCAACGTATAGTTTACCAACCGGCGTCTCAGGGGGTGCCTGGGTTTGGTATGTCTTAATACTATTAAGGAAAGGTGAAGAAACAACCAAACGGGTAGCAGCTATTATCTGAGACGCAGGTACAATAGGTTCAGGAGTCGGGTTAACAAATTCTACTGGTTCATGCTGCCGAGAGATAGCGTCAGCTTTGGCATTACGGCAACCAGGTCTATAGGTGATAACATATTGGAAGCGTGAGAGAAATAGAGACCATCTAGCCTGCCGGGCAGATAACCTTCTAGCATCAGCAATATAGGATAGATTCTTATGATCTGTTATAACCATAATTTTGTGTCTAGAACCCTCTAATAAGTACCTCCATTCCTTGAAAGCTAACACAATAGCTAATAATTCCCTGTTCCCAACATCGTAATTCTTCTCTGAATCAGACAACCTTTTAGAAAAATAACAACAGGGATGGAGGGGTTTGTCATAAGACAACCTCTGTGACAGTACGGCTCCCACACCTGACTCCGAGGCGTCTACTTCCATAACAAAGGGAAGAGAAGGATCAGGGTGGTGCAGCACTGGAGCAGAGGCAAATGCCTTCTTGAGGGTTTCGAAGGCCTTAAGGGCTTCAGGAGTCCAAACCCTAGGATGTAGACCTTTTTTTGTCAACTTCGTTATGGGAGATATGAGTGGTGAAAAGTTTTTTATAAATTTCCTATAATAGTTGGCAAATCCTATAAAACGCTGGATAGCCTTTAGTCCTTGGGGAAGTGGCCAGGACATTATAGCTTCCAATTTAGCAGGATCCATACTGAAACCCTGTTCAGTAATGATATATCCTAGGAATTGCACAGAGGTCTGATCGAATAAACATTTTTCTAACTTACAGTAGAGTCCGTTCTGCAATAGCCTTTTGAGCACCATCCTAACATGGTTATGGTGTGACTTCAAATCAGGAGAATACACAAGTATGTCGTCAAGGTACACTACAGCACAGACATGCAATAGATCCCTAAGGACATCATTTATGAGGTCCTGAAACACGGCAGGAGCATTACACAATCCAAAAGGCATGACCAGATATTCGTAATGCCCACTGCGTGTGTTGAACGCTGTCTTCCACTCGTCATTCTCCTTTATACGGACAAGGTTATAAGCCCTCCTGAGGTCTAATTTGGTGAAGAATTTAGAACCTTTAACACGATCAAACAACTCAGTGATGAGGGGGATAGGGTAGGCGTTTTTAACCGTTATATTGTTCAGACCCCTGTAGTCTATACATGGCCTCAAATCGCCCTCCTTCTTAGCCACAAAAAAGAAACCAGCACCAGCAGGAGAGGAGGACCTTCTAATAAAACCTTTTCTTAGGGATTCCTGTATGTACTCCTCCATGATCTGGTTCTCTTTTTCAGAAAGAGGGTAGACCTTTCCCCTAGGAGGCATAGTGCCCGGTAAGAGGTTTATGGCACAATCATACTCACGATGTGGAGGTAGCTTATCTGCCTCCCTCTTTTCAAAAACCAAGGCAAGGTCTGCATAAACAGAGGGAACAGAAACCGAGAGTGGTTTAGCCGTGGGCACGTTAAGTAAACAGACAGGACGTACATGAGCCATACAGTCTCGCTGACAAGATTCCCCCCAGGAGAGTATGTCTAAACAACCCCAATCAAGAACAGGGTTGTGTTTAACTAACCAGGGAAAACCTAGAACGATGGAGGCTGTTGGGGAGTCAATTATTTGGAAGGTTAACTTCTCCTTGTGCAAAACACCCACAGACATAACTATTTCCTGGGTTTCATGGGTCACCAGAGGTTTCTCCAGTGGTCTACCATCTATGGCCTCAACGGCCAAGGGTGTCTCCTTTCGGATCAAATTCAGGGCTGCGGTTTTGGCAAAGGTCTCATCCATAAGGTTGTCTGCCGCACCCGAATCGATCAGGGCTTTGGTTGTTATAGTGGTTTTATTGACCAAGAGAGAAACCGTAATAAACGGTCTAGAGATGGACATATGAGGGGACAAAGTCATAACACCCGAGGCCGACCCCTCTCTAGGCCTTAGGTGCTGCAGTTTCCCTGTACTTTAGGGCAGGCTTTACAGTGATGCCCCCTCTTCCCACAATAAAGGCATAACCCCTCCCTTCTACGGTACGCTCTTTCGGCCTCAGTTAACCCCGTAAGAAACCCAACTGCATGGGTTCAGGACCTTAGAGTGGCCGGGCTAAGCACACACAGAATAGTCAGGAGACAAGCCGAGTAAAGGGGAACCAGAAGACAGAATAACGTGAAACGAGCCGAGGTCAAAGGGTAGGAGAAAGTCACAGAGTCAGATAAACAAGCCAGAGAGTACGTAACCAGAAGCACAAGGTAAGTAGCAATACTAGCAAGCAAAGACCACAACAGGGCAGGGAGGAACAGGAAAGGTAAGTATTTAAACCATCAGGTTAATTCTGATTGAATAATTTCCAATCAGAATTAACAATCACACGTGGGAGATATTTAGACCTCCCACTGTGATTGAGGCACTGTGCCTTTAACGCCGGGTCAGGTGACTGACCCCGGCGTGTATAAACCTGGGCGGTCTCCCAGCGTGCAGCGTCATGCATGCTGCCGCTGGGGGACGTGGAGGGAACGGCGGGCGGCATCCGAGGCTGGAAGGATACAGCTCGCCGTACCCACGAGGCGGAGGGGACCGCGGACGGCTGGAGGGTGAGTACTGCGAGCAGAGTGCAGCCTCCCCTCATAGCCGCCCGCGGGAGCCTGACAGTGATGGTGATTTGAAGGTCGTTCTGCCAGTCTTGCATGAACTTCCATGTGGCGTTTACATCTCGGTTAGCGAGGTTGTTGTAGCAAAGAGAGACTGCTTTTTTGGGGGGGATTCAGCGACAAGCATTGAGTTTCAAATTTCGTAATAGAGGTTTGCAGTGAGTTTTGGATGTTCGTGATCTTGTTGTTGCTTAGGAGCGCTTTGATTTGGAGGTATGCGAACGTGAACCTTGAAGGCAGTAGGAATTCTTTTCGTAGGTCTGGGAAGGTTTTTAGTCCTTCTTTCGTGCATAGATGGTAGATATGAGTGATTCCTGCGTTACTCCATTTTTGGTATGGGAATGTTCCGTTGCATTGGTGCAGGATTTGGATCAGGGTTGCCAAGGTCCACGGGTGCGCCGAGCACAGTTTGTCCCTACAGGCATCCCATATCTTGAGTAAGTGTCTGGAGGTGTCTAGGGTGGTCGCGGGTGTGTGCCGTAAGTGTTGAGGCATCCAGAGCAGCGTCGCGAGGTCTTGATTCCCGCAGTGGTTGCTCTTTAATGTTGGGGAGGCCCAGTCCTCCGAATTTCACATTTCTCATTAGTAGCGATTTGGGGAGTCGAGGGTGTTTGCCTCCCCAGCTGAAGCGTAGAAGGGTTGCTTGTAGTTTTGTTATGTAGCTTTGTGGGATTGGAATTTGCAGAGATCGGAAGAGGTAGAGGATTTTAGGTAGAATTGTCATCTTCAGCGCCGCTATTCTCCCCACCCAGGACAAGAACAGGCTTCTCCACGTTTGTAATTGGGTGTCAATGTCTTAACAATTTCGAGGAGTTAGCTGGGAAGAGATCCTTTTCTTTGCGTGTTATTTTGATGCCTAGGTACACTAGGAAATCTTCTCTCCAATCGAAGTGGTGGCTTGCTTTGAGCGTGTCTTCCATGGGTTTTGGAATGTTGAGGCACATTGCTTGCGTTTTGGTGACATTGAGCTTGTAGTAGGACTGTTGGCTGTATGCATGTAGTTCCGTGTGTAGGGATGGGAGTGATATGAGTGGCTGTGTGAGCGTAAGGAGGATGTCATCGGCAAATAAGCTGAGTTTATATTCTGTATTGCCAGTCGGTACCCCATGTATATTGTCATTATTGCGGATCGCTATAGCCAAGGGTTCCAAGGCTAGCACGTAGAGGAGAGCGGATAGAGGGCATCCTTGTCGGGTCCCATTTGTTATGGGGAAAGCTCGTGAGCAGAACCCGGAGTTCAGTACTGTTGCCGTGGGTGCGCTGTATAGTGCGTTAACTGCGGATAGGAAGGGGGCAGGGAGGCCGTAAGCTTGTAGGGTTTCATGGAGGAAGCGCCAGTTTAGGCGGTCGAATGCCTTTTCGGCGTCGAGGGATACCAGGACACTTGGTTGTTTGGTGCTCTTCAGGATTTTGTATAGGTTCAGCACCTGGTGTTGTCCGGTCCCTGTCTGCCTGCCACGAACCCCACTTGGTCCGTGTGGATTAGTGTCGATAGGAGACGTTCTGCATATATTTTAGCATATAATTTTGCGTCAGCGTTTAAAAGGGATATTGGTCTGAAATTTTCGCTTGTGGTGGGGGGTTTACCCGACTTGGGGATGGTGATAACGTGGGCTGATAAGAACTCCGTTGGGAAGGATTCAAGTCGGGCGGCCTCATTGTAAAAGCTAGTGAGGGCTGTGATCAGTTCGTGTTTGAAGGTAATATAGTACAAGTTGGTGTAGCCATCTGGGCCCGGTGCTTTCCCTTTTGGCATTTTGTCTACCTGGCTGAGAACTTCATCTGTGGTGATAGGGGCGCATAGGCTTTCTGCTTGATGCGCTAGGAGTTTGGGGAGGTTTAGTTTTGCTAAGTATGTACGTATGGATGAAGGGGTGGGTTGGGTCTGGTTTTCTCGGTCTTTTAGGTTGTATAATGTGGTGTAGTAATGTGAGAATTCGTTACAAATCTGTGTGGGTTGCATGACTTTGTGCCCTGAGTGTGTGTTTAGGTATGGAATTCGCGTGTGTGCTTGTTTTGCTCATAGCCTTTGAGCCAGTGTTTTCGTTGCCTTGTTTCCCATGGAGTAGGAGGTAGCCTTGAGTTTTTTCAGTGCAATACTGGCTTTCCTAAGTTGGATTGTTTTGATGTCGTCTTGTACTATCTGTATTTGCAGTTGGAGATTCCGAGAGGGATTCACTTGATTCTCTCTATGGAGGTCTTGGAATTGTTTAAGGAGGTTGAGCAGGTTCGCGTGGGTCGATTTCTTGAGGTAGGATGCTCTGCTGAGTAGAAGTCCCCAGATGACCGTTTTGTGCGCAAGCCATAGCGCAGCTGGGTTTGTTCCTGTGATATCGTTGGTTGTGAAGTACTGCTGGATTTCGTGGCGGAGTTTGGCCGTGAATTCAGGGTCATTAAGCAAGGACTGCGGTGCTTGTATTGGTATAGGTCTATGAGGTCTATGAGGGTGAGTATCACCGGGTTATGGTCCGAGATGGTTGAGGTGCTTATCTCACAGGTGTCGATCTGGTGAAGGTGTGCGCTAAGCATTAGGTATCCATCTATGCGGGAGTACGTGTTGTGTACTTGTGAGTGGTGGGTATATTCCCTATTGTTCGGGTGGAGGGTTCTCCATATGTCGTATAGTCCGTGTGAGGCTAGTGTTTTGTTTAGAGAGGTGCATTGTTTGTGCAGGAGCTTATTTCTTTTGAGCGTGTGACTCGCCGTTGAGTCTGCTTGTGGGTCCAGGATGTGGTTGAAATCTCCGCATAGGATCAGTGCGTATTTGCTCTATTTTGTCCAATAGTGTGGACATGTAACTGGGTTGATTGTCATTCGGAAAGTATGCGTTAGCTAGTGTGTATGTAGTGTTGTTCAGTGTGCATAGGAGGATGATATATCTGCCCTGTGGGTCGGTTTGGACTGCGATTTGGTCATACACCAGTGTGTGGCTTATTAAGATCGAGACTCCTCTACTTTTGGATGGGGATGTGGCATGGTATTGGTGAGGGTAGTGTTTGAGCCCTAGGGTGGGTGAGGAGTCGTGCCTGAAATGGGTTTCCTGCAGGCAGATAATGTCGGCTTGTGAGTTACGAATTTCCTTGAGAAGGTTATATTGTTTGTGGGGTGTGTTTAGTCCCCTAATATTGTGCGTGTACACTTTCATTGTAGACTGACTACAAGGGTCAATGGGAGTAGCGTGGCCCTTTGTGCGAGATCTTTAGATTTATTTTGTTTATGTCAAGTCGCCACGTGGTGGCCGTTATGCGTGTTTGTCTGGTGTGAGGGTACTGCCGCTAGGGAGTCTTCGAGTTGTGGGTGAGGAGTGAGTGTGGTCTCGATGTGTCCCGCCTTGGATGACAGGCGCAATCAGTGGTCGCGATGTGTCCCGGTATTTAAGGGGGGGCACCAACTGGGTGCCGTAATTGGGTGATGAAAATTAAGGAAGGAGAGTCTAACAATAAACTAAAATATAACACAATGGTCACTTTCAAGGATATTCTTCTTTGGGGGTAGAGTGGTCGGGTCGGGTCCAGCTGATGGCTGTCTTGGGCTCGTTGTGTGTAGGCTTTTCCCGTTGGGTGTTTACAAGGGTTTTTCTCTGTGGGCTTCATCTTGGTTCAGAGTTGGGCATTGTTGCGGTTGGGGAGTGAACCCAACTGTGGTGGTTCATGTATCGGTTCCTCGGTCAATATTTAGGAGGATATGCTAGGGGGAGGATGCGGCCAGTCTAGTATGGTAGGCCGTTTCATTCGGGGCCTATTGTTTGCCCTGGGGTTGCGAGATGTCGTGTATGCGGTCACATTCAACTGAGGCCTAAGTGTGCCTATTCGTCATGCGGGGGTTCGGTCTGTACAAACAACGTGGCATTGTCATTTCTATCACATGCTCATCGATCTCTACTATATACATCACAATGCATCAGTTAAATATCGCAAAACAATACATCATGGTACCCTTTGTGTCCTCAACATGTGCTTTAGGGGCTGAGGTGGGCATTCTCAATACACTTTGATAGAGTTGGGCCTCCTGTCGGGTGTGTAAGAGCAGCATGTCCCATTAGTCCCCCCGTCCTGACCCTTCAGTACCCTAGTTCCCGGCGCTGCGGGCAGGAGAGTTTCCGTGCCCCAGTTGGGTGCTGTCTCCCACTACGGGCCTATTCGTTTCGGGAGGGGTAGTTATCGAGGTGGTACGTCACTCGTAGCACCATACATATCGTCACCCTTACTGGATCAAATTTTTATGATTCTCCAAGGGTTATGACTGGGTCTTGCGGGCTAGTAGGCCCAGTCGTGGCCGTGCCCGACATCCTTTTACTGTGCCCTTCGAGTTAGTTTGTGTCGACAGTAGTGTGGCATAATGCGGTTATTGCCCAGGGTATGGGTAGATTTAAGCCCCAGCATGGGATTGTCAACAACATTTAAATTAACTTATTAACATAATACAATATAGAAAACAAAAGAACACTTGCTAGTCCTTGGGAGGTCAGCGATCTTCCTCTCTTTGCGCCGCTCGTCGTTGCCTTTGTGGGCGCCAGTCAGCCCCTGGTGCCGTGCTTGAGCTTGCGTGGTGTAGGTTCTGGACAAGGCCCCATTTGTGCAGGAGATCTAGCCCTTCCGCTGGGGTTGATGCCGTGGTGAGGAGTTTCGCCGGGTAGCCCCATCTATAGGGGATGTTGTGGTGCCTTAGTACCTCAGCCACTGACTTGAAGGATCTTCTGCGTCTAAGCGTATCTGCTGAGAGGTCTGTGAATAGGAGGATATCTTTGTACTTGTCTGGTAAATCTTTTTTTGCTCTATGGGCGCGAAGTATCTGGTCTTTTACGTGAAAGTAATGGAGCTTCATGAGCACGTCTCTTGGCGTGGCAGTCGGTAGGTGTTGTGGTTTGGGGATTCGGTGTATTCGATCTAATAGGAGCATGTCTGTTGGTATGTCTGGTAAGACATGTCGGAAGAATTCCACCGTGAAGGCCGTTAAGTCGTGTTCCCACCTCCTCTGGCACTCCCTGCAGTCTGATGTTGTGTCGGTGGGATCTGTCCTCTACATCTGTAAGCTTAGCCTCATGTAGGGATAGTCTTTTTTCCATTTCGCTCAGTCTGTTGTCAATCGCCGTGTGTGCTGTGTCAATATCCTCCATCTTTCCCTCCAGTTGGGATGTCCTTGCGTCTATGACAGTAATATCTGTCTTTATGTCAGCAAGTGCAGATGTGATTGTTACTTGCATTTTTGAGACTGCTGCATCAAGCATTTTCTGCAGTAGATGAGTAGTTAGCAGGGTGTCCGTTCTGTATTCTTGTGCGCCCATGTGGTCGGCATCAGGATCAGACTCGACGCCATCTTGGGTGTGAGTATCGGTGTGCTTGTGTTGCGGCGTTCTGGCCGCGAAGAAAGCCGCTTTGTCTTTGGTTTCTGCAGCTTTTTTAGTGCGGTGTTGAAACATCGTGTTGGTGTGTCTGGTGTCCGGGAATCCGCCTAATTGTAAGTTTTTAGCCGCTTTTAGGAGCCCAAAACTGCGGAGCTCTTTCAATGTGCTGCCATCTCCGTTCGACGTCCGGCCACGCCCCATGAAGATTATTCTTAATAGGCACTGCATGGCTGACAATGAGAATTACATTTCACAGAATTTTTTGTGCAGGTGTATCCCAAACGATCCCTTACTTATGCTTGAGAACTGCCTAGGACCAACTCAAAAATTTTACTATAGATGGTGTTGCTACGAACTACGCTGTAATTTTGCTCTCTTATGAATGCATAGTCGCGACAGTGTCTGAAGCAGAGTTCTGGCTCCATACAAAGGACTTAATCTACTGAATAACACTTTTCAACAAAGAGAAAACAATATATTTTGTACCACCAGTTTCAGAGATATCGATTCATCAAGTATTACTATATTGTTCTGAGATACTGCTAATTTTCTATATTAAATTTATTTAATGTCAATGCCGTACAATAAGTAGTCCAAAGAAAATAAAGTTACAGAAAATACAAGTTGTGCAAAACCAAACATACAATCAAAAAATAAATTGGGTATATGCTTGTTCTAAGTTGATCTAACCACCATATTTTTCTTCATTTAGAACAGAGATAAAAGCAATATAGTGGCAAGTTTCAGTTTTACAGAACCAACATGAGATACATTTTGTAACTTCAGCATAATTAAAACCTAACATTACTATGATCGTTCACTAAACTCTTGATTTTTGCAAATCCAAAATGGAATAACCAGCCAAAAAAATAGTTCTGTAAAACTTCTTCAACTCAGCCATAGTCACGAATGGCTATTTTGTCTAAATTTTGCCATTTGTGTTTAATTCACCAAATGGAGTGTTTAGTGAATAACTCTGTATGTGGGTTTTGTTTTTCAGTATTTCGAAGAAGAGGAAAATGATAAAATAAAAGGGATGGAGACAAGACAACAAACGTTACAATTTCTTTTCCTGGTCGTAACATTGATAAAAAGCTTTTTTTTTTTTTTTTAAAAACAAAAACAAAAAACAAACAAAAAAAACTCTTAAGTGGGAGGAACCAACGCCTGCACGAGCTGGACGCACATTGAGGCAGCTCCGCACACTTACCCTGTTCTCATTAGCTAAAGCCCAGTACCAGCAACGTGATCAAGTGCATAAAGGCACTAGCCAGCTACCCAACATTATTGGGGAAAAGTCCAAGAAGCAGTGAGCGGATCCGGGAATGGGATCCAGAGATATCAGGGTCCTCCTCCGCACGACCCCGCAGCCGGAATCAACAAGGATGGCACCCGCTGAGGCCTACACCGTGATGTCCTCTGATGAGGATAGTGATGCAGCTGATATCATCCCTCCGCCTAAGGCAAGCACGTTAACTTGGAAACCTGCTAAACTGGGTGACTCTGCCCCATCCACCAAAGCAGACATTAAGGCTTTAATGGCAGAAATTAAAACTATATTTAAACGCAGATATGGCTCCGGTTAGGGAGGCAATTAAAACTCTAACCAATAGAATGCAGGGTATGGAGGAAGGCATGGAGGGCACCAAACTAGCCCAAACGGCTACTGACGCCGCCATAGGTGCACTGCAAATACAAATGCGCGGAACGACAAGAGCAAATAGCCTTCATGGAGGACAAGGCAGAGCACGGCACCTGAAAATCCAGGGAGTACCGTAAACAATCTCAGGTGCGGAACTTCCCCACTGATTGCCACTCTGCTGATGCCGAAGCAGGCAAAACAAATGCCCACGGGGTTTCGCTTCACAAAAGGCACCCAGCGCAGCCCAACACGCACCCAGGGATGTTCTGATGAAGCTAATGCGGGAATCCGACTGTGGAGTACTTATGGGGGCCGTGAGAGGCTCTCCTTTGGTGACGTTCGAAGGGGCACAGCTTGCATTCTTTTGGGACTTACCTAGGCATACCCTGGTATGGCAAAGATCCCTCAAGCAAGTAACCCAACTACTACAGGAACATTCCATACCTTACATGTGGGGACCATGCCGACTAATAGTTGACAAGGCCAGCAAGACACATCAGATTGCGCATCTCTTCGAAGCATCAACTTTCTTCCAGGCCCTAGGCATAGCGCAGAACATTCTGGCAGCTGATCGCCCATCGTAGAATGATGTGGGAGTCACCCCGTTCATGCCCAGAAGGGGAGTGCTTGACACGCACACCCTACCCACCTGAAGTTCAGGGCGGCAGGCAATTGTGTCTACTTTATGAATTGTGTCCCTATGTTGCGCTGTTTACTTTTGTTATTAATTAATGACCACACTGTTTACACCCTGGATCCATAAGCCACTGATTTGGCCAGTTGTTAAGTCCTTTCCCCGCCCTTAATCTAACGTGCAAGGAAACGGTGATGCACACGCACAAGCAAAGTACTGCACGCTCGGCTACTATACCGGCCTTCTGGATAGGTATTCATACTTATGTCTAACTCCTCTAGCTATAGAAGGCACCTACGCTCACCATCCACACCATATATTCCTTATATTAGCCCAAGTTTAAGAGCGCACCTATGATAAGTTCCAAGGCGCGAAGTCCACTACCTGCACCCCTCTAAATATAGCTTGCTTTACCTCTCCTACATGTCTGGGGGTGAAAAAATTAGTTTATCCTAGCTATGTGCTATCAATGCCAATGTTTCCAGCATGTACTTCTCTGATTCGCATGTCATGTTATCTGTTACGCTATAACTCGCTAAAATAAATTAAAAATAAATAAATAAATAAGCAGCTCAGAAATGTAACCTTCAACAATAACTACCAGACAAAATGTGAAATTAGTTCAATTCACATGATGTACTAAACCTTCTGTAAACTGACAGTATCTTTGGAGCAGTGTAGTCATCTATCATCCTTTATGGATGTCTGCCAATCTCCAACGTACTTTCCATCTGCCACCGATCACTAAATGCATTTCACATATGTGATGGCTAAACACCGGCTCCATAAATGCTGCAAACTACACCTCCCATGGTGCTCAGCCAGAGCTTTGCCCGATTGCTGCCACTGAAAAAAAAAGGCTATTCAGCACACCAAGAGTGCCCCAGGCTAGACAGCAGATGAACGCTAACAGGGATATGCACTAAAGTGAACTGCAAGATAATTCAAAGTATCTTTTAAATTTAAAGGAAATGCACAAACGTGTATTCTGGACATTATAGGTTTAATATAGCCGTTTAAGCAGCCGGCCCCTCTTGTAAAATACAAAAACAAAAAAAGACAATGTTTACATGAAAAGGCCTGAAGGGACATGTTATAGACACCAGAACAGCTACATTAAGGTGCTGTTATTCTGGTGGCTATAGTGTCCCTTTAAGGCCAAAAGAGGCAGACTATAAACAGAGCCAGATTGTGGGGTGTGGGTAGGGGGGGAGGCTTTCAGCCTAAAATGTGTAACTTTGAATGCCCAGCAATTCCCACCTTATTGAATAGCACTGAGAGCAGGGCATTGCCAGCACTATAAGCACAGCATTGTCCTGGGTCTGACACAAAAAGAGTCATCACACCCTCCATCCATCCATCCATACACACACACACACAGCGCTCTAACTGCCCCCCCATGGATAATAATAAACAAACACAGCCCCCCTTTAACCAGCAATTACCACCCACCACCACCACTGCCCCAACTCACACCTCTTATGTCATCCTTCGCAGAGCTCGGCTACAGTTAGACGGAAAAGGCGGAACTGGGAGGTTTGAAAGCGCCGCCCAATCAGAGACCTCGAGACAGGTGACGGGAGGCAACTTAGCCAATCACTGAGCGGGAGACGGCGCCGTGACAAACCACGCCCCCCAACTACTGAAAAAAAAAGAGCGGGGCAGCGGTTGCCATGGACGCTGTCAACAGTCCAGGGAGGTTGGTATGGATGGACAATTCACATCCACATCAACCACCCCAACACCTGGCTGCTGCTCACTGAGAATGTGATGGCTACTGTGAATGTCAACACACAATAAAGCTGTTTTTTGTTGGGGGTTTTTTTGGTCAGACGTGTTTTGCTTGCTGAGGTGTTTATGTTTTTACTAACTGCTGTTACACGTTTTATTGTGACAATAGAATATATATATATGGTTGGGTGACATTTATTAGTTAACCTGCATCACATACAGTTGCAGTATGCTTATGTTACCAACCCTTTGAATAACAAACCCACTCCTAGATCAATTAAGGTTCTGGGTAATTTGCACACTCCAATGTGTTTCTATCTGCTTTAATTGCAATCCTGAATTGTGGGTTTTAATATTGAAAAAAGTGCATCTTTTATAAGTATCAGTAAATTGTTTTTCTATTGTTTTTGTTATTAACAAGTCACCCAAAATTGCTCAGAACAAAGATACACACAGACAACTCCCACACACAACCCAAAAATGAGGGTGTCCCTCTTTGTCCATATAAAATGTTAGAGGGTATGAATAAAATATTGGACAACAATGACAGATCCTGATTCATTCCATTTCTATATGAGCTGAGAAAAGTCCAGGAGAACTGAAAAGTTGATGTTTATTTGTGCTAAATAAAAGCATTTCTACTTTACTACTACAGTCTCCAGAATTTTTATATATATATATATATATATATATATATATATATATATATATATATATTTATTATTTTATTTTTATTTATTTAAAAATGCATAAAATTAAACATGTGTAAAATTGTTTGGTTTTACTATACCATGTGCATACCTTCCAATAATTCCATATACAATTGGACATCCCTAATATGGAACCAATAATCCAGCAATGCTTTTCTTTCAGTGTGCAACTTCTGGAAACGTCAGAGAAAAATCCACAAACAGAGCAGTGCAGTGATATCCTTTGTATTTCTAACACTATAGTGTTCAGTACAGTAAGTGGGCAAAATGTTATAACCAAGTGAAGAATCAGGCTGGCTAGGATTTATTGTTGGCTAAGTCAAGATTGGTGGTGCCCAAACCCCTTGTGGGTCCCATCATTACAATAGCAATGCACAAAGAAAGTGTGTACACAAACACAGATTACCCTGGTATTGCTGCCCTCAGCAGGAAGGTTTAATCATGCATAACAAGTGCTGGCAAACTCCAAAATACACGCACAATATCCAAATAATCACATGATTGAAACAGGTACACAACCTTAATGCCATGGAGATATTTGTAAACAAACTGAATACAATGGTGTTACTCTGCAAGATTTTTAATGTAGCCAAATATTAGTTAATGGAGTGTACACCTGAAGGACATTCTTACTGCGATACTGTATCAGAATACCGGTAGTTGGTACCTGTTTACTGATGTTTAGGTCATACCGACCTGTACCGTGAAAACATATTGACATACCATATGAATATTGTATTTAAAAGAAGTAGTCCATTTATGGCCTGGATTCTGTAACGAGAGATAAATTAACTCTGGTAACTGAATAACATTTCTCTATATCTAAGGGAACATTGCTATTCAGTTAGCAGAGATATGCTCATCCTTTTGATAGAATCTGGTCCTTCGAGACTAATCATGCCTTGCTAGATTTTAAAATGAAGCACTATTATTGTGGAATAGCTGATAATTAATAAGACAGTATGATGTATTTCGTTGCAGTTCCTTTGTTGTGGATACAAATCCAAATTTATCATTCTTGCCCAGTACAGTTCAAGGTAAACTGTAATAACCCCTACCCTTAGGCTAACCTTTTGATCCAAAATTCCAGCTCTCCAGCCAGCAGTTTAAATGGTTGCTTCATGGACCATGACCACTTCAGTGCCTAGAGAAAGTTGACATTCTTGGTCAATGAATGGCCAATAGGGATCAGCATCCAACTTCTTCAGCTCTGGCATTGTGCCAGGTGGAGACCCAGGTAAGAGGGCAAACTGTTGCAAAACGGTTTGCCCCATCACCAAGAATTGGCACCAAGGTTCTCCTGTATCATAACCACTACAGTGGGCTCAAGTGGTTATGATGTTTGGCTTAAAGTTGTAACAATCCCTTGAAGAACCGTAGTCATTCCAGTCAGTTAAATGTCCCTAATCCCTCCAGATACTAATTTACTGTCGCTTTATCCCCTTTTTTAAATTTACAACCTGGCTGCAGACAGTTAGATAATCTATAAACAGAAAGTGATATCCTATATTTTATGCCTCCCTGAGTGTCTACTCCTTCTACGCGTGTTGCTTTGTAGCTCAGATCACTCAGTGCTGTGCACTCATGGCTGAGACACACATACATACAAAGACACATACATACATACATACATACAGATAGGCACACATACAGACACACACACACACACATACATACAAACAAACACACACACATATACAAAATGTTTAAGTCACCCTCCTGTTTCCTAACTTTTAGGTGCAGGAGGGTGACTTTCCCTGGGGTCCAGTGGTGGCTCAGGTTGATTTGAATCAGAGTTCCCACTCTGACTCCCTCCTCTGCTTCCTCTCACGCAGGCTCTGCGTGATAGCTGGGAGGAGTGACCAGGGATGTCATCACAGGGGTCCTGGTCACGGTGTTAAAGCGCCGCAGCACTGACCGGGCCCCCTGAAACTCCATCTCCATCGGGTGGCCCTAACAGCATGGACCACCCGATGGACCCCTTGAACGGCGGTCCTGGCAGATTGCGGCGCGGGCCGGGGCCGCAAAACATGGCTGGGCCCCCTGGAGTGACTGGCCTGGTCGCAGCTGCGACCCCTGCTGCCCCTATATGTACGCCACTGCTTACACCTACAAACACAGAATCACACAATGCATCCCTTACACACACACTAAGAAACACACAATGCATTCCTTACACACACACCCTGCATCTACTAAACAAACACTACATAACCTACACAAACTGAAATCTCTATACACTACATTCCATAAGCACAGCCCTTACATCCTCCACAATAACACACAGCACATACCCTACACACATATACTCCACCCCCTTTGAGTGAACTTATGGGTGGGCCCTATAGATGGACTCACAGGCGGGCCTTATGGACAGACTCCAGGTAGGCCCTTCGGGGCCCAGGCCTTGAGCTGTATAAGGGGCCCCATATTAGTTTCCTGCTTTTTATCCTACATTTCAGATGCTCATTTAGTGCCTCTTTCTCTGGTGCCATTGTTTCCCCACTTCCCATTTCAGTTCGTATTTACCAAGGCGCTGTTCTTGGTCCTGTTTTAGTCTCCTGTTTAATTTACACACAGCCTCTTTACCAACCTTATTAACACCTTTGGATTTCAGTATCATCTATATGCTGACGATACTCACATTTACAACTCCTTCCCGGACCTATTTCCTGACCTCCTGGAAGGTGTAACAGACTGCCTTTCTTCCATCTCTAACTGGATGTCTTCCAGTTTTCGTAAATTATAAAATAAAATAGTCCACCTCCATCTCCCTGCATGTCAATGTACCATATTACCCCAACCCCTCCAGCTCACTGCCTTGGAGTTACATTTGACTCAGGTTTAACCCCTTATTCCAGAAGTTTGGTCCTTAAGGGGTTAAAGGACCACTATAGGCACCCAGACCACTTCAGCTTAATGAAGTGGTCTGGGAGTCAGGTCCATCTAGGATTAACCCTTTCTGCTGTAAACATAGAAGTTTCAGAGAAACTGCTATGTTTACATTAGGGTTAATCCAGCCTCTAGTGGCTGTCTCATTGACAGCCGCTAGAGGCGCTTCTGCGCTTCTCACTGTGATTTTCACAGTGAGAAGACGCCAGCGTCCATAGGAAAGCATTGAGAATGCTTTCCTATGAGACTGGCTGAATGTGCGCGCGGATCTTGCCGCGCATGTTCATTCAGCCGATGACGGCAGAAGAAGGAGGAGATTATTCCCCAGCGCCGTGGGAGCCCAGCGCTGGAAAAAGGTAAGTGTTTAACCCCTTCCTAAACCCTAGAGCCCAGCGAGTATGTTTTCCTGGCACTATAGTGGTCCTTTAACCTTTTCTCCTCACTTTCAGCCTGCCTTCATATCCTGTAACTTTTACCTTTAAATATTGCCCACATTTGCCCTTTTCTAAGTCATTTTACAACTTAGGCACTTGCTCATGCATTTATCATTTCCCATCTTGAATATTGCAACTCATTACTCATTGGCCTTCCAAATACCCACATTGCCCCTCGTTTTTAATGAATGCTACCGCCAGGCTCATGTTCCAGACCGACTCCTACTCCCACACCTCACCCATTTGCCAATCATTACATTGGCTTCCTGTATCCTTCAGGATGCAATTTAAACTAACACTGACCTGCAAAACCTCTGCTCACTACATCTCCTCTTTACTCAACAAATATACTACTTTCTCTTCTCTTTGCTCTGCAAGCGACCTTCTCTTTATCTGCCCATCCCGCACTACTAACTGTCATCTGCAGGATTTTTCAAGAACTGTTCCCTATCCCGTGCTTCAGACCCTCACCTTGTATCCAGTCCTTTATGAAATTACTGAAAACACACGTCTTTAAGAAATCTTACCATCTTCTTCTCTCATTACAATTACTACAATTACCGTCTTCAGTTCCCTCTCTTCCACAGCCCAGCTCACTCTCTCTCTCATTCCACTGTTCAGTTCTTCAATACATCACTTTCACTAGCTGATTTTGACACAACACATAAATACTACTACTAATGAAAATAATAATAAATGTGTTTAGAAAGCAGTCTGTGTAAATAAGATTCATTGTTCATGTTCTAAATAACTTTTTAGTCCCATAAATTGTTATTAGTAAGTAAACAAAGCCCCACCCCTGGCCAGACGCTCACACACACTGCTAAAATGATAGGAAATCAGTCAGACACTTACCTGACCCTCCGGTCCCATGCCACAATCTCCTTACAGAGGTGGGTGTCACCCGTCTGAACTCCTTCTGCAATTATCACTTATTTGCCCTGATAGGGGACGCTTCCTTAAGCAAGGGAACCTCTACCAAGATGCCGAAACAGTGGCTTTGTTGCCAGCATGCTGGTGTCTGAATGGATTGACGTTAGTGACTCTGTTCCTACACTTCCTAGCCAGAGTTAGCAGCGCTAGCTAGAGAGTAATAATAGCAACCACAGCATATTCTTCGGCATGGAGTCTATGCCAAAAAAATATATTTTAAATAAGTTTTTCTTCCAATCTATACATTTGATTAAACTTAATGCTTTTTTCAAAGCGCATGAGTGGTTTGGGGAGATGGGGGTCCAATTTAACCCATTAAGGACCAAACGTCTGGAATAAAAGGGAATCATGACATGTCACACATGGCATGTGTCCTTAAGGGGTTAAAGAGTCTGTCTTTATCTATTTTTTTTTTTAAATCTGGTTTTATTTAGAAATTATTTATTTTTCACAGGGTACAAGAAAGACAACAACTTGAGACGTGCAAGTCTCCAGTGCAAGAGCAGGGTTCCAGATTTACATGTGCCTATTTGAAATGAATGCACCACATTGAACTCTAGTCATCATGATGCTAATTATTCTTCTATCTTCTAACTATAACATTAATACAATATATTTGCATGGAAACAATAAAAAATAAAAATAAAAAAACAACAATAAACCAATACATGAACTCATGAACTAATACAGTTACAAATGTGTTCTGCTTTAAGCATAAATGCCTAAACTCTCATGCGTTTTCCCACAATGAAACTACAAATCCCGACATGCTTAAAACCTTTGCGCATGCGCAATAATAACTTCAAAAAAAAGCATCCCGCTGATTGGCTACTTTTCTTCGGCAGGCTAGACAGGCTCTCGCCGCTGATTGGTTGAGATATTTTTTTTTGGCTTCCGGACTCTGTAGGATCAAGAAAACAATGGCGGATGAAGTAAGCGAGGTGGACGTGCAAGACATGGAAGGTAAGTGTCAAGCAGCACTGCGGGAGATACAGACTGGCTCTCGAGGATGTGGTCTGGCTGTGTATAAGAAGCTGGCACTGAGCATTGTATATGGCCTGTAGCTCCTAGTCTGGGGAAGATGGAGGCAGGTGGTGGCTTTCAGCAGGTGATGGTTACCTGTGGGGGGTGTCAGGACACATTGGGCTGCTATGGCTGCTGTGGAGTATTTATTATGATGCTCAGTCAGTAGGTAGGTGGGCTGTTTGAGGATTTATATAGATTAGTCCTTAATTAATAGGGGTGCTAAAGGATGTCCCTATGTGACAGGTGATCACATTCAGGTATGATTGTCCTGTCTGAGTGGGTGGTGGGAAGGATGTTTGGATCAGGGACCAGGGTCAAAAAACCTCATGGGTGTTGTAGCTGAACCTAAGCCAAAGATGTCTTCCACCCAGCCCTGTGTTCGACTCCTAGGATGTTACTGACAGAGGGTAAATATATACCAAGGGTGAGCAGGGATCTCTAAGGCCTGAGCATGTGTTGTGAGCTCATGAGAGGCTATATAGAGAGAGATAAGCATGTATCTATGATGGAGCCTGGTGATGTTGCCAACTCCCAGTTATTGATTGAGCAAGGTTGACGAGCAGAAAAAAAAGATCGTGTTGTTTTCAGCAATTATATGAAGTCATACCACATGTATGGGGTTGTTTTGAAAGTTTAGTTGATCAGCTTTTACTGAACTGGATTTTTAATTTAAAAAAATAATAATTTAACAAATAAAAAAAAAAAAAGTCTGAGATTTGGTCTGGTTGCACAAACTACATGGAACAAAATGCCATGCCAAAAACATATGTTTCATTAATATTGGGAATGGTAATGTCACAAACCTGTATCAAGCAGAATTCAAACTTATGAAATGCGCAATGAACAATTGTGTGCACACTATCAAAATATTTTAACATGTCTAAAGTTAAATGTGATTATTCAAATACTGCAGAAACATACATAGCAATTCAGTTGCAAAAACTGGTTTAAAGACTGTAAGTTCGTTTGAGCAGGGCCTTCTTCAACCTATCGTTCCTGTAAGTTTTCTTGTAATTGTCCTATTTATAGTTAAATCCCCCCTCTCATAATATTGTAAAGCGCAACGGATTCTGTTGGTGCTATATCAATGACAATAATAAGAGAAGGGAAAAAAATAATAAATACACATGTGCGCATAAACATGTATGATAAATTCCCAAATGTTGTATAAGAAATTATAAATAAAGAGAACTTTTCCTGGTAAACAAAATACTTGCGCATCCAAGTGTTTTGGTACTAATGCCATGTTCAAGGTAACTTTTCAAGTTGAATAAGTGATTCCCAAAAGGAAAACAAACCGCAACCTGTTTTCATGTGGAAGATTAGGGAGGGAGCAGACTGTCCATATGCATTCATGAGGAGATCTGTTCACTAAATGCCGGCTTTACTAATTTCTCCTTTCAAAATGTCTCTCTTCAAATTTGTACCCTGTTTTACTTGACATGTTTATTTTTTATTAAATATTAGTATTATGTTCTGTTTGTATTTGGTTATTTTGCATGTGTTAGACTGTAGCATCCCTGTTATTTATTTATTTATTATATATATATATATATATAAAATCTCCTGTATATGCAGAGTGAATGTGAAGTATTTTGGGATATACACATCCAAATTGAAATGCATGTTTTAACACTGATCATTTAAATTTTTTTGTTTAAATTTATTTATTTATTTTTTTTGGGTGGCGTTTTATATCTGATTTTCAACTGATTTGCCATTCAGTGGGAAGGTGTGTTTTTTTTTAATTTATTTTTTTATATGGTGTTATGTTTATGGCCCAGGGATAGGACTGTGTAATATATTAGATGATCTGTTGCAGTTGACAGGAGAAGGGAATCAGATGAGTCAGCTGATGAGGAAATAAAGGAGAAACCAGATATTCCTGATGGAGGAGAGAAGAATGGAGAGGAAATCACAGGTAACGTTCTTACTTGTATTTTATATTGAATAAATGCATTTAGAGAAATTTAGATTATATTTATTATAATGCTATTATATTTGCTTTGGGGGAAAAACATCCATTGATACACTTTTTTTTTTTTTATCAGTTTGATAGATATGAAAAGTGCTTACACATTATCAGTACCAGAGGCGGAAATGTAAAATCCTATATACACACAGACTTAAACACATGAACCAGTATACTTACACAGACTCGTATACTCATTTAATTTTCATTTTATTTCTTTTGAAGAGGTTGGGGGGAATCACAGTGAGGTCTATCTAGTTCTTAACAAGGAGAGCTGGATTGGAGCTTAATTGATGGGATCCAGTTTCTATGTGCTGGTTTCCCAGCTCCCTTCTGCCCTGTACAGATGCCAGGACTGGGATGATGTTGAATCCCAGCTCCATCACCAGTATAAGGTGCACGTGAAAGCCACAGAGCAGGCACCTTCTGTGCTTCACCCCTACAGGCAATGGGCCAGTCGGCAGGTGGATGTTCTGGCAAAAAGGTGATGAATAGTACACTCCTTGCCGCTTGTTACCTCAGGTTTGCAGCCTCCCATTAAGTATGCTACTTGTCAGTACCTTCATTTGTCATACCATGATAGTTGCGGTGTCATTGGTATTTTAATTTATGGAGAGGTTTTTGATATAATTTTCTTTGCTGCAAAATCCAATATAGCTATGTATTTGATTACTGTGTGTATACATTTGTGTGTTTCTTTTTTTTAATTTTAGTTTTGTTTTCTTTTGCATAATTTACCAGAGGTGTTCTGCCACTTATTCTCATACGCACATATTTGTGGTTGCTGGCAAAATTTGGATTATGACTATATTCTGAAGGCAGAACATGTCATGTATAATCACACTACAGATAAGATTTCAAATTAGACTTTTTTTTTCTTTTCTTACAATCTCTCAGTATGATTCTAAGTATTACCTGAGTTCACTATAAGGTAGAAGTTGTAATTGTTAATTATTATCAAAGTATTGACTATCCTGACTCTTTAGTATACTTCGCTAGTGTATCTAATTGAGTGACCAAAATTTAATACAGGGTTTGTACAGAAAGTATATAATTTTTAAGAAACTCAATTTCATTGAGACTAGCACTACAACACCACTGTTTATAACAGTGGTAGGTAACCTACGGCACTCAAGGCTGCTAGAGCCAAACAGGCTCTGGCCTATCAGGAGTCCCAGTAAAACTTCAGATATTTGCTAATACAAAAAGGTGGTGAAGGACAATCCTCAATTTATGCATTGCAGCACATAGAGGAGGTGATCTCTGATCTGTAGTAGATCAGCCTGCAGCTGCTATTGCAGCTCCTGTCCTTGACCTGTACCAGGCCAGCCTGGTCCCCACTGGAACCCAGGGAAGGCACCCACACTGCTAGATTTACACAGAAATGCAAAATAACCCTCCCCTCATACAAATAATACGAACAGCCCACAAACACACAATCCGCACAAACGTAACCCGCTAGCAATCCACATACATGTACACAACCCCACATGCAGCCTCTCACATGCAATGCCCAAAAGAGCCCCCACATACTACCAAACACACAATGTGACATCCTTTCACACACAATTCCACAAGCAACCCCCATGCACAGCCCACATTCATATGTATCATACACGATACCATAAACTACTAATGACCATATACAATATAATAGCTCATATACGCACAGATACAAAGCAATCACAGTAAAAATAACGCAAGGAGAATACGGCAGCATACACACCTCAATTTAAAAAAAATAGGACCGGCACGCTACGGGACATCACACTCCTATATTGGCACAGTGCTGCTAATAGGTTGCCTACCCCTGGTTTATCATATCAAGCAAAGAAAAGTTTTCAGCTACCTTTCAAAACTTTGGAACTCTGGAAGAAAACATTAAGACTTAATATTCTAGAAACTATTATTTTAAATTCAGTAACCACAAATATGTTCCCGAACAAAGTTGCTTCGTTCATTTTTCTTTGTGTTATCCACAAGAACACAAACACTAGTTTTTCAGATTTACATATGAATATTAAAACAATGTAGTACTTTATCTGATTCTGTAGTCCTTCATGTCGTTGTATCAGAAACTACTTGTTTCCTTTTTAGATATTGTAGAATGTTTGCAAAGTGTGGACATGTCTGTTTATTGCATTACTTGATTGTAATTCATTGTTTGTTTTAGGAGATTTGGAAACACCAGTGGACATTGAAACCATCAACTTGGACCCAGATGCTGAGGTAACGATAAGGAAATTAAATTAGTCAAACACCAAGATATAAGAATTAGAAGCTTGTAAAAATCTACAGCTTGTCAGCACCTACCTTATTTAATGTAGAACTATGTATAAGCCTTCTGTCTGACTTTTTTAATTAATGAAGATATCCCCTTTTATCCAGCTTTATTCTCACAGTTTTGCTGGCACGTTAAGGATTTGTAATGATAAAGGACTTCAGTATGCCTGCTGGGAGATGTGTAGTTGCAAAATAATTTAAATATTTAGCCCTTTCTTCTCCTTACATTTCTAACAGGAAACTGACTCCATAAAGGGTGAAAAATAGCCATTTATAATGCATAAAAACAATAATAAAAATGCAGTAGGATGCACTGCATCTGCTGCAAAGTCTGTCTTCAGTTTCTACAATGAGTTCCCAGCAAAGCAGGAAGCGAGTCAGCCAATTCTCATGCTCACCTTAATGCTATGAACATATTCCTTATGCTTTCCTTTCTGGGCACATCAAGAGGTTTTTCAGTCTTTAGGCGTCTATATTATTACTAGTAGGAATGACTTCCTTTACAGCAGTATTGTTGAAATATAGAGGTGCGGGAAGATTGGACAAACCTTGTGGTAATAGTATAGATATTACAATAGAAAAAGGTCATGGGCTTATGTAAGCATCTAATAACTTAATCCGTATCTCAGCTATGTGGCTTTGTCATCTCTACAAACGGCTTCTAAGTAAGTCCAAAAAAAAGGGGGGGAGGGGGGGGGAGACTGGCTTTCCTCTAGCTGACTTCATACTGCAAAATTTTTGTCTTGCAATGCATTAAAATGTTAGCATGGACAATCAACGCCAAGCTGTATTTACCCTTCAATCATGTAATTATTTTACATTCATTCATGGTTATGTGAATTTATTTATTTTTATTTTTTTTATTTTTCTCTGACTACTAGACTATGGATTACCCCATTTATTCACTAGTTATCTAATTTTGTGGGGGGTTTTTTTTTTTATTTTTTGTTTTTTTCCTGTTATAATATTCTGTTTTCCTGTCATTTCTCTTGTTAGGATGTTGACTTGAACCATTTACGGATAGGGAAGATTCAAGGCTTTGAGGTGCTGAGGAAGGTTAAGGTGAGTTAAAAATTTTTTTTAAAATATTTTATTTTTAACCTTATGGTGTTCCTTAATGTTTACACTACTGCCACCATTCAAAAGAAAATGTGAAAAGAAAACAAATCTCTCTACATGTAATGCAGTGCCCAGGACATGCACCTTTATACAGCCAAGCATGGCAAGCACAATAGAAACCTTAATACCTCAGTCCTTTTATTATAGTGTAATAAACATTGATAAAGAGCTGAGGCCCAAAACATTTGGATTGTGCTCTCTGCACTCCTCTTAATAAATGTGTTACCCTAGTGGGCCCTGAAATATCATATTGTGCATCTGGACTACATTTATTTGTGTAAATGGACACCAGAGACCAATGGATACTTTGTTTGTCCACTCTCCTAATGACAGCTTTGGAATGAATATTATTATAATTATTATTACTATTTGATCACAGCAGTGACCTTCTCTTTCCTTATTTTGCACAATTTTTGTGATGAATTTTTGTCGAGTGCAATGACTCCTAGAAAATAATTTGAGACATAGGACACATGCGCAGCCATCACCACTCTTCACCAATTAGATTTTTATTCATTGAGACGTATTAAATACATCGCTTCTCTTTGAGAATCTTTGGATGCAGTTGCTGACTTCATCCTGTGAGTGATGACGTTGAACGTGAAAACCTTTTAAAATCTACAGTGAGGAAATTCTTCTAGCCTCTATCAATCTGACAAAGACTAGCGGCATTTTCTCTTCACAGAAGTGGCATGGATTTGCATTATCCGATAACAAAGGGTGGCGTTTTCACATCAAAATCAATTTGTTAAGCTGTAGTGGTTTTTGTCCTTAGTGTGTCTATAATACCAATGTCTCTAGTGTTACAGAAAATGTAACTGATTTATATCAGTTGATGCAATACCAGACAGGTCTAAAAACAAAAAAACACTGTTCTAGACTTACAGATGGCTAGAACAGCATTAATATTGCTACAGATTAATCTATAAAATATATACTTATGCAGGACCAGAATATACAACAGCACTTGAATGCAATGTTCTCCCTTTTTACATATGGTATACACTGACTGAGGTACAGCATGTGGCAATATTTATCAAATAGTGATGTGAGAAGTCAGAGAATACGATTTTTATTGTACACTATTTGTACAACATTTTGTGTGTACTATTCTACTTTGCAGTATTCCTATACAATTTTTAAACACATAAAATTAGATATTGAAGATTTGTGTTATGTGTGTTTTGTCAGATGAACAGTAGATGGCGCCCTGTGCAACATTATCACGAGGTGCCACATTCAGTATATAGGTAGCTTATACCCTGTATTTATGAATGAGTGTTGAAGAGCGTTGTGAAAAAACGCTATGACACATATCTACATCCTGTCCATACATTCCTTAGTAGAAAACCGATTTTTGTACAGGTCAGGGGGTAGAAAACCTACAAGACATTGTAGAGTAGACTGTTAATATAGATCATGTGAATTTTAACAAATCATTGCTATATTATGCATTGAGATGCAATAGACAATTCAAGCTCCTTGCACCACTCAATACAAGGACCAGAAGTGGTTATGGTGCTTGGCCCAGCCTTCTAATGTCAGCATGATATGTGATGAATATGAACTCTAATGGCAATATCTCATGTTCTATTCTGATCCATTTAAGAATGAGTCTGAAATTTCACAAACCACTCTGGAGTAGAATAGCACAAGATTCTGGGACTAAAACTCCCATCTTCCCTTTTAACTGAAGTGTACTTTGTTCCCTTCTTTTCCTTTTTCGGTTCCTTTGACACGTGTGTGTGTGTGTGTGTGTGTGTGTTGTTTTTGGGTTTTTTTTCCCTTACAAATCTGCATCCACAGCCTTACCTCTAAGCTTCCCTCTCTCATTGACTTTACCCCTGTAGACCCTGTGCCTGCGTCAAAACCTAATAAAGTTGATTGAAAATTTGGAACTGTTGACAACATTGACAGAATTGGACCTATATGACAATCAGATCCGTAAAATCCAAAATCTGGATAACCTGAGCCAGCTTGAGTGAGTAAGCTCAGCAATAAAGATGTTACTTGCTCTTTAGGCTTCTAAATTGTCTGTGTGTACTTTTAGGGAAATAACCATTTACTTTATCTTATAAACTGTCCTGTGTAAAGTACCCCAATGTTTAAGATGCATCAGCAAAATCTATCACTTATATCCCTAATATTAGATTGCTACTGCCAGAATTGAAGGAATTGATATTAATAATTTATTTTCAGCTATTGTGTTACATTTAGGAATAATCTTTCATTTAAAAAAAAAAAATACCTGTGAAGTCATAGAAAAATATAATTATGGACCAGCTAATTCACCTTGCCTCATCATTTAAATTGATCAAGAAATAAATGCAAGTGTATTTAACAGCACTTAACCCCCTTAAACACCTTTTAGCAAATTCACATGGTAAATAGGAATAGACTGTAAGTTATTATTTATAGAAAAGGGGAATTCTTCAACACCACTTATAATATCTATTCAATTATATTTTATTTCTAGAGGGACTATATTGCTTCTAAGAACTATATATAATTTAAAAAAAATAAAAAAAATACTCCTCTCTAAAACTATGGGTGTCTGGACCCTTCAATGATGCAACACACTGTCTATATTACAAAAATCCCAATAAACCAATAGTGAGAAGAATGTTGGATAATTTCCATGTGAATTTTTTTTAACCGACAAAAATATTTTTCCAAAATGTGCATTAATACCTGCAACTGATGTACACCATTGCTATCTTACGAATACTTGTCTGACTGCATTCGTAGCTACAAGCAATGTAGTGATAACCAGTGAATCCGTGCTAATAGTTACAATGCTGTGTTACAATTTATGTTGTTCCTGATGAAATGTGAATATTCCTCAGTTCCCTTTTGTGGGCAAAAACAACAAGTACATGATAATTAACAGTGTAGGTTTCAATAAACAGATGTTCATCCTTGATAGATGCATTGCTCTGTTTCCTTTTATCATAAAGCAAAGTCGGTATTTGTCTAGCAATAATTTTTATTTTACTTATCTTTGAATACAGTCAGGCTAATTGCTCCAAGGTCCTAGGCTTTCATTTAGATTAAATGTGAGAATTTAAGAACGGTATACACCACAATGGCTTAAACGCCATAATCATTTTCTAAAAAAGAAATATTGAAGTGCTTTTATTTATTTTGATGTACATTATTCCTTTCTGTCTTTACCTTTTTATGCAAAAAAGAGAAATTTAATGAAGCAATTTGTAAGAATGCTGGATAGTAATGATAGGGGTTAACCCTTAGAAATAGATGGCAGAAAAAAAGAAACTGAACTGTCCAGTGACCACAATAGTAGTTTAAAAAATAACTTTTAATTGATAGAAGATTAAAAGGAGCTAGAAAAATATCTAGCTCAAACGAATCAAAGTATATAGAACACTATATTGACCAAATCAGAGAGAAAAGGGAGAGTCAAAGAGGAGGGTAACAAAGAAAATAAATAGAAATAAAAACAAGACTAGTAATATCCCAGCTAAACTAATGAAAGGAAACAGAGAGACTTGTAACTGTTTCACTGAAAACATTTATCATGCAGACAAAGTATCAAATTTAGTTCGTCTATCAGATGTTATGGCTGATAACCGTAAAACCACGATTTGTGCTGTGCCTGACATAAACCCATGCAGCACCGGCACTTAATGTCAAAACGGTGCCTTTAGGGTGCATCATAGTTTACTACCAGACCACAGCACATAACCTAAAAATAATAGATAAATATTTAGTGAAGTGATAGTCCAGGGTTAAACAAATAATAAGGTAGAGACAGCAAAAGAATTGCCCTGTCAGAGTGTTTTGCTGATCTGCCCTGGATTAAAAACAATTAGTGTAGATAGTAATTAATATCAGATAAGGCTGGGTTAAAGGAATGAATGTTCACTTATTCCCTAATTCTGGCTGAGCTAAGAGATGCTGCCAAAGCCTAAATCTCTAATAACCGTTAACAGAATGCTACACTTTCTAAAGGTAGAGAGACCTCAAAATATAGTCACAAATATGCTAGTCTCTCTAATTAAAGCGTCCAAACAAAGACTCATAGAACTAGCTGATCTATCACTGGTAGCCATTTAGCAAATTGCTGAGCTTGCTGAAGCTAGAAAGACGTTATGAATGATAACGGATAGGTTCGTAATTTTAGTCTAATGCTACAGATAAAGATAAATAGAGCTAGCTGGTCTAAAGCAACTGTAGAAATCAGCTACAATTAGGAGCCCTGACGCGCGTTTCGCCAGTAAGCGGCTCTTCAAGGGGTGAGTGATACCCTCGTTTGCTCAGTTTAAATAGGGCGCCAAAAAACCTGAATGGTTGGTAGGAGGAGCGAAGTAATGTAAGAGTAACTCCTTCAATATCGTCAGAGACCCATAAGAGAAAATTCAGTAAAATGGCTTAAGGGTATAATTTAAAGAACATATATTTTGCAAAAGTTAAAGTTTTCATCAAAGGATAATATACATATGATGAGAAAATAGTTTGTATAATAATTTTGGCATAATAATGAATCATAATTGGTTGTTGAAATATGCTATTCAGTGGTTAGTAGGTACTACTATTATGGTCACTGGACAGTTCAGTTTCTTTTTTTCTACCTTACGTTTTTATGCTTTCTAAGTGTTATGCTTACTGTTTTTCAAGATTATGCAACACTTTCCTCTTGTTAAAAGCAGAGAGAAATTGACCCTTCCCTATATTCAAAAAGGGAATAATATATGAGATATCATCCCTTATGTAACTTTTCGACTATTTGCTGTCATGTCATGGCTCCAAAGGAAAACTTTATTTGATTAGTTTTGTATCTGTACACATTATTCTCTCTGCAGAATTCTCGACTTGTCATTTAATCTCCTGAGGCGTATTGACGGTTTGGACACTCTGACTCAGCTTCGTCGCCTGTATCTGGTGAATAATAAGATCACCCGCATTGAGAACCTTGTCTACCTAACCCAGCTCCGTTTGTTGGAATTGGGTTCTAACCGTCTACGGGTAAGCAGGTTGTGGGAATATATGATGTAACAGGGGTTACACATTTTTAAACTGCAAACATCTAGAGCTGCCATGCAAAGTTAAACAAAAAGTAAAACTGACTGTGTGTAAGGTTTTTGAGCTAAGGAAGTGTTTTTAATTATTATCCATCTTTTAATTTCCTCTGAAGGGAGATAAACTCTGACTTGTTATCTTCTTAATCTAGTCATAATTTGTTGTACAAATTCCTTATCTCACATGAACAGACATTTGCTTTTTCACTAAAGACTGAATGATAAACATGACAAGTGCCAGCTTTCCGTGAAGTGCTGCATCAAGATTAGTTTTAAAGGGAATCCATGGGGAAAATGTATTCTGCATTTTTAAGACTTTTTATAAAGCGTGCATTACTTACTCCCTAAAAATGCACAGATACAATAAAAAATATTGAATTCCTAGCACTGTAGTTCCCTATAGTGCCCTTCTTGCTCGCACGACAACCCCACATACCACCACACCCTCTCTCCTGCTGCAGCACAGAACTCTTTTGTCACTTACCTGATTCCTTAACGGGACCTAATGCGCATGCACCACAAGCGCTTTAGGACAGACTCACGGGAGAGCATTGTATAATGCTTTCCTATGGGGTTTTGGGTAACATTGGCTCTCCTCATGCATAGCGTGAGGACATCCAGTGTCAGGCGACCAAAAGTCACCTATCGACCCTGAAGTCCCTCGACTCCACTAGAGGTGGAGTTAACCCTGGTTATCAATAACTGCAATAATTACTATTGCAGGATTAAACTGACAGGGGCACTGCACCCTGACCACTTCAATTACCTGAAGTGGTCTGGGTGCCTATAGTGTGCCTTTTTAAAGCTGCTGATTGCCGCTTCAAGCAGACCTTTCTGTCCAGAGGAAGAGGCACCTCCAATCTTTCTTGCTGATTTAGTGGGACTGATTTGATACCCTCCTAAAGTGCTGTCTAACTCCCATAAAAGAGCCAATCCCAAATTTGCAACGTCACCCATCACTGTGCACTCTCTAGTATGATACATGAATCTGCCTACAAGCTGTTGGTATATTATGTAGAACCCCACACTTGTTGCGCTTACTAACTGGTGCTGGAGATGTCTAACTGCAGTGGGCACCCACATATGGTGGGAATTGTCCCATAATACATCCCTTCTGGAATATAATTAACACCTTTTGTTCGGCAAGTTTGATGATCTGCCTCGTTTATTCCAGCACCCATTTCACTACATCACACATCACACACATCAGTGTAACAAGTCTATGACTATTTGTATATTGAATATTTCCAAGGGTCCCATTATATTGGAGGAAAACAATAGCCTCACCTACTATGGTTGTAACATATGAAGGGACTACGTGTAATTGAGGATTTGGTCTTTGGTGCTGAGAGACACATGCCCACCTACATGATAATCTGGACCCAATGGATGATGTCCACAGACACAGCTGAGTTCCAGGCGATACTGGAGTGAAAGCCTAATTGCTGCTTTTTGATATGGGATGATGGAGGGAGAAGCGGGAAGCATATGTTCTATTATTGTGGAGTTTATAAAAGGGTTACTCTAACCAAAAAAACAAGTGGAAGGACGGAGCCTAAAACAATGTTTGTATGGAATAAGTAAACATGTTAAGTTGTTATGGTGCCAGGAGGTCCCTGGAATTGGCTCACTGCAAGGGGTTAAACCCTTCCTGAACGATTTAACCCCAAAGCCTGTGTTCCAGCACCAACTCTCCCTCTCTCTCCCCATCCTTTTTCTCAAAATTGGGAAACCGGAAGGCTATGGCAGCAGCAGGCACAGCTAATTGACAGAGAAAGGTCAGTTCACACTCTCAGCCAATCAGTGACTCCCCATTCATTAATCTGGCTTGAAAGGAAATGTACCTCTCTCAAGCCATATTTACTTTCCTTATCTCTGGAATTTCTGCATAGTTTTCAAAGCGAGCGCTGTGGGTTGACAAGACAGTTCAGATCTGTTGAAACAGTCGGTTTATGTGCATTTTTTAAAAATTTTTTTTTTTTTTTTTTTTTTGCAGGTGATTGAAAATATAGAATCTCTACGCGATCTTGACAGTTTATTTCTTGGCAAAAACAAGATTACCAAACTCCAGAACTTGGAAACTCTGACTAACCTCACAGTATTGAGTGTGCAGGTAAACTTATTTAACTACATTGCAATGAGAATGTGTGATGTCTTGTTTACTATTTTCGCTATTTTTGTATTGTTTCATAGTTTTTATTCATTATTTACCAGACTCTTCTGTTCCCTTTCTGAACAGGGCTATGAAACTTTATTGTACTTCAAAATCTTAAACTGACTAAAAAATCTTAACCTAAAAAGTTAACACATTAACATAATCTTACAAATAGTTTTTCAATTCTATTATTTTATTTCCAATACAGTTCTGAAGTTGTTCTGTTAGTGTTTTGGGTTTTTTTTTTTTTTTTTGGTTTTTGTTTTTAAATTCGTTTTTATTGAGGTACCGGAGAAAATGCAGCATAATAGATCATTCTTCTCTAATCTCATAGGGGTCATAAAAGCAAGAAATGAAAAAAGCTAAAGTATGCCTGTCTCCAGGAGACACAAGACAATCCGAAATAAAACCACTGGAATACAATGAAATGTCAAATGCAATAATTTATATTTTTCAAACTGTGAAAGACTTTTGTCTTCAATCTTATAGTTTTAATATATTATATGGACACAAAATATAAATAATTTCGGCTCAGGTGACCGAGACACTCACTAACTACTTCTCAGACAACTCTATACCGGCCATGTCACTCACCATTGTTTGGGAAGCCCACAAACCTGTTATAAGAGGTCATCTCATTGCCTTAGCCTCCAAAACTAAACTGCTTCATGAAGCCAACCTTAACTCTCTGCTCCTTGAGAGCCAAACTTTTTTTACTCCCTTGACACAAAAACTTGACGAGTAAACGATTGGAGCTGCAACAATTGCTAAATATCCAGATTTAACGCACACCACTCCTAACCAAACATAGATTTTACTCACGGGGAAATGTGGCCGGTTTTTGGCTAACCTGCTGAGACTCCAGGGAAAGCACCTTTATCCCCCGAATAAAAACGTCTTCGGGAGAGGCCTCTCACAAACTCCCTAACATCATGACAGCCTTCCACAAATTTTATACTGACCTTTATAACTTTCAACAGGAACCACCTGAGAAGGAAGAGCTAAATTCCTTTCCATCAGAATTCACCAAACTATCGCCCCAATAGACTTGGAATCTCTGGAAGCTCCCATATTAAGGGAAGAGGTCCAAACGGTGATTCATAACCTTCCTCCGAGGAATAGCCCTGGCCCAGACGGCTTCTCAACCAAATACTACAAGACATTCCTACACACACTATTCACACCCTTTACTGAGGACTTTTACTCACTGACTCGATCCATTACCTTACTAAACTCGACTCTGGAAGCACACATCACACTTATATTGAAGCCAGGCAAAGACTTAACGAGCTGTGGTAATTATTGCCCAATTTCACTGATCAATATAGAACTCAAAATTTTCACTAAAATTCTAGCAAACAGACTGACCGCTCCTCCAGGGACTAATCCACCCTGACTAGGCAGGCTTCGTGCCAGAAAGGGAAGCAAATCCTAACACCACCAAAATGCTGAGGCTGATTCATTTGGCGAAATTACGCCATCCGCAGAGTCTTTTGCTTTCCATAGACGCAGAGGAGGCATTCGACAGGGTGGATTGGTCCCTACTCTTCGGAACCCTGACTGCACTGGGATTTGGCCGTTGCGGGCGATATTCTCTTCCCCAAGCGCCAAAATTTAAATGCATTGTCAACTCTCTGACCTGATAGAAAAACGAAATGGCACGAGACAGGTCTGCCCCCTTTGCCCCCTCCTTTTTATCCTTATAATGGTACCATTCCTTCAAGGTATTCGCATGAATATGGATATCCACGGCATTCAAACTGATAATCAAGAGTTTTTAAACTGGCGGCCTTCGCAGTAGACCTCCTATTCATAATCACCAAACCACTATCCTCTATGCCTGCTTTACTAGAGGAAATCTCTATTTACAATAGTTTGTCGAACTTCAAGGTTAATTTTACGAAAAGTCCTCCAATTATGTATAGACCCCCACACCAAAGGGTCTCTGGAATGGGACTATTCATTTCCCTGGGCCAAGACTGCAGTCAAATACCTGGGAGTTCACCTCCCCCATGACCTCACTAAAATATACTATCTAAACTTCCCAACTCTCCTGCAGACAATACAAGAGGACCCTGCCAAATGGAATAAACCATTGTTCAGCTGGCTTTGCCACATTCACATACTCAAAATGAACACTCTGGCCAAAATTCTGTACCTACTGCAAAACGCTACCCATCGCCCTTCAAGAACATAACACGCCTCTTCAATAATCTTCATTTGGTCTCTTAAACACCCCAGAAGTCCTCACGAGCCCTAAGCCACAGGGGGGACTGGGACTACCTAACATTGAGACACACATAGGGCAGTGATACTCACCAGGATATATGAATGGGCACAACCAACAAACCCAAAACATTAGGTACACCTGGAAAGCCTTTGATTCTGGAGTCCATTTAAGCACTATACCGTGGGAGGGGAGGGACCCTCTTAACCCCACACTACACCTCTCACCCCGTTATACCTACCACATTGAAGGTCTGGCAACAGCTACAACCGCTACCTACCATTTCCAAACACCCCTCGCCATTATACCCCCTGACTTATAACCTACAGTTCCATTCGGGTCAAACTGGAACGTCCTTCGCCACATTCCACAACTTGCCATAAATCAAGCTAGGCTCTTTGCTCAATGATCAGGGTCTAAAACCCCTTGCAGAAATTATCCCGACAACCCCCCACAGCCCTCTACATCAGTTTAGTTACTTTCAACTCTCCCATCTTTTCAAAACAAACACTCTACACCTCACTACATTTGACGCAAAAGACGTGCTGTGCTCACAATATTAAAACAAGGCATATTTCTGCCTTCTATAAAACAATCCAACATAATGACTTACCAACACACCCGAAATTCATGCCCCAATGAATTTGAAGATGTAGAATACAAACACTTGTTCATTAATATCTTTCACACATCAGTCAGAAATGCCACCCATGAAAGTAATTTCAAAAAAGTCTCCAGATGGCATTACACACCCTCACACCTCCACCGCCTCTTTCCTAATACATCAGATTCATGCTGGAGGTGTGGACAGAAACAGAGCAACCTGGGACACATCTGGTGGACATGCAAAGTAATCCAGCACTTCTGGACATGCATACTAACACTGATCCAACTGATTACATACATACAACTACCACACACTCCAAAGGTGCTACTTTTTACTGTACCCAGCTTACATACTCAAGGCGCAACGCACGCTGATAAATAATCTCAACTGTGGCCAACGTACTGATCCCTATACACTGGAAAACAAACACAAGCCCTGTCTATTAGGGACTGGATCACAAAAGAGTCACTGAGAGTGATGGAGCAACATGACTATTCCCTGTCACGCTCTTACACCGCCTATCTCACCTGCTGGCAACACTGGATGGCATACCTGGAAAGCGCTTCTGAATAGCTCTTATCCTCCACACTCCCCTAAATATGACCGGACTACTCGCACTCGCGTGCCCCGGAGACCAACTTACACACCCCTACTCCTCATGGGGAAGCCGTCTAGAGACTTTGTCAATGTCATCAACAGTAACAGGCACTGGACAAGTAGCTGATAACCCAGACAGAATCAGCCTCCCCTTCCCATTGCATCCTCTACCCAGAATGTCCTAGAAACCGGACTACACTCAGATTGGAGGGCCAACCGAAAGGCTGGGGTGCCCTCGGTTGTGTAAATTTACCATGAAAACTTCTATGAGGGGTCACACTGAAATTACCTCTATATCCATTGATTTTTATATGGTTCAAACAAACTGAACACCTAGATAACGCTCGCACCACAATTACTCCATTCCTTGTTTTTATGATTTATTGATGTATGTATTGTCATGTTTCTCCTATGATAGTGTAAAATGTGTTTATATACAGATCTGTCACGCATGATACTGCAATGTAACCCAGAAGTGTAGATATAATATTAACTAAAGACACCCTTTGTTCTTCTGAGGGGAAAAAATATATATATTTCTATTTCTGCTTAACAAGCTTACAATCTAAAGGAATACATTCATTATAGATTGTAAGGTGGAGATCTCAATCTGCTCTGAGTCTAGGCTTTTCTTAAAATAGAAATTACTGTATCATTCTTAATTTGGGAGGGGAAGTTACAAGTAGAGAGAGATTGTACAAGAGTGGTGGGCAAGGATTGGTTACAAAGACATGGGTGAAACATGGGGGAACTGCAGGACTAAAGAAATATCTTTAGTAGAGGGTGAGTGAGTTTTAACAGGTTACACATAGAAAAGTGTGACTTCTCATATTGCTTGCCTTGTGTTTTTTTTTTTTTTTTTTTCTAATCCGTAAAGTACCGGGTTGAAAACTCAGGAGCTGCCATTCCAGATACTCCATTTCACATATAAAGAAAATTATGTAACACCACATGTATTTCCTCCCCTCCCCCCCCCTGCTTTTCCCTCCCCCTTATCAGCTATATATCTCATTTTCCATTTCTCTCTCCTTCCCAGAGTAACCGATTGACGAAAATCGAGGGCCTGAATTCTCTAGTGAACCTGCGTGAGTTGTACCTGAGTGATAATGGCATCCAGGTCCTGGAGGGGCTGGACAATAATGTGAGCTGCTGTTTGGGCAAGGGGTCATCTAAGACTTTGTGGAAATAATAGAGGAGGGTTTTGGGGATTAAGAGTGGGGTTGGAGGTATGTAAATGTATATTACTTTACTTATTCAGAATGGGTTCAAAAGCTTTGCCTTGAAATTATAGACCTGTGAGCTTCACTTCTGTGGCTGGGATTGTATTTGAAGTGTTTTTCAGGAATTTGTTGGGAAGAACATTATTAGCAATAATCACCGTAGTTTTATGAAATATAGATCATGTGCAGTGCTATGGAATTTGCGAGCGCTATATAAATAATGTCAAACTAACTTAATTGCATTCTACAAAGAAGTAAGTAGAAATATAGATCAAAGTGTTGCAGTGGTTGTACTCTTCTTGGATTTCGCAATGGTGTTCTTGGTCTAGGTACTTCAGGGTAAAGAATGCACAAGCAACTTTGGCAGTAAATTATGGATAACCACACAAGAAGGCATTGGAAACCATTAGAACACAAACTAGGCAACAATGTGCAATGTCACTCCGTAGTTGCTAGGGCCAGTAGGGTATTGTCATGTATAAAAAGGGGCATTAATTCTCGGGCTTAAAATATAGTTTTGTTTCTTTATAAATCACTGGTAAGACCACACCTCAAATAGGCTGTGCAATTTTTGGCACCTGTTCTAAAGGAGGATATTATGGCACTAGCAAAAGTGCAGAGGCAGGCTACAAAATTGATAAAAGGAAATGCAGCATTTTAGTTATTAAGAAAAGTTAAAATAAAATTTAAATTTCTTTAGTTTGACAAAATGATGCCTCAGAAGGGCTTTGATAGTATTATACAAATATATCCGGGGCCAATACAAACCACTGTCTGGAAATCTATTCATCAACCGGATAATACAAGGACACAAGATCATGCATTTAGACTGGGGGGAAAAAAGGAGATTTAGCCTAAGGCAATGAAAATGTGTTTTTTTTTTTTTTTTTTTTTTTTTTTTTTGTTTTTTACAGTAGGAAAAAAAAAGGATGTGGAATTCTCTGCCTGAAAAGGTGGTTTTATTAGTCTGTACAGATGTTTAGACAGCAACTGGATGAATACTTGTAAAACCATAATATACAGGGATATAATTTTTAATTTGTGGGTTAATAGCGTATTGATCCAAGGAGACATCTTACTGCCATTTTGGGGTTAAGAAAGAATGATTTCATAGTTTGTTGCCAAATTGGAAAGTGTATCTATCTGTGTATTTTTGCCTTCTTTTGGATCATTGGCAAACAACAGATGTGAGGAAGGCTGAACTTGATGGACACGTCTCTTTTCAGTCTATGTAACTTGGTTAGGGAATGTATTGGCTGCATATTTTCTATTTTTCTGTAGAGAAAATTACCAAGTTAATAACCATTTATTTCCTTTTTAAGAATAAACTGACAACACTGGATGTGGCTTCCAACAGAATTAAAAGAATTGAAAATATCAGGCACTTAACAGAACTCCAGGAATTTTGGGTAATGCTTCATATTCTTTACTTGGTTATTCTATAGACTGTAAGCTCACATTAGCAGGCTCCTTATCAACCTATTGTTCCTGTAACATTTTGGAATTGTCTCCTGTATTGTTAAAGTCCCCCCTTTATAATATTCTATAGTTCTCTGGAATACATTGGTGCTAGAGAAATGCTGATAATGATGTAAGAGGTTATGTTTACCTATTGTCATATATATATGTACTTTATTTCATGTATTCAGTGGAAAAATACGGTTTTATGTAGTAAATTTGGGACGAAGCATGTGGCCTAAAGGGACACTTTAGTCACCAAAACCAATTTAGCTTAATGAAGCAGTTTTTATGTATGGATCATGCCTCTGAAATTTCACTGTTTAATTCCCTGCTATTTTTGTTTGTATTTATGCAACCCTAACCACATCTCCCAAAGCTGTATGGGAACAAAGGATGGTTTAATTTTCAATTAGAAAGGTTTTCAATCAAAAATTACTTTAAACAGAATTTGCAATAAAGGAAGTGTAAACTTTAGATGACGCTACATGACTTGTTTAGGAAGGCTGTGTAAGACACATGCAGGAATGTATGAATAGGGTTGTATAAACAATGCGATTTAACTTCTAAATGACAGAGAATTGAGCAGTGAGACTACAGGGGCATGATCCATACACTAAAGCTGCTTCATTAAAGGATCACTATAGTGTCAGGAAAACAAACTCGTTTAAATCCCTTCAGCTACTTACTTTTATCCAGCGCCGGGCTCCCTCTGTGCTGGTGACCTCTCCTCCCTAGCTGACGTCAGCTCCCAAGTGGAGCTGAATGCGCATGCACCCAGACCAATTCATTGAGCTAAAGTGGTCTGGGAGACTATAGTGTCCCTTTAAACTAGAGTTGTTTTGGTGGCTATAGAGTCCCTTTAATTTGCATAGGTTTTCGAATTAGACACCTCTGGGTACAATTCTGTCATTAGTGATTTTGTTATAAAACTAAAGAAATTTTTTTAAAGTGTTCGCTCTACAAATAACAACAAAACACCACTATACTTATGCTTTAAAGATTGTGGAATCCAGTGACCATGTAGTAAGTATAGTGGTGGAGATTTATTTATTTATTTTTATTGATATTATTTTGATATTTATAGTGCGAGTGGACACTAGAAGTGTGGCACATACACAAAAGAAATGTATTGCTATTTATTGTTGGGTTGTTTTTTTGTTTTGTTTTGTTTTTTGGGTTTGGGGGAGGTTTCCATGATTTGTTTTTAGATTCTTCTATTTTTTGAAAGCTTTGTACGTCACCAAATTTTATATTTAATAGCCTTGACCCAGATACAGGAAGACGTTTTGTACAAAACTGTTATACAAGACTAGAAAATACATTCTTGTCTGAAGCCATTTTATTACACTTTCTCCTGAAAGGATACTCCAAGCACCATGACCACTTCAGTGATTTAAAGTGGTCATGTTACCTGGAGTCTTTATGTGCAGTATTTTGCTACAGTACATTCCATATACATGCAGCATATACATTCTCCACCACCGGCAGCATTATCAGGGCACCATTTGCCAGCCCAGAACAAGAGTTCCGTGTGGCAAATGTTACCCCATGCAAATTTGGTGTCTGACACCAGAATGCTTGCAATGCTGATGCCACACAGCCAACTGCGGCGCAGCCTCTATTTACGTGCCTCCCATGTCCTCCCCTCAAAGGGGGACACCATATAGAAGGGGTTTCCCTGCTCGTACACAATATTTTCTTAAAACACTGTATTGGATGTAGTTGACATTTTAAGCTCCCCTAAATATAGTATTTCTTGTTTTTAAATGTCACGCTTTACTTTATTTTCTATTTGTTTGTAACTGTAATTTTAACCCACTCCCAACACCAGTTGTGCGAGTACATCATGGGCGAACAAGAAATCTCATGCCACGACCGTTGCTCAGCCCAGCCCTATGATCACTGAGAGCCAATCAGTTATCTTTTGACCTAACAGGGCACTCCATGCACCTACACAACTTTTAGTTTCATAAATATGCTCTATTTTTATATGCTCAAATCTTTGTGGTATTTGCATAAGTTAAATGTTTTGCAGAATGCTGCACCATAAGCCTACTTCTTCAGCTACACCTACTCACTCCAGAAAAATACTTCCTTTTTAAATGTATGTGCATAGTCTCGGCCTCAACAGCACAGAGTGGGCAGCTTTTAATTCACAACCTGGCTGCAGACAGTCTTAGAAACTACAAACAGGCAGTGATCTCCTTACCGTATGCCAACCAGGGTGTCCTCTTCTTCTAATGGGCCGACATTCCCAAAAAAACGCAAACCAGCGGGAACAAGGACACCAATGATATCGGTTCCCTGCTACAACACACCACGGCCCAAAAAGCATCTGCCACTCCAGATCCGGAGGTCTGCTCCACGTGCTCTGACTTGCCTGCGGAGACACCAGCTGCACTGACAATACCTACAACAGGGCCACAAGGGAACACACGGGATCTCGCCAGCAAGGAGGATATCCGCAACACTATGCTGGAAATGCGGCAGATGTGGAGTTAGTGCGGACAGACGTCCAGGCATTGACAGCCCGGGTACCGACATCTGAGGAGGACACCATGGAGCTAAAGCAAGAGGTGCAGGGACTCAAAAACTCCATTCTTCAGCTTCAAGCCTCACACACTTTGGCTCTCACTAGGCTGGATCTTACCGAAGACCGCAACCGGAGAATAAATGTCAAGAGAAAAATTGTCCGCTGCTACTCGATCTCTGACAAGAATTGAATAATGGCAGCAGTACGGAACAAAACTATGTTTGACCTTCAATCCTCCTGACTCTTATTCTTCCAGGATTTGACAAGCACACTGCAGCGGAGATGGTCATTAGGATCCATAACCAAACCGCTACGCAGCGCCAGAGTGGAATACATATGGGGCACACCGAGGTCTCTGAATGTGGTCACCAACGGGGTCACCGCAAAACCTACCTCCCTCTCCGAGGCTGCTTCATTCCTGCACTCACTGGGACTCTCCCCACAGCCCTGGGACATAGCGGAACCCTCCACATCCCACAGATGGGACCCTGCACTATCCAGTTTAAACCATGCCGAGGAGAGAGACTGGGGGCAGCCACCTGAAAGGCTCTACAAAGATGCCGCAGTGACCAAGTTATATAAGTTCAATTGAGTTTCAATGTGTTGCATATGTGCTTTTTCAAATATAATTATCAGACACACTGACCCATACCCAGACACATGTGGACCGTAAGGCAGGTCCTCTCACCACAGACAGTAGCTTAAGTCATTAGCTCATATTGGTCCCCACACGTTACACTCTCTCCCACCACACAAGGCTCCCATTGGTTAGGAGTCGAACTCCGACGTGTACAAAGAAGGTTCCGGGCACCCTGTCCCAATCCCTAACCAGATATACCCCCCACGGGAGCTCAGTCCCCACAACACACGAGGCCACAGTAGCAATAGACCTTGCCCCTCAGACACAGGACGGAAGTCTCACATCTTGGTCTGCTAGACGTCCGAATACCCTCCTGACGCGACCCGATTCCCTAGAACGTCCTGACTCAACTCTACTAAGCTATTTAGAGAAGGATATCGGCTGCCTGGACGTCCTACGTAGGGCAGCAGTCTAGCTCACAAACTGAGACTCTTATCTTCCCAACAGACTCCCCTAAACTTCTTATGGCTGACTTAATCCGATAGGTCTCAACCGTTTTGTAGTTTTAGCTCTGCCATTACCAGGGTTGGTCTTCTTCCCTCTCGGAGGTTAGTTTAAACTTAGCTTGTTGAATAAGACTAAGAAAGGGGCGGAGCCTGACAGCCAAGCTGAGTGGTCGCACCTCAGCAAAGCTCCTGTCTAAATAACCTGAAAAACGAGCAAAAACCTGCAAATTCAATGCTTTTTACACTCCAGACACTGGGGCTTAATATCGAAACAATGCATAACCGAGCCTGGGACCGCAAAATGCGACAGATTCCAGGGGATGGACCTGAGGCCTACCTGCGGCCTACTCAGGAAGCATGGGGGAGGCAGCCGATCCCTCAGCCGACTGCAGCCTGTAACAAAGGAGGTCTCTCTGGAACACTCCCGGCAACCAGAGCATGTGGATCAGGATGGAGAAACCGAGCTCAGCCACCTTGCACCGCCGGACCGCTGACACACGGCATGGCAGAGACCACTTGGCTCCCAGCATCCAAGCCCAGCTTGCCTCCACTGTCGCAGCGGCTAGACCGCCTATTCAGCGATTTATATATTTTATTTATGTATTTATTTATTTATTTATTTATTTATTTATTGGGCCAAACTCACCAGCCGCAGAGACACCCGGGCACAAGTCCCACCGGCATCAGCCACAAAGGACAGTACACAGCAGCCTGCAGCTCCGGTGCGGAACCCGAGAAAGATCGAGATAGCAGGGAGTGAGAGGCGGAAGAAACGTCGAAAGCCCCAGCGCCCGACTCTTAGACCATTGGTGAGTTGCCCAAAGCCTCAACGGAGACTATCTCCAGGGCTGCCCCATCACCACCCCTCTCACCCGCAAAAAGTCCGCTCTAAGAACTGGCCTAGCACACTCAGGCAGGTTCCGTCTCAGAACAGCAGCCCACTGGGTCTAAAGGCACACAGGACTCCCGAACACTCACCACTCCAAGTCACCAGGAAACCTAGAGGCAGCACGGAGCCAACTCACTGCCCAACGAACGGGAGTGCTTGGTCCACTCGCTCCCCCGAGAGGCGGCAAAACATATGGCTGTGACATACCCCTGGCAGGTGTTGGCTGACCGGGACATTTGAAATCACAGATGAGTCATTTACCCTATGCCTCATAAAGTCCCTACCTGCTACTAAGGACGTTTTCTTGTTCCCCTGAGAAACATAGTGTTACTCCTATGCTCATATGCTATGCCCTACAACTCACACGCTAACCTACTGCAATTATCATGTATTCCTATCGACTAACAACACTAGTATAAACATGTGCCAAACTTTTAACAAAGCACAACCTCTACACACTCTCTAGGGCTATGTATAATAACAATGTTCAGCCTGCATAACACTCCACAGCCTCAATAGACTTAGCATGCTCCTACATTCCTGTATTAACCCATGAAACTGTGCAAAGTTAATGACACACAACTGTTTCTCTATGTCTAAGTCTTTAATTTGCTATCACTACTAAGCTTATGACATTATCTTGTTTATATAACTACTTTAAAAAAAAAAAAAAAAAAGTGCAATGTTGTTAATGCTATGTGATTAAGAATGTTTGCAAACTCGACTGTACCAGCTATTGTGGCAGTACAAATTCGCCTGTTACCCTTATGCACGAATAAAAATAAAGAATTAAAAAAATACTCAAAAAAAAAAAAAATAAGACTAAGAAAAAGATAAGAATCTCCTATTCTGACCTAGTGGTTTATCTAGGTAGAAAACCTCATACCTACCAATGTTTCAGGTTTTATGTTTATGGTTGTGACACTTAGGCTTTTGATTTAAACATGTGTACTCCCTTTATCACAAAAAGTGCAATGTATTTGATACCATGGTCCTGTGATACAGTGACAAAATATGTTTGCACCAGCTGTTGTAGCAGTGCAAATTGGCATGTTTAATCTATGCATGAATAAAATAATTATATAAAAAAATAGTGTATGTATGTATATATGTGTGTGTGTGTGTGTGTGTGTGTGTGTGTGTGTGTGTGTGTGTATGTATATGTGTGCGTGTGTGTGTGTGTGTGTGTGTATATATATATATATGTGTGTGTGTATGTATGTATATATATATGTATGTGTGTGTATGTATATATATATATGTATGTGTATGTATGTATGTATATATATATATGTATGTGTATGTATGTGTATATATATATATAAAATTATTTTTTATTTTATTTTTTTTAAATAAAAACTCAAATCATGGAAATTCACGTTGAGCCCACACAAAAAAAACACTCAATGTTCTATACATACACACATACAATATAATAAAGAAATATAGTATGTGTGTATGTATATAACATTCAGTGAGGTTGTTTGGTTTTTGGGGGGGGGCTTGATTTGAATTTTTATTTTAGGAAATATGGTGGGGTAGGCTTAGCAGTTACTGTATGCATTGTGAATTAAAAACAAATTATAGGTAATAAAGTAGTATTTGTTGATAAGTTGTTGGTGTTTTTGTTTTTTAAATAGGTATGGTCTATGTAGAGGTAGTTGGGGGTGGGTTTAGGTATTCGTTAAATGGTGGAGTTGTGTACAGATTTTGTAATAGACCAGAAAAGTGTTGGGGTTTTTTTTGGTTTGTTTGTTTGGCTTTTTTCCCACTCACTTATGTTTATTTTAAATATTCTAAATAAAGCATTACAGGAAGAGAATGAAATCACTATTGAACAAGTGCACAGCAACTCTTGCGAAATTGCATGTCTTTTGTGCTATATACAGGCTATATCCGGCATTTATAGCAAGAGGTGGTGACCAATAGGGTATATCCGTTATCACTATGGTTATATGGGAATTCTTCATGTTTTATGAAGAAATACTTGAACACGTTCATTGCCATTGCGTTAGTGGGTATAATTTGGGTCTTTTGTTACAGTACATCTTTAAGTGTATTAATTAGCATTGTGAGATTTTCATTTAATTAAAGAAATTGCCGTCTCCCATTTCCTCAGATGAATGATAACTTGGTGGAGAACTGGGGCGATTTAGAAGAGCTGAGTGGAGCACTAGCACTGCAGACCGTATATCTGGAAAGGAACCCTCTGCAGAAAGATGCCCAGTACAGACGTAAAATCATGCTGGCCTTGCCATCTGTTCGCCAGATTGATGCAACCTTTGTGCGCTTCTGAGTTGGTCTCTTGAGTTCCTCTTTACTGCTTACTGTAGCTGCTCAGTACCAATTCCAAATGTATGCATAAGACTTACAGACCTTCTTGTATTTCATTGCCATCTGCTATTTTGTTGTATTTATACTCCTCTAATCGAGCACTACACTTCCCTGCATGATCCACATGCCATCTCTGCACTCCCTCAATCAGTACGAAGATGCTGGTACTGGCTTTCCTTTCTCATAACATACCCATTTGCTTCTCTAGGCAGAGGAGATGTAATACATAAAGACTCTGTCAGCTTCCCTACTATCTAAAACCATTAGAATATGGCCAGTGATGATGAGGCATCTTACGTTATGGAGTACCTCATTGCAGTAGTGCTTAAATTGGCATTGAGCTGTTGTTTCCATAAAACCTTAGCTGAATGAACTTTTATTGTTTTTATCATTTGATCACCTCCCATGTCTTGTACACACCAGAACCTGTAATAATTTATGTTGGTCTAAAGCATTCTCAATGCATGTTTGAAAAAGGAAAACAAATGAAACCATCATTGCTTCTGCAATCCTTCATAAACCTAGATGATGGAGAGTTTGTGTAAATGATGTTTAGAAGCTGAAATGCTGCCTTGCGTCATTTGATAAACATGTTTCTTTTCCACAGGGGCCCATGCTGGGCAACACCTTTCCAGGTCCCAAACACATTCATAAATGGCCTCCAGTATACTTGGTCTTTTCCTACCTGTGCTTCATGTCAGATGTAGTCCAACAGCTGCTGCAAGTCTGTTGTTTCCTAGTTGTGTGTGTGTGTGTGTCTGTGTCTTGATGATCACTAAGCTAAATCTCTCCTTCTGAGATTTAGCCTATGTTACACTGCATAGAAAAAGTACCTCCTGACTTTCTGTAAAGCAGAAACGTTTAAACCAATACACTTACTGTATCCTCAGCAGGACTTTTAATTCTCCAAGTGCTTTTCGTGAGAGAAGCTGTTGTCTGATAAGCATGGAGCTTCTTCTCTCAGTATGATAAACCTAGTAAGGAACATTAGCACAGTAATAGTTGAAGCCAATATAAGGTTGAGTTGGATTAGGGTAGTACAGGTTTCATCTGACGATGCAACGTGGGATTAACATTCCAACAAAGCTGCTCTGTTGTATTCCTCTACTGCTGCATAAAAAACTATATTAACTTCTTCTAGTGTGCCTTCCCAAATGTGTACAATTACAATTGGCTTTAATCGGTTGCAGTTCCTTTACTTCCATTGTACTGCCAGAAACTCCTAAAATTTAAAATTATCCACTTCTATCTTGCGCCAAGAATGCCTTAACTAAATACTGAATATTTTAGTCTAGCACCATCAGACCTCCAAAATATTTAAGCACAGGAAATAAAATATACACACAATCTCTCTGGTCACAGACTGTTGCATTTCTAATACATTATTTTAATGCCTCACTTTTCACTTATTTATTTATGCTCTGCTAGTAAGTAGTGAAATGTAACTGGCTTGTACTATGATTTTTATTTTATTTTTTGAAATTTTTTAAGAAACAAAGGTTCAAATATTTAATATGGACAGGGGCAAATGCCTGTACCCAATGTTGAGTAACATGAACATTTCCAAACATATCCTTGGTAGTTTTCACTTTATGAATCTAGCTTTGTGTTGCGCAGTCTGTAGCTCTCTGGATTTTGGTAAACTACAAATCCCAACATGCTCTACCAGAACACCATGCAGAACCACGGTTTGTACCTCTACGAAGCTATCACACTGGTTCAAATACTGTTAAATTTTGCTTACTGAACCAAATGTAATTTCTTCCATCACAAACTTTATGTATTTATTTAGTCAATCCTAAAATTCTTTGCAAATGAAATTTGAAATATTAATGTATTATTCTTATACAGTTAAAATGTTGTAGGGGTTTTGTTTGATGTTCAACAAATGCAAGCAGGGGGGAAACTATAACTTCTAAAAGAATATTTGTTGGTTTTCTGTTTTTGTTTTTTTTCCCCCTCTTTGTTTAAACCATTACATATATGAAATGTGTAACATTAAAGTGCATCAAGTTTGAACGTTTTACAATGTCATTTTAGTATATAAAATAAATTCATAAATAAGACTTCCATGTGAAGGAAAAACTAAAACGGGAAAGAAAGAGAGAGGAGTGGGGGGAACCACACGAGATGTATCCATGAGCTCACATGCCTAAAAATAAATTTAAAATGGTCAATGCCAGTCTCTGGTACTCAAGAGTTCAACGTTGGGAAACAATGGTTGATCGTTTATACCTGGATCTCCACTGTTCTGCTAGTGCCCTTCTTATGATCAGGAGTATCATCTGCTGCAAGTTTAATGGTGGTTTTTAATTATTTAAAATTTTATTTAAAGTTGGGTCACATTGCTAATTCTCAAAAACAAATGATTGGTACAGGGTTTTTTTTCAGGATCCCCACTGCGATAAAATTTGGAAGTGCATAAATTTTGGACTGTTCGTATGCCTTGAGGACCGAATTGACCATCACAGGTCTAGACAGGAGAAATACCTGGTGTCGTGGATGGTGGAAAATCTCCTGATGACATTTTTTAGATGTTCTCTTAACTCGATAAAATATATTGAATTTTATATTTTGCCTGTCTGGTTTGTTTTTTGGACTAAGGCATGACTAAAGGGAAAATAAATAGAATGAGAATGCATTGTAAGGGTACTTAAATACGTGGGATGCAGGGGTGAGACAGCATTGCAGGGGTTAACTGGGTTCATAGCCAGAGATTACCTGTGGACGAGAGTAGAGGGATGCCAGATTAGTTTACAGTCCAGGTATGTGGAAGAATTGAATATGCGGAGTTAGTTCCCTTGGTAAACTCCTAGAATTCAGGGCACTTATAGGAAGTTGGCACTTGATGAATAGTGGCACACAGATGGAATGTGGCCTGTGCTCCTTACGGTCGTATGCTCGTATATTCGCGTGTGTGTATATATATTCAAATGTCTGATGGGAATACAATTTCAAAGCTCTGTTCTAAAAACAAAAATTTTTAAGAACTGCAGTATCTGTTATAGCCCTGGCATCAATGAACAAGCGGAGAGCACACCACCTGACAAAGGATTGCGGACAATATAGTTCCATAAGTGCGTGATGCAATGTAAATTGATAGATAAAATTACCATATTGTAATCTCTGGACTTCAAAAAAATATATGCAAAGAATATTTTATCAACGCTTATGTTGTTGGACATAAAATAGTGGTTCTATCATGATTTGAATTTTTATTTTATTTTTTAGAGTTGGAAAGGTTAAACATTAAAGGAAAAACTATAGTGCCTCTCACTCATGGCCACAACTGTGGTGCAGATGGGATTAAAAATCCCTACTGTCACCTTATTCCAGCGCCGATGTCCCTTGGCGCTGGTTCAGGCTCTGTCGACGTCGGGAGGGGACCTAATGCGCATGTGCGGCAAGCATAGCACTTGCATTAGGACCTCCTCCATAGGAAAGCATTGTATAGTGATTTCCTATTGTGTTTTGTGTGATGTTGGATGTCTTCATGCAGAGTGTGAGGACGTCCAGCTACAGTTATTCGACCAAAAGTCTCCTGACCACCCCGAAGTCCCTCTAGTGGCTGCCTGATAGAAAGTCTAGAGGTGAAGTTAACCTTCTAATGTGATTATTGCAGTTTATCAAAAACTGCAATCATTACAATTGTAGGGTTATGGGACCTGGGACAGTGCACCTACACCACTTCAATTAGCTAAAGTGTCCTGGTGCCTATAGTGCCCCATTAAACACACTCAAGATGTTGTAGAACTAGATCCAAAGAAAACACTTCAGAAGTTTTCAGTCTACAATTCGCAAAATTCATTTTAATTGTGATTTCTCTTTAATGAAATTTGGCTTGCAATAGGGGATATGTAGGTAGTGCGGCACTGTAAATCCTTTGATAGCTGTTGTACCATCCCATAATGGCAAACCCTTAGTGCTTCTTCTTGTGGGGTACAGTACTCAAGTGGGAAGCAAAGTGCCTAGCAACTGGTACATCAAGCATTCGTAATCACCGATAAACATACATCATTTAATAGCCTGTGGGTGTTGATTTTTATGAACACAAAATAGGAACAATATAATACCTCCCCTCCCAGTTGGAGATTTCTTCACTAGTGTATAATTTAGATACTTATTGTTGGTTTAATGTTCGTAGCGGTCAATAGAGTGCAAAGAAATAAATACAAGGCCCCTGACAAAGGTGCAATATGCTGCAATGAAACGTGGACAACGTGTCTTATTTTGTGTTAGATTATATTTTTTGCACGTTATGATGCCGTTGTTAGAGCCCATGGTGTATTTTGGATTTGTGCTGCCCTAGACAGGACAAAGCTTGGGCACCCCTTCCTGTCAAGACCGCACACACTTTCACTGACAGACACTCACTGAAAGATGCAGTCATTGGCACACACACAGTTTAACCAACACACACTTTCACTGACAGACACACACTCAATGGACAGGCACACACTTATTTGACAAACTGTCAGACACACACTGACAGACGCACATACTCATTGACAGACACACTCACTGACAGACACACACATTAACTGACTAGATAAAAGTGGTGTTAACTGCAATTAGTCCCTCTGTATTTACGGTATATACATAGAAAGTATTGATTCTATCTATCCTTAGTACAAGCACTAGCTGTATAAATACAAGGTTCTTATACAACTACTTACATTCTGATAGTCCCCTTTGTAGGCTCAAACAGTTGAATTACCATTTATGTTTTCATTAGAACGAGACAATTTATGTGAGCCTCTCTTCTGAGCTATCCTAACCTCTTTGTTTGAGCTAATTTAGGCAATGGTACCAACTTTTTTTGTTTTCTTAAAAGATCCCCCAGAAGCATGGATTGTGCTAAAATGTGGTATTTAGCGAATACTCTAATATGTGCAGTGGTTATTCTGCTATTAGCCGTTTAAAAAAAGAAAGAAAAAAAAAAACAGGTTTCTCACCTGCACCCACAGAGTGCACTTTTTCTATCACTGTAATAATACAACATTTACATTTCGCCATTGTTGATATTAATTCCATCCAAATTTTACAGCAACATTGGGCTAAGTATGCTGGACAACAAGTGTCTTGTTGACATGACAGGTATTGAGTAAAAATATTTGTTAGCCATTTTTTTATTCTGTGTTTGCAGTTATATTTGCCTAAAACCAAACAAACAAAATTAAATAATTTAAAGAGATAGTAAAAATGTAATTGCCTATATCGAATACATCTGCCTAAATAGACAATCTGTTCATGTTGCTATATGGTCCTATGGGTCAATGGGCTTTCATAACTTTTCTATAGAAGTGGATTCCATTCCAGAGAGGGTGTTTTTTTTTTTGTTTTGTTTTTTGCCATTGGCCGCAATTTAATAAGCTTTCCAAACAATTCAGTACCAAACAATTTATATACCGAAGTCACCAGTAAAGTCTATGGAAATTTTTGTAGATAAATCATTTGGAACGATTTTCTAAGACTATTGAACCATTTGGAAAGTTTATTAAATCAAGGTCATTGTCCGACATAAAGGTACATTGCACTGGAGCTGTCTTGGCCTCATGGATGGCCAGGGTTGCTATAGCCTGCATTTACAAGGTACCAGTGCAGTCAATATGCCTACATTAAGCACTAGAATCTGGACATGACTTAATTATGCTTGAATGTACTAAAATGTTCTTCAATCTGTATTTCACTGTCATTCATATGTACGACTCCAAAATGCTGGACTTGAGTGACCCAGCTTATCAGAACACCTGTAGTGAGGTGAAACATGCTTTAGAACACGCAACGTTCGGTACCAGTTGAAGTCTAGGATTATGAAATATGCACGTAATATATAGAAAAGTCGAAGTCAAGTGTTCTAGAATTCAGACTAGTTGAAATACCAGTCATATCAAATCTGTCTTTGGCAAGCTGACACCACATGTTAAACAAAGCACATAGATACCCAAGTATAATTAATAATCAATAATAAGTGAAAATAAACCGCAATCAAAGTTGTATACGTAGGTCAGAAATAAACGATCATACAAAGTAAATAAAATAGTGATATATAGATATAATGTAATCATTATTTTAATTACTTTGTATTGACCTATGTATAAAACTTGATTGCGATTCTTTTCACTTATTAGTAATATTAATTACACTTAGATGTATATGTGCATTGTTTAACATGTGGTGTTAGCTTGACAAAGAACTCGTAGCAGGTCGAAAGGTTGCTCTGCCATTTTGAGCCAATAAATCTGCCTGTGGCTTAAACACTGTAAGTTCATGTAACTTTATTGTTTTCTACTGATTTGCTGGACCTGCTTCAGTGCACCTGGTGTCAAGTGGAATGTAGTGCATTTCTTTTCCTTTTGCTACATCGAATGAAGTATGGCATCACGTTTCTTGGCACAATGGTGGGATATTCATGCCGAGCCAACAGGTACCAGGATACTTATATGGACATAATGATGGTTTCCAGCAGCTGTATGCATCCTAGTGGGCCTCCCCCTTTAATTTAGCGCAGCAGACATTACCTACTTACATTTGAGGCTAACATGGAAAGGCCAAAATCATAGGCTGTTTAGCAGTATTTACCATTTTTTTGGTTACCACTAGGAAGGAAGGCACATTTATATGTCATTGTTTAACTTCATTCATTCCTGAATTCATGCTTTAGACTCGAGCAGAGAGAACAGACTTCCCATTTCTGATTTTCCCCATTGATAATGATCACAATAAGAAAAATACATAAATTCAGCAAGTACAACCAACTATACGGTCAGAATTTTTAAATGTGTCATGTCAGTTAGCCATGTGCAGCAGGGAGTTTATCTGCGACCATTATTAATGTGCGTGAGGAAACCATTTAACCATGCTTCTGTGCATGAGATAAGATCTCTGCATCACAAAGGGTTTATCTAGCAAGACAGTTGTGAAATCTACAGATAACATATGGGTATGAATGTTGCTTTTTTTTGCACATTTGGGACAACATTTAACACGGCGAATGAGCTGAAAAGACAGAGCGCCATTGAAGCTCAGCCGAGTTTTACCATCCGCTGTATGAAGGTAAGAATTGTATTGTTTTAATTATATAGTATAAACATATATCTGAGCTCACTGTGAATATGCTATCCCACTGTGGTAATCATTATTAAGATATATTTTCCAGTTCTGTCTCCTGTCGCTGGTCATGTTACAGACTGGAAGCCTGGTCAAAGCCTATTGTGTGTGGCTGTGATTGGGAAATATATTAGAAACATAGAATGTGACGGCAGATAAGAACCATTCGGCCCATCTAATCTGCCCAATATTTACCCCGTATTTACTTGAATCTAAAGCGCACCTCAATTTTTTAAACCTGGAAGCTGGCAAATATAATGTGCATTTATACAAGAAGATACTACTATACAACATTGTGCTGCAATGAAAATGTTTATTGCTGTATATCATGGTAACATTGATTGTATTTAAATTTTCGTGTTACATGTTAAGCTATTCTTTTTAAAGCCCTCTTTCAGAAACAAAATTTGCCCGTGTAAATTCACCTGTTTGAATATGAGTTTCAATTCATGTGTTTCAATTCACTAGTTTTAATTCAGCAGTAAATTTCAAATTTTGCCCTAAAGCGCATTAAAAGTTTGGAAAATTATTTTCCAGAATAGGTGTGCATTAGATTACGGTGTATATATATTTATACGGTATATACAATAATATAGATGTAGATACATTATATACCACAGACCTGACAGCTTGTATTACTGAAGTTTGTAATCTTAACCGCAAACAAACTGAAGAGTGAGTAACTGTCTTGGGACTCCAGATTCAACCTAGTAATATATATATACTTTCAGTTCAACTACTTAGCATTCCTGAGTAACCTGAATTCTCAATTTAATGAATAACTACGTAAGTGTGTTACCAACTGTGTGTCGAGCTATAGGATACTGAAAATAAAAAATGTTAAACTGTTTTAGTTCATTACAACTTTGTATTTTTT